TGGTTGTAACCAGAGTTGAAATTGGAGTAAAAGTAAGGGCGAGGATGTATGGGTATACTAATATTCGTTTGTATGATGTATAACGCGAGCGTGTGGTGATCTATCTATCGATGATCGATGAAAGTGCTGCCACAACACGCAATCGGTCGGATGTGACCCTGAACAGACTCGCAGCGTATTATGTTGACAAAAATTGGCATGTGTGTGTGTATGTGTATGTGTGTAAATGACAAGGGCGGACTGGTAAGATGGACTAGGAGGAAATCTTCCCCTGGGCCGGTCTATACTGTGAAATTTGGGCCGATCGTCAAACAATAAACTAATTATAAATGATCAAAACGACGGAAGATTGATAGTAATACCTGTTATGGAGGTAGTCTTATTATGTTAATGCTATATGTAGTTTTATTGATCATTGACCAATTAAATATTAGTTTGAACAAAATGTTTTCTGATAATAAAGAATTAATTAATGATGCACAGTTTTTACACCCTAGTTGTTTTCAAGAAGATATCATAGGGCTAATTTATAAACATAGCTTAAAAAAGTAATGTGGTCTACTGATATTATAATACCTATTGATAAAACAATGATATCATCGGTATCAATGATATTCGATTGATAATTAAGATTGACATATAGCACATAAATATATAAAAATATATAACTTGTTAGTGTTTTTTTTTTTTTTAATTTACTTAGAAATGATCACCAACTTGCCCAGGGCTAATGAAAGATGTGTCAAATATGTTCTACCTACGGATATGTAAAATAAATTATTACAAATTGTTATAAAATGTTTCCATTTTTCAATACATCAAATATTTAATTAAATTATTCCATTAAATTCAGAGTATCATCAATAATTTAGTTTCTGATTTCTAAATTATGAAAAAAAAAAAAACTAACTTGTAACTTTTATTTAAACCCTAGTTACTTTTTTTCACCAACTAACTTCTAATTGAGTAATAATTTTAGGAAATTTTAGAAATTAACTTCTGTTCTAACTTTATTAGTTTTTTATATTAAGTAAATTTAACTTGACTAGTTAAACAAAACGACTAACTTGCTCAGTATTAATAATACTATAGTTTCCATTTAAAATGATCAAATATAAAATAGTTAACAATTAATCTCGAAGTCATAAATTGGCAGGTACGTATGATAAAAATAATTAAAATACGAATTCGGTATCTATTTTAATGAATTATTTTTGAACTTTAAACCTAAAACTAATATAATTATTGTGTTGACCCAATTACACTAGTTTCACGTTATTATTATTGGTAGCTTAATTTGTTATAAAGAGGACAAATAATTGGAAAAAAACATTTTTTTTTATAATATTTTTATTATAACATATACATAATTACATAAATTAATTATTATGATACCAGTAAGTTCGGTCTACATGACTGAATTCGTTTGTAATTTTAACATACACTTGACTAAATAATAAGAATGGTACATAGTAAAGATTTTGTTTTAAAAATTATCCAATATGTATTTCAATTCGTATGTATTATATAATATTTTGTATTTGTACGATGAGCTTTGTTTGATTTGTTTTTGTTTTTTTCAATCTTTTTAATCATAAGGATATAATATATTTACTAAAATTTATATACAGGTATAGGTATACATTGTAAACTCATATTTAACCAGCAAACCCATCTATATTATGATTTAATTTTTAGACTCTGAATATACCAATGATTATATTGGTTTTATAATGAAGTTTATTTATTTTTGTTTTTGTTTTTTTTTTTTTATACCGTGACAAAAATGTTCACCAGAAATCTTGCTTTAATGTGTACCCAGCGGCGCCGAACACGTATGACAAGTGGAGTAAATACCCTATATATTTTTTAGGTAGGTGGGTGGGTGGGTCGTGGTCAGCGGATTACTGTTTATAATATATAATATAGTGTAGTTACTGAACAGTGTATAGCCAACAAGACTCAGTATTTATAGCCGAGAGATTCTTCAATGCAGTATGCCAGTTTGCACTATGCACTAGACTATCTTCTAATATGCATTACATATGTACCCTTACCACAACTATAGATATAAATAGTTCCACGTCAGCTTATGCTAGGGAGCTCTATATGTTTCCACACGAAATAAAGCAAGTTTAGCGAATTCATATGTAAGTTCCGACAAGATAAAAAGAATTTAGCCACACGTAAGTTTTTTTAAATTATACCAATACGTAAATTCATACACGAACAGAAATTATTATTATACAGAAAACCAGAAAATAATAAAATAACCAAATACATAGAGGATAATAGTACGCTATAAAATCAAAAAACGACCTCCGTTGTAAACAACTAAAGATAAAATCCAATATACAACAAAAAAGGTCTTTTGTCATTTTTTCAATAAATCAAGATTAGTAGTAGACATCATAAATTATAAATTTACAAAAAAGGAGAAAAATAAACATTTTAGTAAAACCAATAGCTCCCTCGCTACGATCGGAATCTAAAATTAATAAATATGTAATATTATCATAATGAGATCACAATAAGTTGATGATTATAAATGAATGTATTGCTTAGATTTTGTGTGCTAGTATTAATCTATGTGTAGCGGTAGAGTGCGCGATTCTCAAAACAATTGTGAACACTCACCTTTCGTCGATAGTGTCGTTACCAGTTCCGTATATCTTATTAGTTCGTGGTTCACAATCATAATATTTTATACTACTAAATACCTACCATTTCATAAAGATCATTTATATTTTCTATTATTTATATTCAAAACGCCCATTTTAATTTATACTATAAAGTATTATAATACTTAATATTCATAAAATAAAATATTCAAATATCAACTTAATGTGTACCTATCACGATTCAAGATATTATCTATTTTAAATCTTGATATTTATTATTATCTATTTATCATTTAGTAATATTTTGTGATATGAAATTACGAACATTTATAAATTATAAATAACATTTAAATATTTTATTATCTAATGTTTTACCAGTAAAATAATTTTATATTTAGAAAAAGATTTTGAACGTGAGCGTTAAAAAAATATTTTATGAAAACAGCTGGGCTCCGAGACCGACCCCCTTAATCCGGCTTGGGTAAGTGTGTAGGTGTTATCCTCAAACAGGGTTTAGCAGAGTGGTTTAAAAAAGGTTCAACATCATTGTATATATCTAAGTGTACCATCTTATCTGAAAGTAAATATATACTTGAATAAGATCATTTTTTGATTTTTTAAATAATTTTTATTATATCTGGGAAAACCCGGGATACAACGTAAGACAAGCGGGAAAATGGACATGGTAAAATTTTCAAAGCGTTTTATTTATAGAAATTTTAATTTTACGAATTTTAAAATTTTTACACCAAACAGAAATGCTTGAAAACTTACCAGGTTCATTAAAAGTCGTTTTTTGTGTTCAAAAAAAAAAATTGAGCATATTTTTAATTTTGACTAAAAAATTATATTGAACAAATCTAGTAACACACTGGTCCATGTAAATTTGATTTTTTTTTTTATTGAACCGATATATATATATATATATATCGTATATTGCCGATTTAGGAACGATGGTGAAATCAGAATTTGGTAGACTGCCTTAGTTTCAAAATTATAATTTTTTGAATTTTTGATGTCATGTTATTATAATATATGTTAACTATGTTAAATAACTAAATATTGTCAATTTATAATAGGTTTTTCTTAGTTTAGTAGTAGTACGTATTTGTTGTCAATCGCAAGTTCAAACTCGAGGTTCGAAATTTTTTTTTTGAAAAACCACATCGGGTAGTTTACAGGGTAGGTATAATATGTGTTTACTGTGCAATATTCATTGTATTAATTTTATATTTCTTGTACTAGAATATGGCATATATTATATTACACTATTTACTGAGCTACACTGGGAATCGTTTTTCGTTAGCAATGATTAATTTTTGTTTATAGCTTTACAATTATACCCAACTTCACATCTACGACAAGGTGGTCCATCTATCGTGCGAAGTATGTCCGCCTTTTTTTTTTTGTAGATTTTGTATAGATTTGTATAAGTTATTTATTTATAGCATACGCAGAACGACTATTTTTTATAATCTGAAAATGGGTCAACGTTTTAGTTTTTCAAAACAAATTGTTCGCTTTAGAACATATGATTATCGCCGAATCGTGATGGAATGAACCACTCTGTACAGTGTACATACACGTACACTCGTATTTATAGAAATATATTTCTATAAGCGCATTACTAATTATTACCGTCACGTGCGCACACATTGCAGGATACCTGTACGCGTCTCCGATGAAGTTATAAATTCGAATTACTCGCGTGTCCGTACAGCGAAATTTGACTAATGAAGTATTCGGTATACGTATGCGAATGAGGTACCTGAAGTGTAGAATGTTATAATATTATAATTTATTTCGTACAATAGATTTCGCTATTGTTGTTCGAGTAGGTGTATTAGGTATACACATATATATATATATATATATATACACTCGACGTTTTTATTAAACGCGTTAATATAGCGTTTAAGAAAACGAACCGGAAGATTAATGACAGTATTAAGCGGGAAGAAAAAGTACAACTAACTGAAAACGCGACGGCGACGCTTTATAAATTATATATAGTTACGCGCGTATTATAAAACGGTACGACGTTGAGGATGAAAAAAAAAAAAAAAAAAATAAAAAAATGAGATTTTAATCCAATTTATAGTATTATATTATATTATAAGGCTGAAAATCAGTGTCGGCGGAGGGCGGATTCCCAGTGAATTATTATCGTCCGAGAAAAATACGAATATTATCATAACCGTATTATAATGTGATATATTATTTCTATGCGTGGGTTCCCGATCTTTCGTTAATTTCGGACATTATTGTTGTTGTTATTATTTTGTTTTGTTTTGTTTTTTGTTTTTTTTTTTTTTTTGTTTTTATATCGCAATACGTATAGGTAGTGTTGTATAATTAATTTTTCCTACCCTTGTTTGCAGACTATATTATATTATATAGGCGTGCAGGCCGTCACCGTCCCCCGAAGGTAACAATTATCACTGTCAACAACACTATAACGCACACCTGCAAGTGTTTACATGACCCCGCGGTAACTGCCCGTGTTGGGTCCCGCTGGGATTTTCCTCCGTTACGCGTTTTTACGCGAGTCTGTATTATTATTATAGTTTCGCTCTCGTTATAATAGCAGCTGGGCTTTCGTACCTGTTAAATATCGGTCTATGTACAGGATTATATGACCGGATATAATAATTGTGCACATCAAACGACAATATTTCAGTGTTATGTCCTTTGCGTCGTCGTCGTCATAATATACTACGAAAGCGTAGGCGCGTGTAAGACCAACGCCAAACATTGGCTTTCTTCTCGATAATAATCCGCTTTTAATCCAGACTCGTCTGCGGCAGTCAATCACGGGCCAGTAAAGACAAAGCCGTAGAATTATGTACGAGTAAGTATAGCTGATATTATATGGAGTTAACGGTTTTTTACGCAACCGGTAATCTTTTTTAGTTGTACAATATGTCTTTGACGTTAACAACAATATTAACAATAATTAATAGTCGTCAACGGAAATTCATTAGTAGAGGAAAAATAACTTGATAATTTTCGGTTTTGGTGGTTAAAAGTTGAGTTTTTTATAACTACGATGGCTTGTTCACACTGAATAATTTCTAAACTAATACGATCTCTGCTCATTATTTTTATTTTTTTAAAGAAAACTTAAAATATTAACATAACTAACAGTTACATCGTAATTCAATTTTCAGAATGCAGACGATAATTTAATACCGCATATTTATAATAATATAATTGAACGTTGACTTTTGCTAAGGCGAGTGGTTGGTACTTTATTTGAACAAGATTTTAAAATTTCCTACAGTTCTTCAAACAAATAAAAACAAAAATTAACTGATAATTAATAATGATTAAATTTATTAATAACCAATTAAATAAATTATAAATTTTAGCTAATAAATTTAATTTTTTAATTTCTTATCAATTTTTAATAAAACAGACAGATTTACATAAGTGTATACTTATCGAAATCATTTAAATTCAATTCTTTAGTAATTACAATTGATATGTTAATTTTTAAATTCTTCTATTATAACTAGGCCATATTATAAAGTTGTATTGTATTAGTTGTAAAATTTCTTCTACTTAATTATACACATATGAATTTACTGATGAACGAAGAAAAAACAAAAGAAAAAAAATTTAATTCGATATAGTTTTAGTATGATTCGTTCTGCAGCAAAGAAGACAAAATGATTTCTGGTATTATATAAGTAAAAAAATTAAAACTGAATATCTATATTGTATTTTATGTTTAATAATACCTTTGAAAAAATTTAATGATTATTCGTGTATACATAAATGTTCGCAGCTGTTTTACTCCAATAAAAACGTTTCCAAAACTACCCTCCCCCGAAATAGTTTTCGTAATCAAAATTGTATGTAAATGATACTTATACAGTTAAATATACAAAACTCAATTTTAAATTGTACACATAAAAAAAAAAAATAAATAAAAAAAGATATAAAATTAAAATTTTATCATTAAATCTCTTTTTATAATAATATTATTTATTTATTATGGTTTTCAGTTAGGTAAGTAGGAAGTCATTTATTTATGGACTGATATTAACAACTGTGTTTGTTGTTAATTACAGTAAACTCATAATGTTGACCACAATATAGTCTCAAAATTATATAGAAAACTGATTGAAATTTTATTACTCTATATAACACACGAATATCTATATAACGCAAGTTTATGTACATGACTGATTATGTAATTCCACATAAAATCTAAAAAATGGAAAAAATAATAATTCAAAAGTACACGGAACGAATTTTTAATAAAATTAATGTCGTACAGAAAGCTTTGGAAAACAATTCAAAGAACATTAGAAATTTCAGTCCCATTTATTAGAGATAAATAGGTAATCATCATTAAATAACATTTTAAATAATATTATGTTGGTACCTATATAATATATTTCAATGATTTTTCCAGTAAAAAAAAATAATCATGTTATAAAATAGCATTTTGATTTGTACGAATACAAGTTTTATGCGAAAAACAATATTTGTGTAACGCGCTTAGAAAAAAATGATGGTTTTTCCATATCGCTGATTGAATTAAACTTTTAAGGATTAAAATGCGTGTGAATAATTAACTTTCAGTAATGTCAATGTTTGTGCATGTGTAATCCACTCGGAGTCCGCAGGAAAATTGTCAGGTTAAGTAACTTTTCATCTATACACGTACGAAAACACAAGGGGTTTTCAAACCATTAATAATGTATTCTCCGAGAACACTTTTGACATTAAGACTTAAAATTTCCAGTGCGCCGAATCGTGCTTAACCAACGCAGTTTGATAAAATCCATTTATATATATATATATAATATATACCGGAGATTAAAGTTATTTTTGTATGCAAGAGGATTAGGTAACAATAATTCTCTTTATAGCTGGGTAACACATTATTGTGTACCTATAATACATGCCTACCTATCATTATGCACACGCATAATACAATAATATTATATAAGTAGCATAAACGAGCGCAGAAACTAAAGGGCTGTAGTATATAGTTTAGAAGTAAGTGGATAAATAGACGTGATTGGGGGCTTAAACAATGTTCGATTTTAGATTTGGAGTGAAGCGAAGTGTGTATTGGTTTTAAAATAGATGTTTTTTTTTTTTTTTTGTGTGAACACTTTTTCTGCCGGGAAGCTTATTCTGATGTATATGATGAGGATCTATTTCTGAAAGGAAATTATCTTGGGGTAGTAATTTAGAGAGGTCATTTTTCGATGTTCTCATGGGTTTTTTATCAAATGTGAAAAACCGAAAAAAAAAGCTGAGAAAAAACGAGAAAATGTACGAAATATATTAGTAAATTATTATGTTTTCTTTTCTGCGGACAACTTTTCTAACAAAAATTCTACTCCAATTTAAAATAATTGCACTTTTTCTAAAAGGAAATCTGACCGGGGAGGTACTTTAAACAGAATTTTTTTCGATTTTTTACGAAGTTTTCTCAGAAAATGTGAACAACTGGGAAAAACATAGAAAACCAGGATAAACAAAGGAAAAATTGGTGAAATAACAAACAAATATTATTAAAGAAAATATATAACGCTTAAATAATTTTTTTCCCATAATATGGCATACATATTGTTGAAACATTATCACTATCAACTGAACTCCGCTCAGAATCGGTTTTAGTAAGCAATTCAAAAATAGTAAGCTTGTCATTGCTTATAGATACAAAGTAATTTCCTATCTTTCCAACTTTTTACTAACAACAGTGGATCTATCTATCCCCGTTATCCTAGGACGGTTTTTTTAATGTTATATTTTGATTAACACTTTTTGTGGCAGTAAACAAGCTCAGAAAGTTTTACTCAGTAGCTCTATAGTTACTAGTACGGAGTGGGTTGATAATTGAACACAGACGGTACTTTAATAAGGTCATTTTTCAGGTTATTAGATCACTTCTCTCATCGTAATATCGTGAAATAACTAGAAAACAGTAGCTAGTAATGAAAAAAAAGCTAACAAATTGCTCGCTACTCTCATAATCTAAAATGTAATGTATAATAATTCTGAGCTCGAAATGTGATAATATTTTTTCGTGAACACATTTCCCATTTAATAGACTAAAATATTCTGTTTATCATACAACTAGATAATAATTTTTTAGAAAAACCGCTGTGAGATATTAACTTTTTTTTTTTAAATAAGCAACTTTGACAAGTTAAACAAATTAACGTCAGCGTTAAGTTTTATAGTAATTGAGATAGAATTTGTCAAAAAGTTTTACGTCAAATTTTATACCGGAGCGGAAATATTCTAAGGAAAATTTTTCTAAAATAAACTTTCACAGGCCAGTTAGGTAATCAAGGGAAGAACAACCTATATATCATATAATTGGTGAGAATATGTTTTTACGGCAAGTATAATAATTTAATACAATATTGATTCCTATCCTATACTATCTGTTTTAAACGTCGCAATTATGATGATTTTCCGCGTCAGCTGTTAATGTTTGTTTCTTTGCATTATTATAATATTATTACTGAATTAACAACATGTACTCAAATAAACGTCATTGTTATATAATGGTATACAAAGAGAGAACGCATGTTTGTTTTAAACAGAAATCTTATCAACTGCTTAGATGATATAAATGCAGTTTGCCGTCATTTAGATAATTTTTAGGATAATTATGTATAATGTATGTCTCTAAAATAACTAAATTGGTTTTGTTTTTATTTTTTTTTCCACGAATCAATGATTATTATTTAATTTGGTCATTACGGGCAGGAAAGCCCACTTCTAAAATATAATTTTACTCTTATGATTCTGAAGTCTGTCCTAAAGTTGATGGACTTTTACAGAAACCAAATCATCGACTATGCAAAAAAAGGCACCATCACACTCCGGAAAATTAAGCCATATTTAATCATCGATGAAGATTTGTTCAACCGATTCGTTATCGACACCGAAAAGTTAGAGGCTACTTTTTTCAAAATCGGTTTAGTAGTTCTAGGGATTTTCGAATCCATAAATCTAAGAATGTGTGAATAAGTACGCATGATATCATTGATAACGCCAAGAGGGTGATGGGGGTTAATAGAGTGTTATTTAGAGGGAAAGATATGGCAGCTAACTACGTCAGAGCGGTGGAAGAGTAAGGTCGTTACATACATTGATATTTAATTCGTCACGGCCAGGTCACGTGAGGGTTCAACTATAAATAAATAAATGTCACATTTAATTAAGTATAGTTTTAAATAAATTAGTTACTATAGGTATATATAGGGTGGAAATAGATATTATAGATATGTTGTTTTTTATTCGCCATTATTCAATTTGTTCACGGGTACCGTCGCCGTGCGGAACAGCTAGTGTTATTATAACTCCAAAATGTTTAAACATGTTACACGTTAAAATATAATTTGGAATGGTTTTTTTTTTTTTTATTTAATTTTCTTCATTTACAATATTCGAGCAAATTGTTTTATTAATTTATATGGTTAAAAAATCTACTAACGTTACAATGAATTATTTTCAAAATAACTACACGTTATTTTTCTAATTTCCCTGAGTTAATCAAAATCGTGTGGAGATTTGGATTAATAATGTTTTTCTTCGTTTAAAATACCACAAATATATTGGATTGTTTTAAAATAATTTCAAAATAAACAAAAATCGTTGAGTAAAAGGATTATTTAAAAAATTGTGACCCATATTTACATAGAAAACGATCATTTTTTTTTTAATACATTTTTTATTATGAACCTTTCTCGTTTCAATAACATTAAAGATTGCGTGACAGCGTATACGACCATATAATTATAATTGTATTATTATGATATTTCTTCAAAGAGTAGGTATTATGAGTACCTACGTAGGCATAGAAAAACAAAATTCACTTATATTTTTGGGAGACTTATTACTATTACCTCTCTGTAAATAAATTATTAATATACGTCTTATAACGATTTGAATAATTAAAAACATTCGTTGTTATTATTGTTTTCTTACTAGATAAATTTTCGCAATACTTTATTTTTATTGGGTGGAAATGTTAAAAGGTCATAGTTAAAAAAATGTTCAATAATCTAAAATAATAGATATTTTACTCACAATACATGTGTCAAGTACTCATCGTCTCAAATATCGTCCGTCTAATTTTCATAAGTATTTATTATATTACAGCAGGTAAACCGAACGTAACTGGTCGACTGTACAATAGATTTTAGGTACAGCCTTCTTTTCCAGCCTTCATCGAGGAATGAAAAAAAACTTGGGAAAATCTAGGGTAAAATTGGCCGACAAGCATTTTAATGCGATTTTGTGACAAAACAGGTGCAAAAGTAAATTATGAAAGTGAGAATAAAAAAAAAAAATTATAGGAAAAAGAGAAAAGCGAATTTGAGAAAATTAAATGTTTCTCATAGGTAGTTATCGATTGCGTCATCTGGATTTATCAATGCTATTGGGTAAGAGGAGGGGTAAAAAATTAAACGAATTCTTATATTTTTAGTGTTTGTCTGTTACCGTTAATTTTAACATTATAAAATATACTGTAATACTTATTGAATCAATGATATATAAGTATAAACTGCATACAAAAAAAAAAAAAAATTAACTTGAAACGATAATATGTAAAAAAAATAACGGTTAATTATAGAGGGTTTCTCGTTATTTTGGCACGTCACTAGTAGGTGTCAATTATATAACATACTCAGGAAATGAGCGTTGGTTTTTCGCATTTCGTTATAACCGAAATCCATTGTTTGAACGTAACGCCGCTTTCTATTCAATTCGTGCATTCGATTAAATTAAAAATATTAAAATATCCCTTTATTCTTAGTTTATTATTATTATTGATTTTTTTTTTTTTCATATGTAGATATCGGGTACGTTCCTTCGATACAATAATGCATATTATTAAATAAAAAATCAAGAAAGTAAAAATATTTAATGTAAAAAAAAAAAAAAAAACGCGACAGGCGTTGATGGTACCTAAACTACAAAACGAATATCGTAAGAATTTTATTGTTTTCCCAAAATAATATATTGAGGTTATGATAAATACCGCCTCGCTGTGAATATAACTTAATTATATTTTTCAAACTTCACATAATCTCGGCACCCGATTCGAGGACGGGTTCTAGTATTATAATACAATAAAATGCCGCATTGTTCAATAATAACGCCACAGTCAACCTGTTTTGTTTGTATAACAATAGCTCTTCCATCCGATGAACGGAAAATAACGCATCGATCGGAAAACCATTTAATCCGTAATAAAAATAAAGATTTATCAGTTTATTCGTAATAACGGTACTATTCCTAAATAATAATATACTAAGGAAATATCATTAAAACGTAAACATTTCGTATTTTTTGTGCGTATCGTCGAATACGAAATCGACTAACTATAATTGTATCAGTTAAAACCACATATTATATAATTCATATAAATATTTATGAATATGCACATAGTATTATGTATTATATAAAATATGTTCATCTATGAATATTATGTAATATAATCAGACAAGTATGACTTGTCATTGTAATTGATTAATCCGTGATTTCTTTGTCGTGTGTTAATATTTTCACAGTGATGATATGAAAAAATAATAGAAATTAAATACAAATTGCTTCTGTCCCGTAAATCATAGGTTAATCAATATAATTTGCATTTTGTATTACAGGGACTCCATACTATGGCATAATCGGGCGTTTCTAAATTTTTAGCTGTGTTCTGTATGCGTAATTTGACAATCGTGCCTACGGTAAGTTATCACTTGTTTGCGAGTGATTACCTAATATTAGCCAATTGTAAATTCGTAACCCTAATTGACTTCGGCTTTGAATGATTATCTCAGCCGAGGGATGCAAAATCCATGGTTCTATACAAGGTGTGTTTTAAAAATAAGAAACGGGAAAGCGGTCGTTTTTAAATCGATTTATTCACTAGGTAGGAACCTACCCGAGTATATAGTTTTATCGTCGTCAACTTGTTTTGGTTTTATAATTTCGTGACCGGGTATGTACATACCTACACTACCCCACATACACCCTTCGTGGTTCGACAACGACCAACACGTATGATAAGCGAAAATATAATAATTTATATTTATACTATAAAAATTGACCATTAAAGTCGTGTGTAGGTACAAAAACGAACATTATAGAGTCGTTAAAATATTCGCAAAGACCTCCTAGCTAGTTACCTACTATACATGTATACATATAGGGGCGCTGGTCTTATCTGAAACCTAAATCTAAAAAAAAATACAAAACCTCGTATATAAGGGTCATAGTGGTTAAAGTATAAACAACACAATGTTCCAGAGATCATTAGTGCAGACCGACCGAGTTAATTATTGAGGTAGCCCCCCCTTTTTAACTTTTGTATATTTTGTTTTTTATTTACTCTCTTATTTCAGGGCGGTACTATACGGTTCGTGAGTTTTTTTTTTTAAATCTAGATGTTATTAAATTATTATTATTATTTTTTTTTTATTATTATACACGAAATATTACGCCATTCTTAAGTACTTTGAAACTTAAAATATCACGCAGTATATTATTTTTTGTGACGGCCGACGACGACAGAATACTTGGAAGTTATTGTTGTTATTATTATTTTTTAGTATATTCGTTATAAAATAACTGTGAAAATTAATTTTATTATAAATTACGTAAATTCAATTTAACTAAGCTAGCAAAAAAATTTTGTGCTAAAGTGGCTTTCCTAAACTTAAAATTGTTATAAAAAACTAACAAATTAAAATGTACATATTTTGTACAGCAATAATAAGACTTAAAACAATGTACTTGACGAGCACGAAAGAAAAGTAGTATAGGACTTCCGAAAATAAAATTTCAAGGAAAATCTGTAAAACCGTACTTAATTTCATCACAGGAAGATGGTGAAACAGATAAAACATAGAGATACAGGGACTCAGTGGTTAAACAGATCTAAAATAACCCAGAAGCCACTCATTATCCACCGGCCAATATTTCCTGATATTCCCATTATTTCTTCCTATTATTACTTAATTTGTAGTGAATGAAATTTATTTATTTTCATACTGAACACTCAATCACTTCTAAATCTCAAAAAATTTGACTAGCAGCAGCTTCTTGGGAAAAACACGCTAATTTCGTTATAGATATGGGGCTAGTGTCTAGATTTTTTAATGCCCAAATGATTAAATGGTTTTACTATATTATGTGAAGGAAATTAAATTAACTACTGTATTATATGAGCAGCCTTGAAATTGGCGTCTCAAAGGAAAAAAACACGTTGCAGGCTTGGTAAAAAGAAAGAAATATGATGTACAGAAGAAAATTCGAAAGTATTATGTATAGTAAATTGGAAGGAATTAGTCTAAATGGTACACGACTGATAACAGTAGATGGCGGGAGGATGTTATAGATATTATAGATATAATAGTGACTGCTAAAACACTTAGAGTACCCATAGTTAGATACGCCAAAAAACTAGAAGAATATAAATAACAGCGGCTCTTCACATAAGATGGTTTCAAGAACGTTTTACCTTCCTATTTAGGAAGGTAAAGAAAAAAAAAAACGAATTCCGTCCTAACCTATAAATACATACCCAACGTAATGTACCTCATTTTAATTTTTTAAGCATTTTTAAGTCATTCAATTTGTTCATACCTCGCTTTAAATTAACTGTAAAACCGATGTAGTTGCACCCATTATTTTATTATCATTAAGTTTAATAACAGATAATTTACTAGAATATTAAAACCAACAGCACAGATGTTTTCCCTGATGTACGTACATTTTATAAATCGTACGTTTGTACGACAGAAACGACTGTAAATTCATCATGCATGCGTTTCATCTCTTAACAGACACACTTGTTATAGACAAAATCTGCAGACGTTTTTTTTTAAATAATAAAATAATAAAGTAAAAACAAAATTGTTAAAATGATCAATACTCGTAAATAAATAAAAAAAGGTACATATGAAAATAAAATAAATAAATGATTGAATGTGTCGCCTCTAGTATTATGATAAGTGTTTTGTACGATCGGTTTTGAATTAAAAACTTATCATCAGGTGTATCACGGTCAAAATGTGAAACGCGACCCATAATACTCCAGATGACACATTTGTTCATTCGTTTATTTTATTTTTATACATATATTTTTTATTTATATATTTATATACTATTTTTTTTTCTCTCACAAAACATTTTTACATCACACAGCCAATGTGTATAATAACCAATGATTATTATTGACTTGCGAATCTAATTATTTTTTTTACCAATTTTGTGGGCATTTCACGTGCTCCTGTGCATAATAGAATGCACTGAAGAACGGTATGAACCATCACTGTGGCTTGTCGGTTTGTTTATAATTTTCTTACACTTCAACGATATAATATTTAATTTATATTTTTGTTTCGTGGCCAAATATTTAGTACATATTAAAGAAACATGTTTAGGATATTGCATTTTAATTGATAAAACATAATTTGAAAATAATAATAAATCGTTTAACAAACAATAATTATAATTGTTTATCAGTGTAATAATTTTAAACCAATAATTATTAATTAGAGTTATTGTTGTTAATAATGGATATGAAATATTCCAAGAAATATGAATATATTTAGCAATATAGCGCACGCGTGGCCGCATAATAACAATAATATTATATTTTACAAAAAGCTATATAGTGAGTTTCTGAACAGTTTATTTAACCAAAGGGTTCGCGCTATAATCGATTGGTATTAAGTATGTATTTCACTTGTTGAATACAAAGTAGAACAATTTAAAAACCAACTCAATTTATGATACTTAAAAAAATATTTTTTAAAAAAATCTTCATTTCGAATATTATAACCACAATTGTATGAGTAATCAAGAATCATTTGTGATAGTTAATTAAATGGACATAAAGTTAATTTGTTTTATTCATTTTGTAGATAAATAAATAGATAAAATAAAATAAATTTATTAGGAAATAAGTATACATGCATTTCTTATTAACAATTAAGTGTTTTGCCCAAAGTTAAGAAAAAGTACTAAAAATGTTAAGAGTTTAGCGATTATATTTTTCAATAAAGTTTGTTAAACCATATAGATTATAATTAGGGTATTGGACTTCTAGCATTTGCATATTTGTTTTGCGTATACATTTGCCGAAATTAAAGACCAGCTAGAAATAAATTTGTTTTGAGTATTTCATTTGTTTTAAAAAAACCAAATATGAAATTTTATGTTGCGTATACGTTATGAAAATTTAGGTGATCTTTTTCTTTTTGGCACATTTTTATATTTTTAAGCTTATTGGAGGCACTTTTAAAATTTTTAAATATAAAATTATCAATACAACAATCATAATTAAAATCATAAAATATGTTAAAATTTTTTTTGTTTTTTTTGTTTTTGTGTAAAAAGAAAAAATGCCAAATCAAATTCACCAATCAATGAATGTAATTTACTAATGTTTACTTCATTGACTAAATCAATATAAAGTAAAAGTCAGTTTCATTAAAACAAAAAATGTTTTTATTGATCTGTTCTTGGTATGAAATATTATTAAATTTGGTAGGTAATTTTTTTTTGTTAGTTGTATTTTAAATAATTAATAGTTTTTAATGACATTTCAAAAAAGCAATATTTAGTATATAAATTTTAAATATTTCAAGTTTTATAAGTGCAGAAGTGACTACATATTTAGTGCTATTTTAGATCTATATGTCCTCTTTTCTAATTTTAGATTTCAAACGTAGCAAGGGTACTATTGGTTTTACAATGCTGTTTATTTTTTTATTTTCTCTTCTTCTAGTTTGTGAACACGTTTTTTTCTAGTAAACTCGGAGCATACCAGACAATTAATTTTTTTATGTCTTAAAATGCTATATTTTACAAACATAAAACAGCTCAATTGTAAGGTCTATTAATAAAATTGTTATAGCTATGACGTTATTTTTATGAGAAATTGTCTATTTAAAAAGAGGATGAAAATACATTTTGTCTTTTTTCCACCACAGGAAGAGAGTTTTAGATATGACACCGACATTAAACAAGCGTTAAACTTTCGTCAATATGTATATTATAAAATGTGAATATTTCGAAATCTTCAAAAGTCGATAAAAATACAGTGAGAATTTATAGATTTTAGATTGCGAGCGTAGTAAGGGAGCTATTGGTTTTACTAATATGTTTATGTTTTCCTTCTTTCTTTCTTTCGTTTTTTCTTCTTGTCTGTGAACACGTTTTTTCCTAGTAAACTTGCTCCAGTTTTTACGTGTAGCAACATCCTGAGAGCTCAAGTTGTCAAGATGGTACTTTAAAGAGGGCCTTTTCATATTTTCGACACCATTTTTAAAATAAAAGCACTAAAGTGGGAAAAAAACGTGGGAAAATGTATAATTTCACGATTTCATAATTTTATAAATACACAGACGCCTTTTTCTACCACAAAAAAGGATTTAATCGAAAAATCACAAAAACCTTTCATGTTGCCTTTCGATTTACTTTATTACGATATTTTCGCCGAAACTTTTGAGCTTTTAAGGCTTAAAGCTTTTTAATTTTCGGGAGTTTTTTTGCTGCGATTTGGTTTTAAATACACGTAGGGATTTGATACTTGGTAATAATACTTATATTGGACTTACTTAGACGTGGTAAAATTTCCAAAATCATCGGATGACTTTTTTTTTTTAATGAACCTTTTGAAATCAAATTTAAACGAAATTCACAAAAAAATTCCGGCAATTCAAATTATGTATTAGGAAACTGTGCTCAGAGTCGTCTTTCGTCAAGCAATGTTTTATCATTGTTTAAAGATATAAATGAAATAACTTTATGTATCGAACCTTCCCAACTTCCTACCTATAACAGTGGCTGCATCCGTCCTCAGTATCAGATCTTTTTTAACTATATCTCTGTTTATTATTTTTACCTTTGTATCCTTGCCTAATTAGATTTTTCTACTCTTCTCAATAAATGCTTTAATATTTTGCTTAACCCACAGTGAATGTCAAACTGAAAAGAAATATTTTGTAATGTTATATAAATTTAATAGTCATTTTTCTGTTGACAATTACGTGCCTTGTTAAATCTAGGGAATCTTGGAAATTATTAAAATTTAATGACATATTTAACAATGTCTTCGAAATATGAGAATATTATACCATTTGATAAGATTTTTAATTTCTATGAATATTCGGTGTGTGGATTATAATTATTTTTACAGTTTGAAAATAAATATTTATAATTATCAATTTACTTTTTTTTTTTTATATTTAAACAAAGAAAATTATATCTAACAATACATTACCACAATAAGTATCTACCATAATTATTGATTTAATAATAATATTGTTATTTACTACGGGACATAAATGTGACATTTTAATAGAGCGGCTGATATCTAGTGATACTACTGCAGCTCTAATCTGAATTCAAATTATTTAGTTATAGTTGTAGTTTATAAAAGGTTTCTGGTTTTATTTTTGGGCGATGGTCGTGGGTAATAATATTCGGAAGTTCATTAGAGGATGAATTTGAGATAAGCGGGTTTGCGTGGCTTAGTAGTTTACCGCAGAGTCGTCTATATGGAATTTAAAGGCTTGTTTCGTAATGGTGAGGATTTTAAGCAGGTCATTGTAGAGTGTTAGGTTACGCCCGTGGGGCATTTAGTTATTGTTCTAAGTGAGGTCAATTGGAATGATTTAGAAGAGATTTATGTTTAGGTTTGAACGTGCCTCGACAGTGACAAATATTTAACACAAGCGATAGGACTGAAGTAAAAAAACCGACACAAAAGTCAAAAGAGGAGCAATATTATATTTTAGTACTCATTTTTTTTTTCATTTTGCATTTATTATTTTTGGTGAACGATAATACGATAATAAGGAATAAATCGTATCAAAAAACTCATGCAGATTGTTACATTGAATCTTTAAGCATCAGACTTATATTTAAAATTGTTTAATTTGACTCCAATATGAGTTACATTTGTTTTTCTATGTATTGATATATTTGGAAAAATTAACGAATTTGTTCGTATAGTTTAATTTTTAGAAAATATTTTGAGCTATAAAGCAAATATTATTTAGGCGGTTCGATGCTTATTTTCATTAATTTTAATTTTAAATTAAACGAACCAACATTGAAAATTAATTAAATGAACTTTTACGTAAAATATCGCTTTAAAAATCTCTGAGATAGTTGTTGTTTTTTCTTTTTCATTAAAAAAATATTTTAAATATTTACTTAGGTACCCGTAGTTGGTAATTTAAAAAAAAAAAAACTTTAAATTAACATATTATTATCAGAATTGTCTGTTAAATATTACAAAATTTCGCAGTATATTAAGACAAAAAAAAAATACTATAAACTAAACGAAGTTACAATTGTTATTTTACGTTCCATAAAAATATCCCAGAAACAATCCAAGATAAATAATTATAAAAAGTTATAATGGTTAAAATATTAAAAAATATACTTAATTCGCTTGCGGAAACAAAGAAATACTTGGATAGAATTAATTACGTGAAAAATTGTATAATACATTTCTGTGTGATGGCCCCGGATGACATTTCGTTGGTAATATTATAATATTTTAAAAGACTGGGGAAAAAAAAAATTCTATTTTACAAGCATTGTTGAGAATTATCTAGACAAAAGTGTCTATAGATAATTTATTAGTTTGATCACGATTATCTATGTTCTTAAAAATCTATCAAACTATTTTAAAGTATATTTCAACGTGTATACCTATTAGATGTCGTTATGATCGATTAAACTATGTGCATGTTATAAATTTGCTCGCCAAATTAATGCTAATCAATCAAAAACATTGAATTATAATGTTATATTTGCTCGTGTTTTGTTTTTATTTTTAAATTGACAAATAAATTTGCTCGTTATTGGAATAAGTCACGTTAACAGTTAATTTTTTATTTTTATATGACGTAAATCTATAACGAACTAGGTACTTATATCCGAACAAAGTGCTGGAAAGTTATTGTACTACCGTGCGGAGTTGAAAACTTTTATTTTTGTTTGTTTTTACCGATTCACCTATATACACCTGACTATAACTTCGTTACAAGGAGTGGGGGAGGCGAATATCCAAAACAGAGTATACCACACGAATTTTAAGTGCGACATTACATTATTATATAACCCACCTGGCCGTTAGTCGCTCTGCAATATAATATTTCAACATATACGCGGCGGATAGGACACGGGGTCACAAAAGGAGATTATCCGTTTAACCAGACCTTTACCCCTTGCACGGTACACACGTACCCTTAGGGGCTGTTGTACCGTACGGTCGATGTGATAAAACTTCACGGAGATATTATAATAATACCACACATAGATATATACGAGGCGTATGGCCAAAATGTATGTTGTATCGGTTAACGATAAGGGAAAGCAATAGCCGGATAAATATTGCCCCGACAACTACGGGCAGGTACACATACCTATAGACGACATCACCGATGGGTAGAAGGTATCTACGGACCGCGATCGATACCTGTTCTACCGGAGGTGGTCGCGCCTGGCCTAACACTCTAATCTGATACATTTCCGACTTCCTGTAGCAGCGGCAGTCTTCCGCCCGGCGCCTTTTCTTTTACGCCATGCATGCAGCCCTCTGTTTCCCTCGAACCACTCGAACTCGCTTTAGTCTCGTCGTCATTTTCGTCATCGTACTCAACCCCCCGGAGTCATTTTGATATGCAAAAGCTCGTTCCCTTATAGGAATTTATCGACTTTCACGCGACTTCAATATTGTCCTTTCAGATAACGTTATTCGTACACGGAGCTGCGACAACAGAGCTGCAATCAATCAAGTAAGGTTTTTTTTTATACGGCGTGCCGAATAATTTTATTTGGGATAGCCGAAGCCGTAGTTACAGGGAAGTCCAAGTATCCGGAACCCTCCCCATCCCGATTTTAAGGGGATAGATTTTTTTTCGCATTATCTAATCGGAAACTATTCTTAATGGGGTTCGCAATCTACTTTCGCCTTCGATTTGACTGAATACATTACACTAAATTTATTGGATTTTCTATAAACTTTATTCACCGCAAAAATGACCTTTACTTTGGTTTTTTGATTATATTTTCCCAATGAGATGACATTGTCCAAGTTGTATAAATTATTATATTTCGACAAAACTGATTTCAATTCGTGAATAAATAATGATGTCCATTATTGAAACTTTAAAGAAATATATAAAAATATATGCATATATACACACCTATATAATTTAATATAATAATATATTTACCGATTCTAAAAGAAACTCGCCACTACACTGCGTCGTGGCGAATAACATTTGTATATGCATTTATAGAGTTTTTATTTATCAACTTTTGTAAACTCCTTTACTTTTATTCCACTTAAGGTTGGTATTTTATTTTATTATATTTTATTGGACGATTTTTTTTCTTTTTTAGTTTAGGGTAGGACTACATTTTTATACGGACAAATTATATTTAACCTTTTGTTATATTGTATAAAATAAATCTAAAATCGAATTTTTTAAAAAAATACGTTTTCAAGGAAAATTTATTTTGTATAATATTTTAATTTAACTTAATCAAAAAAAAAAGAACATTTTATTCTCGCGATAAATCGTTAAACACGTTAACTTACTATATAATTATAAAGGTACCTAAGAATTCTATGCGAACGTAGGTATCGGAGATCGTAATTTAAGAGGTTAGACGTAAGAAGTCAGGTTTTAATGGTCAGTTGATTTAGTGGTGTTATCAGAATATATGTCTGTGGATACGTTACAATGTCACTGGTACACAATCTTGACGATTATGTCGTTCCTTTCGATTGGGGTGCATATATTAGTATTCTGGGATCTGTTTTGACAGTATGTCGATTTTGGTTGATCAATTCAAATTCGCCGTGATCGTATTTTATCATGTGTTCCTGGAAATGTCATATAATATAATTTATATCAATTTGAAATTGCTTCATCTTGGGATCTATAGACACCTTTATTCGCGAGCATACGTCAAAAATCGATCGAAAATAATCACCTCGATTTTCAATGCAAAACTACGCCAAGGGAAAAATGCCGTATCGAACTCAACGATAATTCATCCTTTTTAGCCCACTCAAACACAAACAGCATTTCATAAATGTTTCGAAAACCTATAGCCACAAGAGAAACACAAATTTACTTCAGCACAAGCACGGCTGAAATGGACCAATTACAAACAGGGTATGTTTCTTAGGTGCTAAAACGGATACCGAAGTGCTTATATGCGAACCGTAATTGGTATAGGAAACTACAGTGGTTAGAGTCATAACATGTTACCTTAAACTCTAAATTCCTTTTAGTCGCACATATGATTATAGTATTGCGGGTAGTCCCACGTACTTGATACACGATACTCGTTTATATTTTCAATGCAGAACATTAGATTTTATAGGGTATGTGGTAGGTATGACCAAAAAAGATAGAATAATCGATAAAACTCATTCGATGTATCGTTATATTTCCATATCAATAATAATATTTGACATTGATGTTTTTTAATATGGAGACAGAAAGAAAATCGCAGACAAATACACACTAACTTATCGTAGTTAAACGATAAGAATCAAAAAGGTTGAAATTTAGTTTTGAAATATCGATATTATTTTAAAAATGTGTAATCGCACAGTAAAAAGAAATACCGCACACAAACATACACACGCACTTATACACACATACATTCCGTTACGCAGTTTTTGTCCTGACAACGACGAAGACGACGGCAGATAATTTTATATTATAACAACTTAATCTCCGTTCTCGCAACGCCACATAACAAAACAGAAAGTTGCCGAAAAATAAATTCCCTTCTCGTGACCCTCCCAATCGCTTTCCGGCGCATATATATATACGTATAGGATTTGTCAACGCCGGCTTCGGTTCAGTTAATCCGAGTTACCCGATGTTTTGATAGGTTTCCGCGAGATGATAACATATTATATCAAATTCACTACAAACCCACCGCCCACACCCGACTTAGACTTTCGGTATGCGTTTACCGGTTTTATCGTCACCCACCCTGGGTCGGCTCAAATGTGGTTTTATAAAAGTTTATATCCGTCTGCCAATAATAATTTCGAAATGCGCGTCAGTCGGAAACACCAGCCACGTATACGCTACTAGTCTGCAAATGGGAAACAGTACAGGGTTTATAGTGGTTACGGAAATATACGGAGAAATTTCAAGTCTCTAAATCGTACCATCACGGTAAAATCAAAATAGAAAATAGAAAATTTATTTATTTCTTAAAAAAAAAAAAAAAAAAAAAAAAGTTAATAACAATAACAAACATGTTAACACAGTTTCGCCCATTGATTTTGAACGATGCCTACAATATTTTGTAGTTCTTATTTTTAGTATAATATGATTTTATTGCATTGAATTATTTAAAAAAAACCATTTTAGTTATATGATTTGAAAATACCAGAAAAAAAATGCGTTTCCCATATATTATATTAATCATAAGTTAAAAACTCGCACCCGGATGTCAAATTCGTTTAACTGCAATGAATTAATTGTCGGAATTTCTACGTCGTCATATTCAGCTATAAAATATTATGACATCCGAAAAACCGGATGTCACGTCATAGAACAAATTTTAAATGTGTTTTCTGTTGTTGGATAAATAATTAAAATATCAAAGTACCTAAATTTAATAATTGCCAATATGATGTATTAGTTTTGATTTTAATATTTATCGTTTCAGAATAGCCCCTGTTGTAGGCGAATAGCTTGAAAAGTATTTGGTATAAAAAGTAATTTAGTTTATATTATAAATTCAATGATAGACCATTGCAATTGAAAAAAGATTCTGAGTAAAGCTTAGTTAACTGTATGTTGTAGCATAGTATAGGTCGCGTTATTTTCTTTTGTAGCCAAAAGCTAATCCGGAAATCAACAAAAATAAAACCAATGTATCGTTTTTTGTTATTTTTTTTAGAAAGTCTATTGGGAATCCGAAAAAGTATTTCAAAAAAAGTATACCCACGGGTGAAAATCCACGTCTTTTAAAATACCATGCGAACAATTCGCAGACCATCAACGTACTTTTACAGAATATAAAAAACAGATCTTAGTAAAACTGTAATAGCTTGTTCTGTAAATATTATCATGCGAATAGTATTTATAGGCACAATACCTATCTGTTCATATATTTTATTAACATTAAAATAACAAAATTTTATATATATAAAATAATAATAATGATGATAATATTATTAAAATATCTCTCTAACTATTTCTTTTACCCTACCGCCACCGCGCTGTCCGCCACTGCGGTTTCTCGTAATAATTTTACGTAAATCCCGTTACACGAGTGCAGCAGCCGTAGATAAATTGGCGGGAGACAAATGTCTTATTATTTATGTCCCTCATCCGGTCCGAGTGTGGTATAGTAATGGCGGAGGGACGAAGAGAGAATGGAGGAGAGGTCTTCAGAAAAAAAATGATAGCGAAGGGGGTAGGGGACTACACAGAACTACAACACAGGTTGTTAAGAATGACAATAAATCAAGACCGTTTTATGCGGGTTGGCGGCAAACCCCCTGGCCATATATATTTTCCCTCGTGACCGAAGCCGAATAGAGCACCTTCCGAACAAAACTAATTTCCTGCGGGAGCATTCGTGCACGCTAGGTTTCTTTTACTATTATTTTTATACATATATATTATTTTTTAACCGTGAGCAAAGCTGAATGACGCGTGTTCGGGCTCGCGCCAATCGTCGTCTACGTACAGGATGGAAAAAAACCCTAATAATATTAGAGTGTCTTACAAAACTCATCAGTTTGAAAATGTTTTATTGTTGGATCTTGTTGCGAAATTCAACGTTATCAAATAAAATTCCATTTGATCAAAAGTTCATGTTATCCGTTTTTGTGATTGATAAATCTTTATCAGTTCTAATGCCCTGTATCATAATATTTGAAAACATCATAGGAATCATCTGACCATGACCCCTGTATTATCAAATGCAATCCATTCGTGTTGGTATCCCCCAATAACCTTCCGACTGACTACTGTCTAGTTTAGGATAGCAAGTTTATCACACAATACGCATTATGTATTAATTAAATATATTATTTGATGGAATTGAAAAATATTTTTTGTGTTTATTGCTTTTTGCGATGATAGTGTAAAATAAACGATAAGATAAAATAATTATAATGTGCACGGTGATACACGCTATGATTAACACGGTAGCGAGTCAAGTATTCTAATTCTATTGCTGATATAAACATGATGACAATGTATCCGTAATCGGCAAACCATTAAATGGTGTTTCATATGACACTTCTAGTTGAGATCACTTCATTGAGACAAAAATACAAACAATAGAACATATTTTAACACGACACATAAGAGTTAATTAAATTTTCCAAAATAAAAAATTCCAAAAAAGGTGAATTATTTCCAAGATAATAACGAGTGCCTTTCACTAGATTACTCACCCTATATAATACTTGTACATTAATTCAAAACTCTAATACCTTTATAATGTTTTCGTGTCCTGATTTTGGTATAACTATTGTAATCATAATATTATAATATAGCCGTAAACACGAATAAAATAAAATGTATTACTAAACCAACGTTTACAAGTGAACTGCACTTAACTATACCTTAGTCATCGATTTTCCCAATTTTTTAGGGGAAAATAAAACGATCGGTTTTTATTATAGAAATAACAGTACCCTAATATTATCGGTTATACTGTCCATTTAGCAATACCTCTAAGAGACATACTTAATACAAATTATAGTTGAATTTAAAAAAAAAAAAAAACATTTATTTTCAATTAGCTTGTAATTAGTATTTATTAAGATTTAATTAGTCAGAAATCTGGTAGAAAAGAATTGTTTGATTTTCATTGTAGTTTTCCAATTTATTTATCAAACTACAAGAAATATCAAAAATATAACCACCAAATGCACCAATAAGATCAATAACGCTACAAGAAAGTTCTTATAAAGTTTTTAATTAGACTAAGATATCTGACAGAAAAGTAATTTACAGACACGGAAAATCGAAAAATTTAAAATAAGACTTATAATACTCTGCTCAAAATCGTTTTTATTTAGAAATTTTTAATTGTTGCGTATATATATATATATAAATTAAATTACTTTATTTTTTCACCATACCAGCTTTTCTCCTAAAACAGTGGTACACCCTATCAGCAGTATTAGCTTATCTGTTTAATTACATAATATAATAAATTCGATTATATTTTAGTTACATAAATATTAGTGCTCATTTATATGTGTAGTATTACTATCAATAAAATTAAGTATTTTCCAAGTTCTATAATGTTTATAATTTATTTGGATTTTGTCATTTTTTAGATTCTGTATAGCCATATAATCCTCAAAAATTGTAAATTATTTTGTATTCTTCTAACATTTAAATATAAGAATAAATGTAAAAACAGTATTTTGATTTCTTTAACACGTTTTGTTTTGTTTAATTTTAAATGTTGTATCAGAAAAACTGTAATCCTAACATGGTACTATTTTACTAATACTTTAACCAAATTTTCTTAACTATAAAAAAAACACAAAATAGAAAAATTATCTTCTCAATTCGTCATTAATTCCACCATTCCTGAAGTTGATTTACGGTAGAAAAAAATATAAAACTATATAGAATCTAAACTATCTAATAGGTATAACCTGCTATGATTCATTATATGTATTTTTTTTTTTTAACTAGGAACTACGAGAGGATTAATTTTTTAATAATGATTATGAATTTGAGCATATTCTATAAAATATAAATTATTTTGTGCACCGTTATATTTGCGTGAGTTCGTTTACATCATGTCCTGTTAATTGTTTTATTCTCAACGTGCCAAATATGTCTACAGCCATGTGAGTTTTGGAACGTACGTTATTGTTACCCTATATATTGTTTGTACACACATTGCACATACTAACTCTAATCCGGATCTGAATTTTGATATATACGTATTATTGTTGTTGTGCTGTGTGTAGATAAGACTCTAACAATTCGAGTGGATTTTTCGCGTATCGTTGTTTTTAACGTTATCTGAAATGAATATGTGTGTACAGTGTATACCCCTCGAGATCTCCCGTCGTCGGTTCGTGTCGATCGTGAAAATCCCTCTGAAAAATGAAGATATCAAACGAACCGGTACAATGTACACAATACGAGATATGCGTTACTCGTGATTATAGACCTGGGAATGAAACTTAACTCCTAAAACTCTGAGAAAGTTTATTAGTTCCATGGAGTTTATTTATGTTTTATGAAAAATAAAAACATTTTAAAACTATAAGTTGAAAAACGTAAACATTTTTAGATTTGGATCGTAGCAAAGGATATGTTGGTTTTACTAAGCTAAGTGTTTTTTTTATTTTTTGTAACTGTAAGCAACTTCTCTACAAGAAATCTTGCTGCGATCAGGCGTTTCACGGAGAGAAGCAAGGGTGTCAATCGTCCCCCCCGCATAAGCCGTGTTATGTTCTTTATTAATATACACATTGTCCATCATTTTTAAGAACAAATAAGTACAAATGCAACTGGTTCAGATTGCCATAAAAAAGATTCTGGATCTTGAAAATAATCTGATTGAAACAGCAATGAAACAATTCTCATTTAAAAATTTCAATAATTATTTTCTCAAATGTGAGATAGAATTATGAAAAAATAAGTGGAAATAATCAATTTGTAAAGATATAATGAAATAACACATTTTTAGAATCAAAATTTAAATTTTAGATTCTGAGTGTGGCGAAGAATGTTGGATTTACAATGATATATTTTTTTTTTTAGTGTGACACAAATGTCTACCAGAAATCTTCTTTCAATATGTATGTTTAGCACCGTTTTTGAAATAAAATATTGTCATATTGACTATATAATATTTTAGGAAGATCATTTTTGATTTTCCAAGCAATATTAAAAATATCCGGAAAACCCAGCATGAAACGTAAAAAAAAACGGGAAAATTTACAAAACTAATATTTTTTTTCAATTTTTTTTTCGTTGTGATTTAGCTAAAAATATTTATAGAGACTTGCCATTTAGAAAGGAACTTATCTTGATGCCTTGTCTTGATGTAGTAACATTTTTGAGCAATTTAAAGATATTTAAATTTTGCGAGTGTTGTTCATAATTTTTATTTGGTATGTATATTGTTGATAAAATTGTTAGACTTAACAGAAATGTTTGAGAATCTAACATGAGCTTCATTAAAAGTCATACTTTGTAAAAAAAAAAAAGAATTTTGAGCAGAGGCTAACTGCCTGAGGCTTATCACTTTTTAAATATATATTCATTGAAAATATTGTTGATCAAACCGCTTGAAAAACACGGCTTAAATTAAAAGTATATTGGACTTGGTTATCTAACTTTTATTAGTTATTATTCTCATTATTTTTGTTCTTAATGTCAAAAAATATAAATTTAACTTTTAAATTATACTGTTCTACTGCATTTGTACAATATACCTGCAGTCTTCTAAGCTAATATAAGTTGAAATAGCATCAGACATAAAAGTTTTATTTTTTTGTTGACTAAAGCGGTGGTATTCAATAGTAAAATTTCTTCGCCCCCTATGAAATTGACCCGAAGATGCCCCTGAGCAATACTCTTAACCAAGCTCCACTCAGAATTGTTTTTGTTTTTAAAAATTTGCTTAGTTAAAGACATACATTAAATTTCCCTCAATATCCTACCTTCTCAACATCTGATTTATAATAGTGGTCCACACACCGTGCAAAGTGTGTCCGTCTATTTTTCTTATCAATCATTAATATTAAATTTAATTACTTCACCCCCTCCCATAATCAAGGTCTGGAGATGCCCCTGGCTGGGATAAATATAGTGTAGCACCTCTTCAGATGAAAAATTTTAGTTGGTGCACTGACGAGTTCGTTTTTAGATTTGTTAAGTTGTCATCGTAACAATTAGGAAAAACCGGAAAAAAATCATAAATTTAAACTAACAAATTTACGAAAATAATACTTTTATTCTATTTATTTTTGTTTTTCGTAAGACATGAAATGGTTGAAATTAATTTTCGAATTGCAGTGTAACAGTTCTTACTGTATAGAGATTGATTGATTTATCGTAATCTAGCAATTTTTTACGAGAATTTAAATTAATTTTAGAGACACGGATTTGCAATACAACTGTAATTTTCCATGAATTCTATAACGAGGAGTGTATAATTGGGTCACATTTTATCTACCATTTTGGTTATTTTCTAATTGTTAATCAGTTCTGTCACGGAATTTAAATATATTGGATATACTTAATAAGAAGCATATTGCAGATTTATCTCAGTTACCTAAAATAAATACTACGCATTATTTGGAAATAGACCACCACGAAGATGCTAACAAATTTGTTATACCGATTTGTGTGGTTTTTATTTTTTCGGACCCAAAAACACTTTAGGACTGTAAACACTCTCGAAAAGTTTCATTTAGTGACTTTATAAATATGTATATAAACTGCAGTTAGTTGAACACTAATGGCACATTAAATAAATCATTTTTTTTAATATTTCAAAAGTTCTCGATAACTGAGAGTAAGGAATAAAAGCTTCGAAATTATAATTTCCCCGTGCTTCACGCAGAAACGCACGTGAAAAACGTAATGATTTATTATCGCTTTCAATATTCTTAAATAAGAATACACTTCAATACGCTCACATAAATCTATGGAGGTAAATAATTAGGTATTTTTAAACTACGGACATTTAATTTTTCTGAATCGTTTCTGCTAAAATTTTTGAAAATATTTTTGCAATATCCACATTAAATTTTGTATATTTATCATAAATAATATTATGCTCACTTTAATACATAATGAAAAATGTTCCTTGAATTTTCAAAAATATTTCATAATACTTTGAAAATCTCTTAGGTATCGAACAAATTTGACATAATTCGATTTCATAAAAACATGTATGTAAAAGCCCTCATACAAGGAGATTGCCCATTATATTTCTGAAAACCTAATTATTGAGAATTATTATTCGATTTTACTGTTCTTCTCCGTAAAATTTAATTATAAAATATTTAATAATTATTTAGTTATCAACTTTGTCTTCGTATTTATTTTCAATTTTTATTGATAAACACCCAAAATAATATAGTAATATAGTGTAGATAATATAATATCAGACCATTTTATTTTGTACTGCATCAATCGTATCTATTTTTACATTACATTAGATTCTGAAACTACGATTTTACTACGATTTGTATGTTTTTTTCTGTCTGTTGAAAACTTCTGAAAAACTCTTAAAATCCAAAAAATATCTATACTGTCTATTGTAGTGAAATCGTTTTATTCTCTTGTAATCTTTTCATGTTTTCTTATAGTTAACAGCGTAAAAATACAAATAAATAATATTGATAACTGTAAGAATTATACAAAATAATTGTATCTAAAATATAACATTATATACCTACATAGTATATTAAAATTTATTCAAATAACTTATCATATTTCTGGTGAATATAAATTCATTTACGAACGCTTTTGTCGTAAAAAAAAATCCCAAGTGATCCATTATAATACGAGTAAATATACATTTTTATCGTATTAAAATTTATATTTACTTTTGAATATATTATCGAAAGGCGCATAAAATTTCCCATTAATTATTCCTACTGTTACAAAGTAATTTAAAGTAGACATTTTTATTTAGTTAGTTTTTTTTTTTTTTTTATAATCAAATATATTGTCTTAATAGAATATTAAAATAAATACAAGATTTTTAATTTTAAACTATTTTGAATGAAGTAGATATGCGTTATTTTCCAACGGTTTTTTTTTTTTGCGATAGAATGCAATTTTTTCTGATCATTGTGGAATAGTTTAAGCTTTATTTTAAAATCATTTTTAATTTTTTACCCTTACTCCATTTACCTTAAATAAGTGTATACTTTTGATTTTCCAAAAATTCTTCCTTCTGAACACTGATTTGAATAGTGAATATTTTTCTAGAAATTGTAATATGCATCACACTAATATCAGATTTATCGTTTATGAGTTATCGTAGTTTAAAGATTAGACCGGACTCGTATGGAAGGATAATAAATTGCCTATCTAAGATAGTATCTATCTGATATTAATGTAATGCATATCATAATTTCTTAAAAAATATTCTCTATTCAAATCAGTGTTTAAAAAGAGAGGAGGTTCCTATTGGAAAATCAAAATTATGCACTTATATAAAGTATATGGAGTAGGGTTATTTAAAAACATTTTAAAAAATAAGCCTTAACGATTTCATAATGATTCGAAATTAAATTCACTTAAAATTCTATGAGGTAATTGCTGGTTCTTAGTAATACAATCACTCTGTAAACTTTAAAATTTAGACATTTTTTTTCGAAATTAACTTTTGCTAGTTTTAACAAAATTAAACCTGTTTCGTTGCATTTGTATACCTATGTATCAAAATAATATTATATTATGATCAGATAATTAATTTATATTTTAGTTTTTTAAAATAGTTCAAAAAAAAAAACCTTCTCAGTATTTATTTAACATAATATATTAGTCTTTATAAATTAAAATCCATCAATAATGTTGTAGCAGTAGACGAGGTAATGATACATATTTTCATCTATCGGTTATTGGAGAAGGACCTAATTTAATTTAATTTTTTTTTTCATACATTGTATTTGATATTCAAATGTTTTTGTAAATGTAATGTAAGAATAGGATTAAACTGAAAATTAATATTTTTATTAAGTTTCTTAAAAATATTTACAATTTATTGTTATATACTTTATTCATAACATACACTATAGAAAATCTGAATGTAGAACACTAACAAAAACGACAAAAGTATCGGTATAAAATATATAGGTATGAAGTCAATAATATAAGTCAATATAAGTAATAATACTATAGATTTTTATAATGAAATTTCAACTGACGTTTGTATGGTAAGTTGACGCTGAAACAATAAACGAGGTACTCAGAGTTTGATGGTGTGGTTTTTGAGTATTTTTGGAATACATATTATACTGTACGTGCGATTTTAACATATCCAATAAGAGATTCTATTTACCGTAACTTTAGCCTATATTTATTTATACATTACACACGTGATATTGTGATGCAAAGGATTCAAAACTATTTAAATTACCAAATTAATCAGAGCACTCATCGAGTGATTAATAAATTTCGTAACTATCACGTGTATAGGAACATAATTAATTAAATTTAATAAAAAAAAAAAAAGTTTGATACTGTATGTAAAAATCGAAAATAACAAAACTTTGGCTGACGTAAATTTGTTCGTCTTTCATATACGTTTTTCCGGTATTTCCCAAATATTTGAAAGCTACAAAGAAAATCAAAAAAATAATCTTCTCACTGAACCACCTAGATCCAAGGTTCTACGAAAAACTCATTTGTCAAACAAGCACACAACACCATAGTTAAACCAATATATTTTTCACTTCGCTCAAAATCTCAAAAACTGGAAAATGCAATAATTGTTATCCCGCTATAATACATTTATCTTGAAAATACATTGTAAATCCACGTGGGAGATGAACACGTGTGTAGGTAAGTAATTTATTTTTAACTAAGCCGATTTACTGTTGTGTAAGGAAATTCGTGTTACCGTACTTCGGTAGGTGTAAGGCAGGTAAACAAAGAAAAAATTGCCGTTTATATAGTTTACCCTTCACCATTCACCGCAGTTGTTCGAGGATTAATGGGTCGTAAAATAATTTTTGTTTTGTATAATATATCCGATTCACCGGGTCCTGTTCCTGAAGTTGATGTTTATTAATAAATTTACGGGCATTACGATCCAATTAAGACAATGGTTCTAAATCATTACCACTTGTGGAACGGCTTTTGTCACGCACATTTTATAATATTTACGACGAAGTTCAGACATAAACACCGCAACTATTATAACACCTAACCCTTCTTCTAAACTTTTCCTTTTTATCCTCTATACTTCAATATACTTACCTATAGAGTCGACTTTAACTTAACGACCCGTATTTTAATGTTAATTTGATTCGACACTTTTCGAGTGAGAATATGAAAATCATTCGATACAGGTAGATATAGTAATAGAACAGTTACGTGTCTGATGGTTTTTCGGTCAAATAATAGATAAATACTGTTTATGGTATAGAGTGAGTCATATAACTGAAATGAATACTGTGGCGTAAAGTATAAAGATCGTTAAAAATATTATTTTCCTAACGCGATGGGTTTGTCATTCTTCTGGGGATCGTGGTTGTTGGCTATTTTGTGACTATCTCACCACATACCCAATCCTCTTGCAATTCTACCTAATAGCCGATTTTTTTTTTCTAATATCACTCTTCATTCATAGATTAAACGCCTCTCTTCACTATGTACTTCAATCTTAAACACGGCGTTTTCACAAGAATTTCTTTAATTTTGGATTCCCTTCCACAATGTCATGTGTTAAACTTGATTCTGACTTCGTTACTGTAATTTTGTATTTTTCATTGTATCCAATATTCTCCGAATCCTTCCTGTTCGTTTTTTTTTTTTTTTTGGTTATTCTCCCTTCAGAGTTTTTCTCATCTAAATTTCCTAATGACCATGTTTCTGCTCCGTAAATGATGGTATTGTAGGTCTTAATAGCGTATTACAAAATTATTGATTTTTCAGTTTTCTCGACCGAGACCAACACGATCTTTGCGTGTTTATAAACACAATCGTTTACCACTAATATTCTTGATATTATTTCCTTTTCAATTAATTATTTTTTTTTTAACAACAGACATTCAAGTTTAAAATTCCCGAATGCTTTTCTCAAGGTTTTCTATTTTCGTATTAAAAGCTCACGAAATCTCGTTTATTATTATAAATAATGTATATTTCATTTGTGGACATCAAAATAATGCATAATATAAGTGAAGTTTGAGTTTTATTAACTTATTTATGATATTAATGTATATAATTATTTTGGTATAAAAGTAACGAGCGAACTTTATAAAATAGTCAATTGTAAAAGATACGCGCGAAAACATTCAAGAATTACTTAGCGGTGCTATTTTAAATTTTTACGTGAAGTAAACAATGTGAACAAAATGTTTATAATAGTTAGGGCTTTTTGCGGTTCGCCTCGGCGTAAGCCAATATTGTGTGTTATTATCTTAAATATTTCGAAACCACCGCAGTCGATAAATTACCGCACTAGAAAAACGATTCCTAGCAACTCAGTTTACCCATGAGGTTGGTCAACATACTATTATTATTAGGTATTATAATAACGGCCGCGCCATAAATTTAAAACGCTTGTTTATGACTTTTCTTCCGCGGTGTTTTTTTTTATCCGAAACGGTTTCATAAACTGCCGGGAAAAATTTAGAAAACGCGATAAGTTCATACACATTGTTACAAATATAACTCATAACGTTTTATATCAAATATCTCGAACCAAACTGCTAAATCAAGTAAAATATACATATTAAATATATAACATATACATTATAACATACTTCGCATAAATGGGTGCGTTATTGTTGTCGGTGAGAAGTTGGCAAGGATGTATACATTTGTTAAAATTTATATCTGTATATGCAACGATAAATCATGTTGAAGAAAAACTATTCCAACTTAATGTTAAATATTATTTGAAATGCTGTGATTTTCACTGTTTTCGTCAAAATGTCAACTTTATATATTTATAAAAATAAAAGTATATTGTAAAACGTTATTTTACAAATGTTTCAATTAATAAATTTTCGTATGAAAAAAAAAAAAGATTTACTATGGATTTTTGGTATTGTAATAGTTTCCTAAGAACAACTTATGATGGACGTTGTTTAAAATGTTGAACATTTTTGAGGAGCCAAAACAAATTTTAAACACATGAAACAAAATAAAAACATTAGAAAAGTAAACTCGGTGAGTATGAAATGTACCCAAATTCTAAACGTATACGAGTATATTTAAATAACAAACTATAGTTTCATATGTACGCACAATTTTCCTTTTTAATAGCAATTACTTATATTTTAATATTGATTTGGTTTGTTGTGAGTAACATTTTTAAGCCGGACAGAAATTATTAAAAATTTAATGAGAGGTTCATTATATGGTGTTCTTCGTGGTTAAAAACAAGTAGAACGTAATTGTGTACTTTTTTTTAACAAGAATTTCAAGTTTTAAGGAAAATTGTAAATATTGAGGCATTTCAAAACATGTTTAACTGAACTTGTCTTTGAATATTTAACAATAATTTATCGTTGCGGCATTAGATAAATTAAATAACTTTGCGTATCCTACCTTGCTAACTTCTCACTAAAAACGAAGATACACCAGTCAAAAGTAACACACAATATCAGCCCCCTCTTTTTTTAAAATACTAACTATTAAAAGCATTTATTTACAATTAAAGATATTTGACAAATGATATCGAACGTAGAAATTTATAATATTCGATCGTCATATTCTGTTGGTCTAAAATATGATTAAATATCTAATTTATTTCTCTATTATTTGATATTGGGAATATAGCTATTTAAGTAATGGATAAGTATCTATACATTTTACAGAGAATAAAGTGAGAAAATTAGTGAGCAATAACGAANAGTATAAGTAATTAATACGTATTAAAGTTTAAAACTTGAACTTTTATATTATAAAAAAAAATAACTTTTTTAATAGCAGATTAGAACCATGGGAAGTGAGCAATAACGAATATTTAGCGGCCTAAACATTAACCATCTATGAAGTATTCCAAAACCGGCAATTTAACTAAATAATCGCTTTAAATAGCTAGTGCGAGTAATAATGAGATAATCAATACTATAATGATGCGTATACGGATGTAAACTAAATCGAATGATACCTATTATATTTAAATATACGGAATTTATATGAAAACTGTTTGGATAATCCAAAAATTACTTTCTTACTCATCGAATAAACAACATATTATTTCTTCAAAAAGATACTAATTTTTAAAATTAGAATAAAATTTCAGATAGAAAACAGAATAAATTTAAAATACATAATGAAACAAATCTTGGAACGATTTTTAGAACGTTATTAACACCGTAAATATGAATTCGATTTTCCTGTACGGTATTTTAGAGTTTTCCTAATCAATTTTAATAATTATTTCGAAAAACCCTGGGAAAATACAAAAAATGACCTCGTTAATGTATCAACTTGATCCAAATTTCAATAAAAAAAAAAAGTGCTCTTGTCATTTTTATATTGGTTCAAGTTTTTTAGTAGAAAAGTTGTACAGTGTACACTGTATAAGGATGGAAAACAAAATTTAAAAAGTAAATACATATCACAATAACATCAATATTCCTCGTTTTACTTTGAATCGAAAATTAGCACACATTATACAAAATGTATACGAATAAACACAATTAGTAAAACCAATGCAATCTTCACTACATTTAAAATCAAAAAATATATATCGTCATTGTTAGTAGACAGTGACACAACTCAAACATTTTAATTTTCGAGATTATTTTAATAACGCATAGCAAAATATCCAATAAACCTTCAAGATTGTGAAAAATTGTTCAAATAAAGTACTATCGATTGGACATTTCACATCTCTGTAGATACTGTGTAAAAAAATGTGAGCATTTTTATTAAATTAAAAAAAGTGTTTTCCAACAAAAAGCACACATCTTAATAAAACTAAATAGCTTCTTTACTACACTTATAAACTAAACAAAAAATACTTAAAAGTTCAACAAATTAACAATAAATTATTTAAATTTTAGTCTAGTAGTAATTTTGCCATCCGACCATCATAATAATTTACTAGAATTATGTTTATGTACGTAAATTAAATAAATAATTGTACACAATATATACTTCATTATTTATCTTTTAACATTTGTTTTTGCTTTTAAATTATTCTAAGTGCACATTAATTTACTCGAATTATATTATATTATTATACTTATAAAAGCCGTTTTAATGCAATTGTCTCAAAAAGGAAAACAGTATTAGCTCTTTATTGTCGGTCTCTTTATTAGTCGACGATCTTTTCGACTAAACATCATCATGAAAATTTAAATGAAGGCCACATTAAAACAAAAACTTAATAATAATAAACCACTTTATTAAAAAGTTTTTTTTTTAAATAATATTATTAAAGAAAGAAAATTAATTTTTTTTAAAATATAAATATATTTTTTTTCATTAAACGTTCTTTAGTAAGAGTTTTACGGGATTAAATAGACGAGACTATAACCCGTGTATATTTAAATGAAAAAAAAAACAAGATTAAATTGTACAACGTTTTACCAGAATGTTCTAAGTAAAAAAAATGTATGAGAAAAAGCGTCCTTAGTCGCTCCAAATTATACATCGTGTTTAGAGTATACCACAATATATGAGAAAACGATGTTTACGCGAGGAGGGTGATAATAATATAATTTTTTTCCTTGGACTTTTTTTCTAGTCAGACATAATATTTTGTGCAATAAATTCTATTCTGAATTCCTGTACAATAATAGTAAAGCTGCCTCGACGTTTTTGCGAACGAAAACTATACATATTATGTACAATAATGTTAGCGATTCTTGAAGGTGCTGAATTTGACTTGCCTTGTATTAATAACGACCTGTGCACCTACCTGTTTTACACCACACCTCTCTCGCTGAATCATACCGAATGTTTGTCGAATATTATTATATTATATAGCTGCCTACCTACGGTATGTCATTTATTACACACCGCCGAGTCTGTGGAATGTGTATACGAGGTTTTCCAACGGCATAAAAAAAAAAAATAAACAGAAAATAAAATAAGATATGAAACGAGAAAACGAGCGCAAAGTACAGATTGAAAATATTTCCAGGTCAAGTGACGGGAAATCCATTGCGGGTAAACCAATAATTACCAAGATATATAATTATAATTGTAGGACGACGTTGATCGTTCGTCTAGTGAGGTATAATCGATAGAATTTATTATTAAAGACACGTCTTAGAGGGTATAGTAAGTATATCTGTGTGGGAAACAGTGGTGTAGCAAGGGTTTTGAATTAGGAGGGTGAATAAATACGATTTTGCTGGGCTCATTGGCATACGTAAGGGCCGAAATCTTCTTACAAATTTAGAAAAAGTGTTTTTACCAATGTAATTTATAAAAAAAAAAAAATTGATTAAAAACCCAATTACAAAATGAAAAAATAATATGCAAAATGTCTTAGCATACCTTGTAGCTATACTTGTTGCGACCCTCCGACAGCTGCATGATTATGCTAGGAGAATTTTGTGTAAAAAAACAGTAATTATACACTGTTTCCATCAATGTCATCTATAGGCCCAGTAACCGATTGGGCCATCGGGCAATCGGAAAAATCCCCGATGGGCCGTTCTCTAACGAATCAGAATGGGCTGATTGATTACATATTGCAATTTATTCCGTTTTAATAAAAAAAAAAAAATTGGCTACAACTATAGGTTTTTAAATCATGTTTATTACTTTTTTTTATACACTGACAACGATAAGGATAAGTGTAAACTGATATTAACATATAACCAACCTCCTTAATAATATTATCTGTAGATATAATAAAAACAACAGCATGGGTTATTCCGAGCGGCAACGTCGTATAATGTGACCGGAGGCGGGTGACTAACATGACTTTTGACAGTGCATGCGTGTCTGGATGATATGATTATTTTTATTTATGATTAAGTTTATTTTTAAATAATATTATTATTAAATGTCTAAGCACAAATTACTGTCTAGTAGTCGCTAGTGGCTTCTATTTAATTTCTAATTAAATTTGTTATCCGCTTACACTCCACACGCATTTGACGTTCATTATATTTTGTTATTTGGTATTTAGTGTACCTACAATTCAGAATATTATTTGTGTTTTTAAATTTTGAGTGGAACGAAGAAGCTTATGGTATTACAAAGATATTTATTTTTTTTTTATCTGTGGACGAATTCTCTACCAAAAAATCTTGCTCCGATTTACAATGTACAATAGTATTATTTCTAAAAGAACATCGGACTGAGTTGGTACATCAGGGAAGTCGTTTTTTTGATTTTCCCCAGGAGTTTTCTCAACAAATTAAAAAACCTGGAAAAGGTACGAAATGTAGGTATTTGTTTAAATTAATACAAATATTACAGCTTTTTTTTTGTAAACAACTTTTTTCCAGCAATTTTCCTCCGATTTACAATGATAGCATATTTTATGAAATTATATTTGATTTGGGAGGTACTTTTAAAAAGTCATTTTTTTGATTTTTCCCAAGAAGTTTTCCCAATAAATGAGAAAAATCGAAAAACACATAAGAAAACTGTGAAATAGTTAATAGTTTGATTTTTGCTTTTTTAATCATAATGGAATCGTTTAAGCTTATTTTAAAATTATTTTTAATTTATTATCCCTACTTCATATACCTAAAATAAGTGCATACTTTTGATTTTGAAATAAGAATCCATCTCCCTTTTTAACACAGATTGGAGTAGAGAATATATTTTTAGAAATTTTGATATGCATAACACTAATATCGGATTTACGGTTTATGAGCTATAACAGTTAAAATTTAGACCGGAGGAGTAGGGAAGGGTAATAAATTGCCTATTTATAACCCTTCTGTAAACGATTCCGTAATGATTAGAAAAAAAAGTAATCAAATTCGCTTAAAATTACAGCTGGTTCATGAAAAAAAAAATCACCTTGTATAAATAACAATTTATAGTATATATTGTTAATTCAATAAATATACTATAATATACATTATTAAAAATGTAATGTAAAATAATGTAAAATTTAATCGACTAAAAAAATTGACTTGATCAACAAGATACACTTGCAGGTTGCCCCTACGACCCCTCCTAAATATGCGCGGCTACATATTAATTTTCTCAGGCCGGTCTAAAGTCCCGATCCGCGTCCTTGTCTGTAGACAACAGTGTATTTAAGACTTATTTGTTTTTATTTAATTTGTTTTGGTGAGGAGGGTTGTATTTATACAATTCAGATGGCTATGATAACTTAAATCATACAAAAGCCACTAATATTAGAGAAGTTGTGTGCTTCTGGGAGGTGTAAGTCTCATAAACCATTTTCTAAATACAACGCCACTGGCTATTAAAGTCCCTTTAGTCAACTCCCCTCGGCTACGTCACTGTTTGGTAGGGAGTCGAGAGACGAAGATGTCTGGTGAAACATTTTTATTTGGGTTAGTCCAAAGGGTATAGGTATACTGATAAAATATTACCACGTATCTGAGCGTGATACAAATACACAAAGCGGTTATAAATATATTTATATAAATGTATATATTTTATTCTATTCTTTTTTTTTTTACGCACTTTTGTCACGGATTGTCGCGGTTATGAGAAATGTATGAATGTATGTACAGAAGTTTCATTTATTAAAAATACTAGCTTAGCGAGATAAAAAAAGGAGAGAAGGAAAACGATCGTGAAATATATTTAATATACTAATAAAATGACTGGATTGAACGAGGACAGAAACACTGTTGAAATTTAAGTAGTATAGACGATGCCAGTATGTTCGACATGCAGTAACGTTGTAGCGCGCTGACCAAATTTTATCTTAACAGATAAATTCTTATCGTTATTCGGTATTATTATTATAGGGTTAGTATGTTTGATAAATAATTTTACATGTTTCCCTATATTTAGTTATAAGTGTACGTGTTGACTTCTTTTCTGATTTTGAGTAGGCAGGTGTTTGCAATGATGAGTTGTTATAATTTTTTCCCGATATTAAATAAGGGAAATCAAAAACCGTGAGTTGATATTAAAATCTCCCTATATATTGATTGATAATCCTATTTTTTACATTCCAAAGAAATTTTTCTTTGAAAATACCGGGTTTGAACATAAAAAAAACCTTGTCCGATAACATGATATATTTTCGATATCACGGCTTGTGTCGATACTCTCCACTCGTAATATCAAACGGTCTTCGGTACAGAATACAAACAAAAAAAAAACTCCGTATTTCACATGTTTTTTTATCAATTTGAATTCGATAATCTCGTTGTGTTTTCTATGTGTATTTAGATAGTTTTTAACGCGTGAGCTCATAAATACGTATTTATTCATTTTTTAGTGAATACGAATTTCCGAATTCTGATTATAAAATTATTTGTCTAATGTGATAATCTATTAGTTACCAAATTTTTAGGTTAAGTAAATCATAATAATATTAATGCATTTCTGTGGCACCTGTCTGACGGTATACCAACAATGATATTATATCATAAAAACAATTCGTTTTTGTTCGTCATTTGTGTTTATATTTGTATTTTTTTTTCTTGTCTCCACCCGAAGTCCGTATTAACGCGTTTTACTTTTCGAGAACGGAATGACATATTATTTGCTGTACTGAACGTCATCGCGAAACGAGCGGAATTCTCTTCCACTGTAGTGATTTCCCGACGAAAACATTACGGGACTGAGTATTATTGTCGGACGAGAATTCACTGCTACGGTACGGAAACTTTTGCTACAGACGGAAAATTCGAACCGACACTACGACGGCCGTGTTTGCACCGACCACTATATCATAATAATTGGCGGAGCTACGGGGTGTGCCGAGCATGCTTTAGCACACCTTAAACTGTCCAATTTGTATTCAAATATAGTAAAACCTATTTTTTTTTTTATTTATTACATTAATGGCCAGCCGAATTCTTTTATAAAAATAATAAAAACACTTTTACAGTTATGACGTGCATTAACGACATTTCATAAAAATGGTTAACTAAAATCAAAAAATAAAACATTTCTTAAGTATTAAAATTACTATGTTTGTTTTTCCTAACAGCCAAATCAATCTTTGAAATAACTCTGCGATATTATAGTTTATAGCGACGACTTTTAGGATCACGCCCTAAAAATAAAATCTAGTTTTATCCATCCTCATAAAATGCCTAAACCTTAATTAATATTTTATAAACCACTAGCTGTGCCGCACAAGGATGCCCAAACACTATTGAACGACAAAAACAATTTTAAAAATGGTATACTGTTGTTGGGTGTACCACTATTGAAGGAAAAAAGTTAAGGAGTTAGGATTCTACTTCTATTATAGAACTATTATATAGAACTATAGAACTATATAGTTCTATATCTATAGAACTATTTTATGTTTACTCGTATTTGTGTGCAAAGATCGACAAATCATTGCTAACGAAAAACGAATACAAGCAAAATCCAGTGTTGAAATGCTGTCAATATTACTATTTTCATTAGGATTTAACCATTAGACAATTACAAAACAATTGTTGCATAAAACGTTTAACTTATTTTATTGACCAATAAACGGTATTAAGGATGGACCCCGAGAAAATTTTTTATTTAATCTACTCGGCCAAAACAATAATATCTCAATAAAAACCAAAAAACTCGAAAATACCATATACCTAAACATAGCTATAAAATCTTACTAATATAAGGTTTGAAAATTTCAGAAATCAACAATTGTTTTTAAATGACTAAAAGTAAAAAAAGAAAATCTAAAATAATAGAATTGTTTTTGCTATTTACTAATAGTTATTTCAGATATTTCGGTGTGCAGTGTGCACGTAGAATTTGAATTGTGTTATTTTTCAAGGAAATTTTGTTTTTTCTGGTTTAAAATTGAAAAATGTTTGTAGAACCACTCGGCTCGATTAGCAAATATTTTTTTAACAAATGCCGTTTAGGATATATATTAAGGTATTTGATATTTTCGAGTTATTTGGTTTTTATTGAGGTATAATTAACCATATTGATGCAAGTAATTAATGTCAATTAAAAGATAACATTGAAACTGGAACCGAAAAAGTTACATTAGACAACAGTAGAAATACAAAAAAAAAAAAAAATGATTATAAAAACTTTTAAAAATAATTATAATTGAAGACGAGCCAGAACTTTTTCCTTAAAATTGTTTTTGTTATACTTTTTTTTTTTTTTTGCAGTTGACCCGTCATATAACAAAGAATAGAAATAAGGAAAACATTGTCCGCCTTTTTCATCATAATAATATTATATTATGATATTTTTATAATGACCTCGCATGATTTTTTAATTTTTTTTTTTTTTTTGATAGGTTCAAAATTGTTTGGATTTTTATTTCTCATTTTTTTTTTAATTCGTTATGTATTTTCTTGGCCGTAAAATACTCGTAGTCGAAGCGATAGAGGCATTGCGGGGGTTTCGGACGTGTATACATAATATTATATCACTCGGTATTATACGGACCGAAGTGAAAGGGTGAGAGGAACGAGACGAAGGGATAAAAGTCGACAAAGGTGTTGGCGGTGTTTTATTTTTACTTTTTTTTTTTTGCACTCTTTTACGGGCGCGTTGGAAAACACGATAGGCCGCGTGTAATACCGACTTAGACGTGCGTTATATAGTATATGACGTACACTTGCCTCTTTTTTTACACTGTTTTTTTTTTTTATATTTACAATGCGAATATTTTATTTTTTCAAATAATTCACCGATGTTCATATATCGCCTACAGGTAAGTATAGATTCACCGACTATATATCTACTATACCTATACGCATAGAGAAGCACTCATCTGAAGTCCGCATTATTATTATAAATCAAATGTGCGATATTTTATAAGATATTTCGTGAAAATTTGAATTTTTTCGAAGGTCGTAGTCACTCGGGTGGTAATATTTGCATCACATTATATTCAACATATAATTTACTCGACCAGAGCACGAATATGATCGAATACGAATAAGCTCGTATATTATCTTATTTTTTTTTTATTGAAATAAAATTGTTGGTACTTTTCGAATAAAATTTTTTTTTTTCATTTAGAAAAAACTGCATTCTTAGAAATGAATCGATATCCAAAAAATGATGGAACCAAAGTAATAATCTGCAATGAAAAGTATTGTGTTGGTTTGTGAAGCTAATTATGAAGTATTGGTCGTTGACGTGAACCTAGCGACGCTTTTAAAAAATTGCTCATAACTCTTAAACGACCATCCAACAAATTGTAAATACTTTCCAATCATGTCTGACAAATAAACAAAACATCTGTTTGATAAGTTTAATTGAATTCTGTTATAAGTTTGTTGCAATGTTCACAAACGTGAACTTAAAGTAATTTTGTATGATTAAAAATATAACCAAATTCAAATTTGAAAAATACATTAGCTAATGTAATTTAAACAAAAAAATACAAGATCAAAAATTAAACTAGACAAAATTAACAAACCGACAATGTCAAATAGTGATTTAAGCTCTTCCTCCCTGGAACAAAAGATATAAAATATGTGAAAAAGTATAACATGCTGAAAATCACTGACGATATATTCATATGAATTTATAATTTTAGTCCATTTGAGATTGCGTAATACTTTTAATCGTTTCCATCTTAAATCTTAAATTTTTTAAATTTATTTTTCATAGACATTTTTCGTGCTACACGAGTATTATATTGTACAGGTAGGTACCTACTTTATATTTTATATAGGTATAATTGCATAAAATATTCAATATATATGTACATTGTACAACGTTTGATATTGTTGATTTTACAATGTTTGAATTCATTTCGTGGTACTATTATACTTTGACTGGATGTGAATTTCTTGACCAAATATTGATTCACCGAGACTCTTGGATATGCCGATATACTGCTCTGTGGTTGGTTTAATAAATATCTCCATTTATTTGTTCCACAAAATACAAAATTTAAAAAAAAAACCTCTCTATTGTATAAAAAGGGTCTTTTAGTAGTGTGTTTCCTATAGTTTTCCTACGGTCTAAAATATTTGTTTACGCAATATATCGATCGGGCGGTCTTTCCACTTCTGAAATAAATGGTCTCCGGATGATGTGTGGACAAGTATAAAAATACTTGTGTATACTTCCGTTACAATTGTAATATATTCAATAATTACTTTGTAAAATAAATGATCAAGGTGATATTGTAAAATTGCAAGTTTCATTACAAATAACACCTCTTAAAAAGTGGCTCTTATTATAGCAAGACACACACTAATTCAAATTATTAATTAGGCGTATCAGCGACATAGAGGTATATTGTGGCGGTCAGGTGGAAGTCTATAGAGTAGGAAATCACGGGTGGCATGAGGCACTAAACATGTAACTCGTTTTTTCCTTCTTTGAGTTCGCTCAGCAGAAGCACTTACTTTTGGCTCTTTTCCTCCCAACACACCTTCCTTTCAAACACATACAATAGTTATAGTACTGTAGACGGGCTGCTCTATTTAGCTCTCATTATTCTTATGTTTATGGTAGTTGTACTTGATGACCCTAATGGTTTACCATACATGTTTATTTCATAAAAAATTATATATAACATTCCGGTGGATAAATGATTATACACAACCACCTGAGGTAAATTTAAATATCCGTAACTATACATGCCGATAGAAATTCATTCTCCTCTAATAGGCGGTTATCTTTATTCCTGGAAGTGCATAAGGATGACAAATACATTTTGTGTTTGAAAAGGTGAGTATCCGTGGCTGAAAACTGGATGCTGACTGGACCCCTGGTAACTGTGCTGTAAACTGAAGGAACCTAGTATTCAATAGTATTTGAGGGTCTATATTTCAGTATTTTACGAGGTATACACTTTTCTCCTCATAATTTTAAGCAACGATCTTCTTGCGAAATTCAAGCAATATTACAGTTATATTTTAGATTCTGAGTGTAGCGAAGAATTTATTAGTTTTAATAAGATGTATATTTTTTATTTTTTATACTGTGCACAAAAATTTTACCATAAGTTTTAGTCCGATGTAAATGATGTAGACACTTTTCTGAAAGAAAATTTTCTTAGGGCGGGTATTTCAAAGAGGCCATTGATTTTTTGACTTTCCCCGTTAAAGAAAAAAAGTGGGAAAAACGTAAGAAAAATAAAACAATTACGAAAATTGTTTGTTTTATTACTAAATGTTTAATATTGCTATTTGTTGAAATTCAGCTAAAAATATTCGTAAGGACTTAAAATTTGGACACGAAAATTATATTTATCTTTTCTCTGGTCAATTTTCAAACAATTTTAGTAATTTTCGTGCTATTTATAAACATTTTAATTTTGCGAGTTTTATTCGGTAGATACTGTGTGATAGAATTGTTAGACTAAACGGAAACGCGTGAAAATTTAACCCGAAGTTTTACTTTGTGGTCAAAAAAATAAAAATAAATTGAGTTTAATGTAAAATTCTTCTTTATAAAGGAATTTTAATATCAAATATTTACGAAAATCGTTTGAGTAAAAAAATATGTAAAAAAATTAAAATTTATAATAATTTTTTTTTGAACATACATTTATTGCTGATTTAAGAACGATGGTCAAGTCAGAATTGAGAGGACTGATTAAGGTACGAAATTACATCTAATTGAAATTTTGGTATTATGCGGATTATATGTTATATTAGATAATTATAAATTGTTAAACTTAAATATGTAGTCTAATGGTAATACATTCATATTAACATACTTGGGGTTTAAACATGAATTGCGAAACAAATTTTTTGGTGTACCTAGAGTCTCAAGTCATCGCTCGTACGGACTACGTACGTTTTTAATCGCAAAATATATGTCAACTTTTTGTACAAACTTTTCTACCAAGAATCTTGCTCCGTTGTACAACGTGTAGCTTATACGGAAAAACGGAAAATGTACAAAATGTAGGTATTAGTAAAAAAATATTACGGCCTTCATTTTTTTTCTGGGTAAAACTTTTCTACTAGTAATTTTACACCGATTTACCATGATACTACTTATTCTTAAAGGACGTCAGACTGGGGAGGTACTTTAAAGAGATAATATTATCGATTTTCCAAGGAGTTTTTCCAGCAAATGTAAAAAACCAGGAAAAACATATAAAACCGAATTAAACACAGGGGAAATTGGATTTAGTGTGGAGCGATGAATACAATAGGTTTATAAAGATATTTATAAATTTTTAAAGTCATTTTTTTTGATTTTCCTTGTAGTTTTTTTAATATGTGGGAAAAAATTTAGGAAAACCCAGAAAATGTAAATAACAACGATTTTTATTATTTTCAATTTTATTTTAATATCATTGAAAATAATCGCGGAGACTGAACATACGTTTGGTTATCTTAGACCTTTCTTTTCTTTAAATTTTTCAAAACTTTTGGTAACTAATGAGCTATATTTGACACTGTCCATTTTTTAATGTTTTAATTTTATTAAATTGGTTTTTGCCTACTTAAAATTTTTTTAAATTATACAGCAGGTTCATCATAAACCGTACTTATAATGGACAAAAATAAACCCAAATATACAAATATACAAAGTTTAAGTTTCAATCTAAATGAAAATCATACAAATAGATGAATTTCAAAACATGTTAACTAAACTTCGTTTAGAATCATTCTTTGTTTACATGAAATTAAAAACTATAGTACAGCATATACACTCTTCTTTTTTCGTTTTTTACTCGGTTTTGATTAATAAATTATTAATAAACTACCAAGTAATTTATATTTAAAATTTAACACAGAAGCTCACTAGGTATTTTTTGAATGGAACAAGTTTTATATTCAATGAGTTTACAAACAAAATATTTAAAATAGTAAAATCAATAGACTTCTCGCTTTGCTTCAAAATACAAACAATTTGTTTCACAAATATTTGTTGCACATGGAATTCATGAACACCCTTAACTCACAAAAAAATCGACACCACTTGGTCATTACAATTTAAGATGCCCGTTTAAAATAATAAATGTCCGCAAACAAGTAAATAATATTCGAACTATTCGAACTAAATATCTATTTGGTCTTAAACTTTCAATCAGCAGTAATTTAATTTAATTTTTTTTTTTATATATTAATTTCACATTTAAAATATCCTTTAATATATGTACCTAGTCGAACCTATGGTATTAAAAATAACAAACTTTTTCTTAAAACTATACGGGCAAGTGTTGTAATATTATGGAAGTTGGGTTTTTTTTTGTATATCAATAGTGTTTAGTTAAGTTATTTATATTGACAAGAGAGTTTTTTTTTTATATTATTTATCCCAAAAGTTTAGTAATATTGTATATACTGTGAAATAATAATAATAATATAGAGGTAGTTTTTTTACGACAGCTTCCATATTTTATAATATCTTAATCCGTGTCTGTAAAGTTTTTAGTGTAGGTAAACGATATATGTCATTCTATAAAACAGTTTGACACGAACCTGAAAGAAATTTAATAACGTTTAAATTTTGTTTTTATTTATATACCAAACGATCATCTTACAGCGTCATTTACAATCGTGTGCAATTTAATTTATAGTAGAAAATTATTCTAATATTTTCCGACCGTATTATTATTTTTTTTAATTTAAATTTTGCCTAACGGTGTATTGCGTAAATTTCCATGCTGTTTTATTTCAAAATCCCGAACTCTGCTATAATCCAGACTATGAAGAACATTTTAATATCGCTATGGTTAGATTAAGCAATTAAAAAGGTTAAGCGTAATTAGGTTATACGTTATTCATATTAAGGTAAAGCGTTATTCAAACTTCATCAGATTCTATGAATAACTCAATAAATTTCAGAATGTTTCGAAATTTGTGCGTCGATTAGAAAGCGCTAATAAAGGTATTCGGTGAAAATTTCAAGTCTTTGAACTTTCTATTTGATTTTCTTCCATTCTTTAAAAAAGAATCAAAGATATACAAATATAACCAAAATTCATCAACTGAACAAAACTAGTTATACCAGAAACCGCGCCTAAATTTAATCATTGTAATAAAATTTTAGGTGGAAAAATGATTTACAAACAAAAAAAAACACACACACACATGCGTGCGAGCGTCTTCGTAAAACCAATACACTCTTCACGTTACGCTCAGAATCTAAAAAAAAATATGCATATGAAATTTTTGTCTGATTCATTGTCACACGGACCTTTGATAAATTTCTGTAGCAATACTAAGGGAACTCTTACCCGAACTAAACCTGCCAACTTACCTACCTACTATATACAATACACTTTCATCTTTCATTATTATACAAACCGCACCTTTCAAGTCACCGAGTATAGGAACCGCGATCTTTCACACATATAATATATCATATATAAAAGGTGTGGTCCCTGAGGATCTGCCAGACCCCACGCACTATTCAACATCCGCTGTCACGACGGCGATATTTCTGTCCTACAACAATCCCTTTTAACAATGTTTTTGTACGTATGGTTCGACAATAATAATTCAACACGCTACGAAATACTCGAAAATTGAATAATGAAAACTATCTTCCCCCCAAAAAAATTGTATTGAACTTATCACCAGATATTGATTCAATCGTATTACACAAATTAAGGTATAAACAAATGTTAATATGAATGAATGAACCTAAAAAATCAATTATAAAGAGAAGCGAATAGAATAAAAACACAGTATATTAATATACAGTGTGATAAATCTATGGCAAGGCACTCATGATTACATTTTTATTTGGAATTTGTTTTCATAGAACATTTAATAAACAAGCAGCTTTATAATTTTATTGTTATGTATTTTTTTGTCACCCTTATTTTTGGGGGCAAAATCTCTACCTACTATTCTTTTTAAAATGGCAACATTTAGTAAATATTTCATAAACAGATGGAGTATTAAATAAAATAAATGTTGGTGTTGAAATTTTTGATTTCCTTCAAACCGTTGATGAGATATTCACGTTTATGTTTAGGTCGGGACAGAGTAGTAGTAGTGGTGAATTATTAAAACACCAATGTAAATTTGTAGTGTTGGCTTTTTTTAAAAATGTTTTGTAAAAAAAATTCCGAAAAGAGTAAATACTTTCTGAGATAATGTGAGTGTCTTACGATAAATTATTAAGGGAGATCAATTTATCTATTCAGGGTTTATATAAAAATATAGAAAAACCATTGAATATCTCTAAAATTAATGATTAAAGAGATCATATTAAATTTGACACATTATCTACGAATAATATTTAGTCTCCAAAAACTTACACGGTCAATTAAGTCAAGGTCAAAGTTATTAAGTAATGAATTTTAATAATAATTATTCAACTTTTATTATATTTAATTCATGCACAAAGGTAACGATTAATAATAATTTATTAAAATACCCTATACAAATATAAACAGTTTTAAGAATACTGTACAATAATATTGAAACTCAAATCATCAGCGGGTTTAAGATTCTATAAGCAAGATTGATATTTAGTGAAATATAGAAATTCGATATAAAATGCAATATCATTGTTTCCATTGGATATGATCAAGGAATTCTCCTGACCGTTTAAAAGTTACGCTTTTATTTTTAATAGCGCTTCGTGCAAACCGTGTGTGAAATTTTTTTGTTATTTTTTTTTCGTGCTTATTTTTTTCAACGACCTTTTACCCATAAAAATACTCGAACACTCTCGTACTCGGACTCGCCGGGAAATGTCGACATTTTCCCGCCGTGGAACTTTGATGGATCGTATTGATATCAAAATGTCGCTGGTACGAAGGACTACGATTAATTATACCGCTTGCTATGTGTAATCAGAAATCACGGAATAGATCAAATATAATGCAATTATGTTTAGAAAGTCACCAAGGGCCAAATTTTCTGTTCTGTAAACAAGTCAAAAGCTTTTTTGATGTAAATAATTACAAAAATATCAGGTTTAATATGGAAATGAATGTAAAATATAATATGCTATAATTGTATTATCAAATAATACACAATAAATTAAAATATTTTGTTTTTTTCTTTTATTTTTCAATCTTTCCATTGGTTGATGGTAGATTTTCGTTCTTCTCTGTCAAAATTTAAATCTTTAAACTCTCGATAATTTTTTATATAATAATTGTCTTTTATAAACTAATAGATTGAAAAAGGTATTAACGTTATCATTATTATAGTATTTTTATTTTTATTTTAGATTTCGAGCATAGTGAGGGTACTATTGGTTTTACATTGCTATTTTACTTTTTATTTTTTTTTCTCTTCTTCTAGTCTGTGAACACGTTTATTCCTAGTAAACTCCGAGCATACCAGAAAATTAATTATTTTATGTCTTAAAATGCTATGCGTTACAAACATAAAAGAGTCCAATTCTAGTGTCTATCAATAAAATTGTTGTGACTGTGACGTTATTTTAGAGAGAAATTTTTTTATTTAAAAAGTGGGTGAAAATATATTTCGTTTCTTTCCTCCACAGAAAGGGTCTTAGATATGACACTGACATTGAACAAGTTGCGTTAAGCTTTCGTCAATACATACATTATAAAACGTAATTTTTCGAAATCATCAAAAGTCGATAGAAATGAAGTGAGAAATTATAGATTTTAGATTGCGAGCGTAGCGAGGGCGCTATTGGTTTTACTAAAATGTTTATATTTTTCTTCTTTCTTTCTTAATTTTTTTCTTCTGGTCTGTGATCACGTTTTTTCCTAGTAAACTTGCTCCGGTTTTTGCGCGTGGCAACTTCCTGAAAGCTCAATTTGTCTAGACAGTACTTTAAAAAAGTCATTTTCTGATTTTCGACAACCTTTTTTTAAATAAAAGCACTAAAGAATGAAAAAAACGTGGGAAAATGTATAATTTCGCGATTTCATTATTTTATAAAAACACGGACGACGTTTTCTACCAGAAAAAATGATTTAATCGAAAAATCACAAAAAACCTTTTTTGTTGCCTTTTGATTTACTTTATTACGATATTATCGCCAAAACTATTGAGCTTTTTAGGAATTTTAATTTTTAGGAGTTTTTTTGCTGCGATTCAGTTTTAAATACATGTAGAGACTTAAAAACTGCTAATAATACTTATATTTGACTTTCCTAGACGTGGTCAAATTTCCAAAATCAGTGGATGACTTTTTTATATCAATAAGCATTTTAAAGTCAAATTTAAACGAAATTCGCGAAAAAAATTCCGGCACTTCAAATTATGTATTAGGACTGTGCTCGGAGTCACCTATCGTCAAGCAATGGTTTATCATTGCTTACGGATATAAATGAAATAACTTTATGTATCCTACCTTCCAAACTTCTCATCTACAACAGTGGCCGCTCTCATCCCCAATGTCAGCTATTTCTTTTTGTTTAATTCAAGGAGTTGTTTTTTCCCGCTAATTATTTTACTTGTAACATATTTAGTTATTATTCTATTACATCCCGTAAATCTATTAAAAAAAAAAAACCTTTCAAGACGAGACGCAATAACTAATTTCTAAAGGGTAATTTAGACAATAACTTTTAGTCAAATTAACCAAAACGTGAATCATGTATCATAATATAGTTTTAATGTTTTTAATAAGAATCAAATTATGTTATTGTGATGCTATTATTGTTTATATGAATTATTATTATTATAATAACAGAGTAAAGCACTTCAATAATCAAAGTTTAACTGATATTTGAGAACAATTTAGAAGTTGTTTGTTTTATGTGCGTGTACAATACACAAAATTACGTCACTTCTATTAATATTATTATATATTTGTTTGTGTTACACGCGTGCTTGTATTAAAATTACCATACACTCGTTACCGGGCGTTTGAAGTTTAAATAGGTATATTGCGGGCATACGATAATGATAAATTTATATACCGTCAAATATCTAACTAATACCGGTTATTCGAGGATGCATTGATATAATCAAAAATCAAATTTGGCTATATATTTTTACTTGCTTACTCGTACATACTGAATGTACATTCAAGTACACTAAACATATTGGAACCGGGTTGTTCTAATTTAGTAGGTAGCTGTAATAGGTAAACATATTATAGTAATTTATTTATTGGCCGGCAATCAAACATGATAATTTTAGGTGGGCTACAATTCGGAGAAATTATTTTCGTCAAACAAATGCCATTGAGTTTGATAATAATTACTACATACCGATAAAACTAAAATTTCAAAGACTTGTCGTCCGCTGTGTCTAGGTTGTATACTATTTATAAATCAACTATAGTACATTTTTTCATAATTATATTTGAATTAATATTATAAATATTAAATATTTATTATTAGAAAATAATATATTAATTTAATTTATGTATGTATATTAAACAAGATTGTAAAATAATAAAAAAAGTATGAGACCAAATGAAACTATTGCAATAAAACCAAAATCGCAAGTTTCTCGGAATCTAAGTTGCACAACTATGTAAATTCTAGTTTCAAATGTATCTATTTGTTTATTAATTGAATGATTTCACGTTTAATTAAACTAGTTTTATGTAAAAAATGTGTCCTCAGAATGCAGTTTTGTTATTAAATACGTATGAAAATAATGATAATTAAAAATACACAAAAATATAAAATGTGTTTTTACTGTGATGATCTGGGCGGACTAATAAAATTTGATAACACCGGTTTTTTTTTTTTTTATTTCTGTTTAACGATTTCGTTGTGCTCTAGAAAATGAAATTGTGTTTGCTCGTATGCATAAAACATAAATGAAATAAAACACAAATTGAACTATTTTTATATAAAGAGGTCAACACAAGTTTTTTTTTATTATTATCTGCATACTTTCTCGTAATTTTTAAAATTAAATTTTCATTTTTTCAAATTTCTCTACCCAATGATGTAGATTGAATTTATAATTTGGGTTGAATTTCGTCAAATTTTTAAAAGAAAACTTTTAAGTTTTCTAAATTTTAAAATAGAACATTTCACATCTCTATAGAAATCTACAACAACTGATAACCTAGCTCGGTGGACAATAGGTTTATAATCCCTACATTAGTATTTAGTTATAATATAAACGAAAATCAGACGGCCGAAATGATAATAGTTTAGGTTAAGTTGTTTTCACAGATCTATTGCAAAGAACTAATCTGCCAGAATCTTTAACATAGGTTCATATGAAAAAATCACCAAAATCTCTCACTGGCTTTCATCCGCTCACAAACTAAACATCGAGGAAATTTAATAATATATTTTCGTTTCAATATTTAGAGAGGTTTGGTAAGCAAGAAAAAAAAGATATAAGATATTTTATTTTAATACATGTATTTTAATATTACTATAATTTTACTATATTAGTTACCAAGCACGGTTTTGCCCGTAAAAAATAAAATAATAAAAAATAAATTTTTATCTTTGTCATATAAAATAGCTAACCTTTCCTAATCTAACTAAAGTATAATAATCAAAAACCTAAATAATATCGTATTTGAATTGCCAAATTCATTCATGAGTTACCCTTTATGTATCGAATTTCCAAAATGAGTGACGAATTAGTGATTGTGTGAATGGATTTGGCTTTCCTGTATAAAGATTATGTATTTTGTGTAGCAAAAACTCATCACAGTGTTGCCATGACGGTGACGGATTAGTATTTCTACTCGAGATTACTATTATATGCTCTACTCCAGAGCTGCAGTGCATACTTAAACGTCTTGTATAACTCGAACGTCTTCGGAATGCGTTCTAAGTAGTTAACAAACTGGACTATTCTTATATACAGAATGATTTATTTAAGTGACTACTATTTAAATGATATTTTTTAAAGTACCAATTCCATAAAAAAAAAAATAAATACAATTTAAGAAACAAGTAGATGTTAATGTAACATTCATTAACCTTAATTTGTGTCACCCTTATATTTGAGGTGAAACCACAACGTACTTTTGATCTTTCAATAGCAATTGCTATTAAAAATTCCAAAAATAATTTAACAAAATTTTTTAAACAATTCCATATTAGTTTGAACAAATGTTGGTACTGAAATTATTTTTCTTTATTTCACTGTGTATGTGTAATTCTTCTAAAACTGAATTAATGTGAATGTTATTTAATTCATTTACGAGTATTAAACATTTTAATAATTTTGTTTTTACTTTATTATTTTATTATTTATTAATTCTTAATAACACTATTTTAATTTTAATTTTAACCGAGTTTTACACAGAATTGCCAGAAATTTCATTTTTAAGTGTGACCAATTTTTTTTTTTTTTTTTTTTTTAAAGTTTTTGAAAGGTTTTTGGTTATTTTAATTTCGTTTTGTTTGAAATATTCGCAGAAACAATCAATTTAACCTAAGATCTACACACCTACTTGTTTAATATTATATACTCGTATAATCTTACAGAAACAATAATCTTATTTTATTCATTTTAGTCGAATAATAATATTTCGATTGATTTCGCGCGAGAGACATCACGCACAGATACGTTTCCGTCGTATTTATAATACGAGTGTCGCGAACAGAAAGAATTTAATTTAAAATTAAATCGCGAATGGGACGCGACACACTGCAAAATGACGTGTTCTCTGTACGTGACACACCGAATTCGACTTATTATTTTGCACTACCAACACCCCGTGACTCCTGCAGTAAATTTGCATAAACGTCGTTGGTCGTTGGTCTAACGTTGTTAAATGATTAAATACTTTCCCGATTTTTGGTTTGAAATAGTTTTATCGACAACAACCAGAACATTTTTTAATTGTCAATAATAAAATAACGAGATTTTTATTACGCCGATTAAATTTTATCATCGTACCAACACACGTACACCGTGATTTTAAATTAAGATACAAAATGTACAAGAGATAAAGTATGGATATACCTACGTATAGTGTTTTTATTGAGCAATTAACTTCAATATTAAAAACTGGGTTCGTGTATTACGTGTAACTATTGGATTACTTTAAACGTGTTTATTGTACAAACGAACAGATGGAGTCAACTGTGCTGCAGTTTGGCGTATAGCGACTATTATTATAATCCAGTCAGCGGATTATAAAGATTTTAAATTGAAAACGTTTTAATTACAAGAACCGAAACGGTAAAATTACAAAAGGGAAATGAGTTTTTTTCTAAAGGTATGGGAAAATGGACAAATTAGAAAATTTAAGAATTAAATAAACTCTTTCGGAAATAGCTGTTTCGAAAAATTAAAAAAAATAAATGATTTTAATGTGAAACAAAATATTGACAAGAAGATAATAATTTATTTTATCTACATTTGTTTGTATTTATTGTTCTGTAGTGTTTATATGGATGTTTACAATTTTTCAAAATTAATTTTAGAAAACAGAATACTTAAAAATGATTTTTTTTCTAAAAAAATAATGTTTTTTACCCAGTTTTTTATTAAAAATATAATTCATTCAGTAATTTTTTATTTCACCAAACTATAGTCAGTTTTGTTTCCGGGTTTTTTCGCGGAGAATTATTTTCAAATTTTCATCCCTAATTTCAATGACGTTTCAATAACAAAACAGTCCATTCAGTGTATTTATGAAAAAAAAAAAAATATGTATTTAACCAAATTAACTAAACTAATAAAAAACCAGCAATACTATTACACTGTTATTAATTACCAATTGAATTGAATTATGATTAATTTTTAACGTTGTGGCTAAGAAGTTATAAATATTTGCGACATTTATGATGTATCAAACTATCAACCAAATAAATTATAACTCAGTCGTATAAAATTGCGTATCAAAATACAAATATTTTGGGTTTAACTCTAATAATATATATAGATACTGATTTATTGAATATTTCGTATTTTATAGGGAAATATCTAGAGCAATAGAGGGAATAACCGCTCGAATTTCATTTTGCATTTGAGTAAATGTAAATTTTTAGGTGAAATCGAGCATACACATATAAAGCGTTTCGATTGACGAGTGTTGCATGAGTAATGGATCTATTGTAAGTGCAAGAAAAGTCATATTATTATACGGACGAGAGGAACTTCAAATACATATACATATATATTGTATATACTTTTTTTTTGAAATTCTATTTCCACGTCTAGTATTTTTTTTTATTTTTTTTTTATCAACGAACTTCAGAAATAATCATTATAATATACAAGAATGTACTTGTATTTAAAAAAAATAAATAAATATAATGCCTACAAAACTAATGCAATGTTTGAAGCATAAATGTCTTGAATATTTTGTATTTTATACTTTAATTTGGTGAATAATATTTAATATTACTTTCGTTCTTTTGAACTATATTGTTTCTAATATAAATACTGAATTGCCCATATTAACGGGGTACCTACTTTTTAAAAGAAAAAAACATAAGAATAAGTTACAACTTCATGAAATCTTATTTCGATAATTTTGTATATACGCGGATCAAGTTTTTCATTTTAGATGGTAAATACCAACATGATCAATCAAAATTTGAAGTAAAAGTTTAAATAACAAACGGATACATTTTACCGGCCTTTAATTTACATTATAATTTTAATGAACACTGATAAATGTTCGATATATATTTCGATCCATAGGTAGACAAATATATCGTCATTTTAGTTAATTTTCAATTAAAATATCACCGCCCGAAATATCTGACTCTTTCAAGAGATACATTTTGGACGATTTGTGTGAGTATATTTATGACCAAAAAAGCGGTTGCTGAAAAAAAAAAACCGTGTTTGTGAAATCAATATAAAATTGTCATTCTGCTCAAAAACTAAAACAATCGAGATGTCATATACAAGATAATGTATCGGGAAATTGTACTATCTTTTAAAAAAATGTGTTTAATATTTTGATAAAACTAACTCTCTGAATCTGAAATATTTTAAATAGAAATTATATATTTAGTACTGGAAGGGGATTATTGCGTGAATATTTTTTGGGATTAGGTAATTTTTCTCCGTGGCGGAGGCGTATGCATTATATCCGTAAGCCACGTTCTATTCGTAACTATAATATTATGTTACTGTAGTAACTCAAAAAATAAGTAGTTTTGTTTAAATTAAATTTTCTTTCGGGGTTTTTTTTTTTTTTTAAAATATTGAAAATAATAATAACGCTATCGTCCCGAAAAAATAACCGACACTAGAATCTGAAAAACTTTATTATACTATATGAATTTATATTATTAAAGAATAAAATCACGAATGTATAGCTAGCACACTTTACCATTTATATTCAAATCTTTAGAAATCATATACTGTTATATCTGTATAATATAAAAAAAAAAACAGAAAAAAGTATGGAAGTGGATGAAAAAAAAAAATATGAAGAAGAGGATAAAAAGACTATTCTTCCGTCGGCTAGTGGATTTTTCGATTTTTCGATAATGAAAAATATTATTATTTATTATTTCAATGGTTCTCGGTATGATAAAAGGAAGATAAAAAAAGATAAAAAAAAAAAGAAAGAAGGCACAGATGAGAACTCACGTAAAAATAATCACGTGTTTCACATCATAGTGATTTAAACGGAAATTCGTGTTTCCATTTTCGTATGATGCATTTTTTTGGGAGAATTTTCATCAGAATTATAACAAGACAGTAAATGCTGTTAGTAGTAATCATTCGACACGGACAAATTCCGTACTATTTTTAAAAAGCGAATATTCTGCGTCTTATTCTAACTGTACTTTAATAACAACAACGCATCAGTTGCCGACTGTGACAATTTCTCATAATCGTTTTTTTCACCCCTCGACTTCTTTTTTTTTTGTGTTAATTCAGTTCTATTGTACACGCATAAGAAGTTTTTATATTATGTATTGATTTCGGCGTGGGAATGACTTTATAAAGTTTTCTCTTTTATCCACAGCGAGTAGTGGACCGAAGTTTTTCTGAAAAATTGTAATTTATGTTTTAATTTTAATTGTTTTTTTTTTTTGCTTTTGTCTTTGCCAGATTAATTTAAGTTTTGTACTCGAACCACTAACGACACCTGTGGCTACTCCGGCAAAACTTTTTTTTTTTTGTCAGCTCGCGGTAAATCGGATAGCATTTAAACAACATAAACCGTCACATTTCATTTCGCCAAATCGTGTCGGTAAACCAGACTCATGTATGATTATATACTTTGATGAATATTTTATTTATTTATCTATATGTATAACAAGGAAAACTCGTGGTAACACTTACCACAGTAGTGTAAATCTGCTGTTCATAAAACTCTGTTCTAACGTGTTATGGATTATTATTATTTTATACGTAGAATTTCGCAATAAAAAAACTAAATTAAACTTTTTTCCCGAGATTTTATAACGATTTGTTTCAAGAATTTTTTTTTTTTACATTACTAATATTTGAGTTGAGAAAATTAGTGTTTTGTTATACCTTAAAACTTATAATCGTAATATAAAACGTTTAATAAAAAGATAAATGTATAAACCGATAGTAACTTTATCCACTCGTGAAACAAAAATTTAATCCGTGTATCGTAATAATAAATTTGTCTTTTGAAAGAACGTCACAGACAGGTATTTGCCGTCCATGATTTTTAACGGGCAATATAGCAAAAGTTCAGCTTTTCCGGGATTTCTGCTGAACTCGATAGGTTTTAATAGAATTGAGACAAAAATATTTTTTCACCAAAATAAAGTTTACTACATTTTTTACAATATACTACAGAAGTTTTTAATGTTTAATTTTCAGATAAATTATTGATGACGTAAAATCTAAAGAAAATATGTGAATTAATTTTTTTTTTTTTAAAATCATAGTATAAAACTATTAACAATATGATTAAAAAAATGTATCAAAATATAAATTAAATAATAAAAACAACTGTTTATGGAAACATAATAGTGTAAGTGCCGTTGATTGTAATTCGGTTAAACAATTTTGAGGTCGAATTAGGTACCGTTGCATTTCCAAAAACACGTTTTCGATATATTTTCGATTAGAATGTAAAAATCAATACATTTTACAGTGAAAACCTCATAAAAATAATATTAAAGTATTAAATGTGTATTTTTTTAAAAATATATTATATCTTATCTAAAAAAAAAAAATTAACAATATTATAATAAGGTACAGCGTATTAACTTAATAAAAATATCAATTAAAATTCAATGACTATACATGCGCTTCAGCTGTATAAAATATGTAAATTTAAAGTGTAAAACTTTCATTTCAGACAATATTATACGGAACACACGTGGAACTGTGTTTCTTTAATTCCATAAAAAAAAAAAAAAAAAAAATGAAATGTTCGTGTTAAAACAAGCCCTATTTCCACGCCCACTAACTTTGTTGATTTTTGCGCAGTGCTTAAAATTAAGGCGATCAATGGCCGTCGTCATCGTAAAACATTTCTCCGGTGAGCGTTCCGGTCATAAACAGCAGTATAGGTACTTTATACCTGCGGTTTTTATAGATACACAAAAAATAAAACCCAGTCAATTGCTAATGTAATAAAGCTTAGTCTTATACGTTACGAATATTGTAATAAAATTAAAATTATATCGATCGTTTATATCATATATGAATACTTTCACATTTAAACAGTTAAACTTTACCGAAGGCACTGGAAATAATGACTGATCTATATAGATGTGGTCGTCCGTTAACAAAAGTTCAATACTTCCAGATGATCGATATATAGAGTGCAAAAAAAATCAAATAAACAATAATATACACATACTAAAAAAAAACCTTCTAGGTGTAGTCACTGTTATAAGTAGTTTAATGTATACCTGTAAGCATTACTAAACCATTGCTAAGGAAAAAACGATTCTGAGCGCAGTTCAGTTGATGGTAATGCTTAGTCAAAAATATATATGTCATATCATGGTAAAATAATTAAATAGGAATTATATATTTTCTTTAATAATATTTGTTTAATATTGTACAGATCTATCCATATTTTTCCCGATTTTTCACATTTATTGGGAAAATTCCTAAAAAATTGAAAAGCTACCTCCTTAAAGTAACTTTCCAGTCACATTTCTATTCAGAAAATTACCATCATTTTAAGTCGGAACGAAATTGCTGGTGGAAAAGTTGCACACAGAAAAAAAGACTATAATAATATTTTAAAATACCTACGTTTAGTACATTTCCCGTTTTTCTTACATTTCATCCAGGTTTTTCCCATATACTATGATAATCGCCTGGAAAATCAAAAAATGACCTCTGAAAAGTACCATCTGGACAACATTCCTTTTCAAAACTGGTGCCGCACGTATATAGCTGAGCAAAATTTATAGTCAAATTTCTGTACACAGTATGAAAAATAAACATCTTAGTAAAACCAATACATTCTTCGCTACACTTAGAATCTAAAATGTTTTTATAAAATGATCAATATTGAAGAGTTTTTTACTATGCACAATTTAATATTAAAAAGTTGTTGCATATTATTTTTGGATTTCCAAAATTTTAAAACCGCATCTTTATTTTTCATTAAATAGGTGATTAAAGTTATTCTTATTCCAAAATTATCTGCGAAAATATATACACTCATGTTTTCATTTTCATAACACACTCACAGCTAGTTTTTTTTTTTTTTATAAATGGAAATCGCATTAATTTGTAACGTCAACAAAAATTATAACAATATTATTTGTGTTTTTAGAGAATTTTCTTCAAAGTCATATTACTCCAAACATTTAAATAAAAAAATAATTATATCTGAAATTACAGTAAAACATAAATAATTTTCGTGCATTTCTAGAAAGTTAAAAAAAAATATAACACGCATATACGTAAAAAAAAAAATATATATTAAAAATGTCCAATGTCCACGACAGTTTCCCGCTGACTAATATTAATAATAATCATAATAATAATAAACCGATTTTAACGGAAACCTATATTGCCTGTAAATTATACCCATTTTAAAATACCCGAAAAAAATTTCAAGTTTGTATTAAAATTTAGACCACCGCTGTATAAAATTTGAAAAGGTAGTCAATGTATATTCAAAATATCCACTTTGTCGCGCGAAAAGCATTTATGTATATTATATAATATATGAGTACCTATATCGTGGAGCAAATTTTTACTACATGAACACTTGAACACTTTATAAACAATATAGACGGTTTAGAAATGACACAAACAAAAAAAAAAAAAAAACCTGAAATTCTAAAGGAAAAAAAGGATAAAAGCTATACGTAAAAATAAAATTAACCAATATCAAAAGTAAAACTATTTCATACAAAGTGGATTTTGAGATTAAAAAAATAAAAAAGGAAGCGAAAAATTTGTAATAGCAAGAACTCAAGAGTTCGGTTATAATACGTGTACGTAACTACAAAAGAATTTATTGTGGAGAATAACATCATAAAAGTGTAGTTTGTAAGTTCGTATAACGTGTTTTAGATGTTTATCCATTTGTTTTATATATATACATACATAAACAAATATAACTAGTAAATCTTTATCTCTATTATTTTTGTTTTAAATTAATTTTTATCGCACAGAATCATATTTTTTACATTTATAACGAGTTGGAACGATTAGATTGATTGGTAAGTACCTACTCGCATTTGATGTCTAATCGGCTTATGTTTGTGTGGCTGCAAGTTCGACAAATCAATATGATATTATGTATGCTGAATTGCGTCATTATCCGCAAGTATACCTACTTTAAAATCCAATGTACATTACATAATATATATAAATATTATAATAATTATATAATCTGACGATAAAATAATACAGAAATAAATTATTATCGTTGACGACTGCGTCATTAGTTTGAAAACCGATATCATATCGGTACGCAGTCATAGAATATGAAAACAAATATACGAGGCGATTATTTGTCCATCCCGAAATATAATCGATGTAAGCGAACTAAATAATCTATCTAATACATTATCAAGTAGTCCGGTACTATAACAACAAGTATGTAATGTGCAATTATGAAGTTGACAACAAATGCTTACGAATAACCGTTTAGTATTTAAACGTGAGCAAAAACCACTCGGGTTATGGATATAGTTGAGTAACCACCAAATCTATGTCATAAAGCAAAGAGGATTTGCAATGCGGGACATTGGATTGATTTTTTATACCATTATTACGAAACAAGTTATTTGAATATTGAAAAACTTAAAAATATCAGATTTTGGACAATAATAATTGTTTTTTATCACGCAACATAGAAAAAACTAACATTGCACATTACAATGTGTTCGCCATTTTCTCTAAAGAAAATTCGATTTCTTAATTAAGTCTATAGTATGAGTCGATTTCTTCCGCGTAAAATAGTCTACAGCCCAATTACGGGCGGCGGCACGCCTTCTAATCACGTTCTCTATATTGAATATGTCATTTACCTATAAAACGTATATTATAATCTTATTATTCATGGCGTTGGACATTTATAAAGCTGATTTAGGCATTATAAATCTACGCACGATTTCAATGGTGTCGACTCGATCAAATTTACAGTTTGATGTAATACCGCAGTTTTTACCATCGTCGTCTCGTGAGTCGCGACGGGATTGTTGAAACAATAAGAGCTTTGAGATATACACGAAAAACGGGTAACTATATATTTATAATATAACGGTGTGCATTGTGTACAGTCGTATATTTAATAAAAAGCTGTTATTTACAAGTGATATAAATCCTCGAATAGACACGCCACTGTCGCAAAAATGTCGAAATAAACAGCTCTATATTATATTATTTTATCGATAGAAAATCCAACACGTGACGCGTCTTTCGCATAATTTTGACGGTTCCGACCGTTCCGAGTAGAGACGAATAAGGACTCCTGGAAACGGAGTTGAAAATGTTTCACGTCAGAAATACGCATGGCATATTTCTAAAATATTTCTTTCCGAAGAACATAAACCTAAGGTAATAGGTATATTTTATTTCAAAAAATTCCAATATTGTATACGCGAAATGCGTATAAACTCGAACTTGCGAATGAGAATCTATCTCTATTTTATTTTCCTTTTAACAAAGAATCATTTAATAAAAATGTAACACGTGTAAAACTCGAAAAAATAAAACGAATAGATTGAAGTTACAGTGGACATTGAATATTAGGTACCTGTGTGGGACGAGAAGGGTATTCGTGATTTGATAATTATTTTTAATTTGTTAGTTTATGAAGTAGTTAATAATATAATAACACGGTCAAATTCATTGGTAGATATTTAATTATATTTGGTATTTTCGAGCCGGGACAAGGTTTCTGGTGTCAGGATGGGCCAGGATCGTTTTTGCGGGCTTGCAGTATTGCACATTTACCAGAAAATAAGCATGCCTGAAAATGTATTATTTTTTGTCTTAAAATAGTATACTTTACAAACATTAAAGAGCCCAATTCTAGTATCTATTAGCAAAATTGTTGTAGCTGTGACGTTATTTTTATGAGGAATTTTCTATTTAAAAAGTTGGTGAAAATATATTTCGTCATTTTTCCATCACACGAAGAGTTTTAAATCTGGCACTGAAATTGAACAAGCTGCATGAAGCTTTCACCAATACGTATATTATAAAACGTAAATATTTCGAAATATTCAAAAGTCAATAAAAATGCAGTGAGAATTTATAGATTTTAGATTGCGAGTGTAGCGACGGAGTTATTGGTTTTATTTAGATGTTTATGTTTTTCTTCTTTCCTTTTTCTTCTAGCCTGTGAACAAGTTTTTTTCTAGTAAACTTGCTCCGATTTTTACGTTTGAAAATTTCCTGAAAGCTCAAGTTGTCTAAACGGCACTTTAGAGAGGTCATTTTCTGATTTTCGACACCATTTTTTAAATAAAAGCATTAAAGCGGGAAAAAAACCTGGGAAAATGTATAATTTCACGATTTCATTATTTTATAAAAACACGGACGACGTTTTCTACCAAAAAAAATTATTAAATCAAAAAATCACAAAAAATCTTGTTTTTTGCCTTTTAAATTACTTTCTTACGATATTATCGCAAAAACTTTTGAGCTCTTAAATAATTTTTTTTTTGGGAGTTTTTTTTTGCGATTCGGTTATTTAATACACGTTCATACACGTAGAGATTTGAAACTTGGTAATTATACTTATATTAGACTTACCTAGACGTTATATGCTATATAGGATAAAATATCAAAAATTTAATATCCATTTAATATTTACATTCAACACATTGAATTTAAAATTAAAGCATTGGGATTGTAACTATAGTCTAGACCATCTAATAATAAACTATTTGGTCAAACCTAAATATTGATAACAAAACTAAACTCAAAAGTGTGCATTGTATATTGTTTTGATGATAAAACATAAAATGATTAATTATTTCCTTTGTTGTCAGTTAAAAGTAACACGAACTTTTTACTGTCTGTTATGTCCCAATCGATTATTTTTTCTTTTCCGTTATTTATCATTTATCGTTTTCATTTGTTTATTGTTTACTGATTTGTTTTTGTTATAGATTTCAATCATATTTTGAATTATTTAACGGTATAGTTATACAATTTTAAAGCCATACTTTTAAACAAATGTTATTTTATAATAATAATTTTATTTACAGAAATTATCTAACTGACAAAATACATATTAAATTATATGTACGGTTATATACATTATTATACCGTCTTTTTTTATCAATTGACCGTAAAAATTTTTTTTTAAATTGTTACATATCTGTATAAAATAATATTACTACCGTCAACAAGACAATTTTTAAAGTCGTTTTTCAACCGATGACAATCACTTTATCGTGTAAGAAATAATGCGGCTCATGTGTCAATATTTACGGTGCAAACATCACGTTCGTATACCCAAATCGAGTAAACTCGGTCCCAGTAAACAAATATCTCTTGAATTAATACAATATATATTTTTTTTTATTTAATTTAAATGTTTATTATAAAACAAAACGATTTTCGAAAATTCAAAAATCTAAATGGATCATAAATACGTATTTAATTCTGGGTAAAAAAATAGCAATGTTAAAAGACAAATACGTTCGAATTAAAATTTAATTATAAATTTATTTCAAGTTTTTGATGTAGGTATTATATAGGTATTATGGTGAACATAAGAAAGTAAAAAAAACAATGTTAAACAAATAGTAAAAGGATAATAAAGTGCGGTATGTAATAATAGTGATTATAATATTACCGAAAAAATAGGCCTTTTAATAAACTTCATAGCATCACGTTTAATTTTGAAATTCAAACTAATTAAATTTGCGAACTTGTATCATTATTATCATCGTTAGAAACCAATATTAATTTTTTATTGTACCGATGGTAGAAAAAATAAAAATATAATCGTGGATTTACACGGCAATACCATACACGGATCTACCCGAGGATCTTGCGTAAAATCACTTTAAGAACCCTTGGTTTCAAATATATTATCGGATGGTACTAATATTGACGAGTAGCGTAGGCGAATTTCCCGCAAACGCCGAAGCCGTGGCCGGATGTGTTTCGATATATCGGACGAGAGCTTATAATTCACCGGAAGTCCCGTGAAACTGACGAAGTGCCGACCACATGTTTATGGGGTCAATTGCGTGGTATGTGGTTTTTTATACTGTCAAATACTTTGAATAAATGGCGTACGGACAAGTAATCCCTACCGACACGACCGCGGAACCTATTCTAGTTTTTATAATATTATTTAAAATATGTAAAATAAAACATAATGTGTACGGTTATGTGTGGTGGTCAACTTTTATTGTAAAAATTAGGCTAAATTCCGTAATTTAAAAAATTCGCAAAAGACAGACATGTGTGTAAATGTAACGATATATGACAAACTGGTTTAATATTTTCAAATCACACGTACAAGGATAGTTTTTAATTTTTCCTTTACTATTTTAAGAATCTATGTAATAAAATTACTATTCATTTTAGTATTTTAGGTACACTTGAAGCTGGTTTAGTCCATCGAATTTCCAACACGATAGTGTGTTAGTAAACATAACCAGTGCCAGTATATCGAACTGATTTGGTCTAACCGTGACTTACATATTGCTACATACCGTCCAACAGGAGACCCCAAAAATACTATGGATGACGACGTTATGGTTTTACGTGCAATAATTTTAGGTGAGTAATTGACAATATATTTTAAATTCATATAGAAAAAAAATAATATTTATTTATAATAATAATTATCATAACAGTAGGTATTGTATAATTGCCAAGTGCGCAAAATTAATATGCCAATTAAAACGCTGAAAAAAAATAGTCTAAAGTTTAAATGAATATTTCTATATAGAAATAAATAATAAATCATACCATTCATATCTTATATGCTATTTTTTGGATTTTAATTTATCGTTGAAATTTTAAGAATGATTGGTTGACTGTAATAGTTGACACATTAAGGGTATAGACGACTTGAATAAAGTTCTTAGATTTTGTGCTGAGCAAGGAATGTATTAGTTTTATAATGTTTATATTTTTTTATCATTTAAAAACCTTTTGACCAGAAATTTTGCTCAAATTTTTAAGTGTAGCACTTTTTTCCGAAAGGAAATCTAATAATAACCAGTGTTGGAAATCGATAATGAAAAATGTATCTAGATAAAGATGAAAGATAAAAAAATGAAAATATCTAGATTAAAATAATATATATGTCATATTTTGGTAAAATAATTAAGTAGGTTCATTTAGTACGTTTTTGAAACATTGATAGATAACGTTACGCTTCAATAGTGGTATGGTTGCTTTTAGCAAAATGTGTAATCTGATATTATCTACCCAGTAACCTAAATAACAATTTTTAAATTTTGAGAGTTGGTTGTTTTCTGACAATTATTTAAATAAGTAAAATTTTACAATATTACTTTATCTAGATAAGTTCCAACACTGTTAATAACAGAAATTCCAGTTACTTTATAAAGTAATTTTAGAATATTTTTTTTAATACAAATCAATAAAAGTCTAATACATTTTGAACATTTTTGTTCAGAATTCAAAACTATTATAATCATCTTTGTTTAGATTATGTTTAGATAACCTTTTTAAATATTGTTTTAGCTATAATTTTTTAAGGAGTAAAATAATCGGAACAATATTCCATTTAAATAAAGGATTTACTATGAAGCGGAATTTTTTTTTTTTATTACGTTTACGTAAAAACAAAAACCGTTCCTGGGACGAGGCTTATTTTATTTATTTATTAAAGTAAACAACCGTAAGGAATAAACTAAAGTTAATCCTTTTAACACGAAGTCTATCTTTTCGCGAAACAATAACAGATTTACTTTATAAACCGTTGAAAATATTATTATTAAAAATTGAACATTGTAGTATATAATTAAAACAAACGTGGAAAATATGTATGAAAAATTATTGCATGCCCTTAACTTCTTGACTTTAAGTCATAAATCACAAAAAATAAGTAAATGTATGGAAAAAGTTTACTCTAATGATTAAAAAATAATAAACATTTTTTATAATTTTTATTATTAAAATAATATATTAATATTTAACAATATACAGATAATTTATTTCGTTTTCAATTACATAAAATAAAAAATATTTGAATATATAAGTTTCTATTGTTGATATGCATTACAATAGTTTCTTTGTATTTTCCTAATTTCCCTCTGCTTTTAGGTTGGTGTATTCGCAAGTCACGTGTGATGAAGGTCTGTCTAAACAGACCGATTCTACACTTAACTAATCATATTGAATTGTAACGAATCGTTCTAAGAACACTCTAATTACTAAATTATACTAATGCTTGGGCATCACCTTTCCGAACAATCACTGGAAAGTTATAGAGGACTGATATATATCTAAAGTACGAGGATTGTCCCAAAAATAAAATCTCCAATCTCCTAACGGTCAAGGGAAATTTGATTTTCCTAAGTTGATACCACTGCTGTGACCGTTAGGTTCTCCTCTTTCTAAAGACATTTGAACTGGCCAGATAAGATATTTAGTACCTTCGTGAAACGCGAACATGATGAGCGCGTCAAAGTTGTTAGCGTTCACCTCCTTCAAAAACATTAACGCATCGAAACTTTCCGCTATGTTTTGGAGCTGTATGCTAAAAAAAGAGTGGTATTTTTGGACTCATTATAGTGATAAGGAATGAAATATAGGACTACCATTTCACACTAGAGTCGAAACAACAAACTATGGAGTAAATCCAAAAAAGGAAATTTAAAATGATCTGCCAGAAAAATGATGGCAACCGTCTTCTGGGATCGGAAAGGGGTCCTTTTTATCGAATTTATGTCAATTTGGACCACCATAATTTCGACCTGTGTAACGCTTAAAAAATTGCGTCAAGCATACAAAACCGAAGACCTGGAATGCTAACGAAGGGAGTGTGTCTTTTACATAACAACGCTCGATCTCACGTGGCATGTGATACAAAAGCACTCTTGGATAAATTTGGTTTGGACATTTTCTCCCACCCTCTGTACAGCTCAGACCTTGCTCCATCGGAAAATAACTTGTTTACCAAATAATGTGCCAAAAATTAAATAAAAGACCAACAGCCAAAAATGAAACAACACAAGTTTTGAACAGAATCTATACTTATATAGCACTCTGAGTTCTGAAATATTGAACATAGGCGTACAAATTACATATATGATAGGAATTCATAACTCACTGTTTTATTAACGTCTCACATAATTTAATTATGAAATTTTTTATTTTGTTTTGTTCCCTTGATCATACATCGGAAATATATCTACATTGATATAAGCTGTTGAACGTGTAAATATTTAAATGGTTAAACGAGCTCCACTGTAAATCGTTTTAAAATGCCTTGATTTAGGTATGACGAAAAATACATACCAATATAATATTATGCGTCATAAAATATAATAACATAAGCCTATATATTATTATGAAGAGGGACTGAAAATAACGTATTGAAGAGCACTTGACGAGGCGAGCAATCGGAAACCGACCGACACGACGATGATGGAGAATCACGGCGTTTGTAACACTCGCGGAAGTCGACAATAAACGACGTGTTGTAACCGACGGCAGAGAAAGCCAATTCTCTCCTATACCGGTGACGTGGCAGACGGTCCATATGTTTGTGTATGTACACAGTGCACATACTGTTTATTATACCAACCGTTCGATGGGCTCTTGTCGGAAGACTATCATCGGCTCACAATAATAGCCACACACGACTCGATAATCCTCTTAGAATTGACACGTCCTCGCTACATTTAATGTACATCTATATGACTGCAAACATTTCAAACGTTCTCTTTAGGTACAAAAATTAGCAAAACTCGTGTGATGCGATGTCACGGGTTATAAGAAAATAAGATTGGGGGAAAAAAGTGTCAAAGTTAATTTTACCTAGGTTTAAAACCGAGTAATGAACATTAAAACCAAATAAATAACCCGTATTAAAATCGATTCATGATTCATGATTTTTGGCCATCACAATTAAATGTTCATAATGTTCATAATTTTAGAGTCTGAGTGTAGAGATAAATGTAATTGTTTTACAATTTACTAAGATGGTTTTTTAAATTTTTTTATGCTATGCATAAAATCGTTATATTTGTTGGTATATTATTTTTCCAAAAAAAAAAAAAATTGACATATTTCGCAAGATTGGTGGACTGTTGTAGGTGAGAATTTTGGGAAGATAGGATATATAAGGGAATTTAATGTTTATTTTCTATATCACTCAAGTTAGATTTTCTTTCAGAAAAATTGTTACACTTGAAAATCGGAGCGAAATTTCTGGTAGAAAAGTTTTTCAAAGGGGAAAAAAAATATTAACTGTGAAACCAATACTTAGCTAAATACGTTATTCGAATCTTCTGTACCTATTACAGTGTTAACTGTTTCTGAAAAAAAAAAACATAAATGTACAACCGCTCAGAGTATAAAAGAAAGTTAAATAGTTTTCTCTTCCGCATTTAATCGATATGTTTTTGGCTGGTGACGCAAATTAAGTTTCGATTTATTTATATTACTGTTGACACAACATGTTTTATTCCGAGATATTACCATCCCGCGATAAAGTGTATACGAGAATTAATAACGACGTGTTAACATTTTCTGTTTTTCCATTCTTTTTGTTCATTTCGTACTAGTTATCGTGTTTATTGTTGGTTAATAATATATTATTTTGTTTACAAATTCACAAAGTGATCGATGTTTGTTTATGTTCTTTCCTTGAGTAGTAACATCATTTTTGAAGTATCGAATAAAAATTATTTGCGCCCATTATAGTTGGTTCGGTTTAATGAAACAATGGATCTATAGTACCCAGTAAGCAGAACAATGATTAGAGAATTGTAGGCCACGGCGGCCTACAGATCGAAAAGATTTCCTACAAATTGGACGGACGGAAGTTTGAAATTCAATAATAATATATATAATAATACTAAATGTAACTTATTAGAAAATTAACACCGATAAACGTATACAATTTATCGCTACAGTGCTGCAGCACTGCAAATATGCTATATTAGTATGCATTTTGATAATTGAAAATATTTTATATTGTTGCGAAAAATAATTTAATTATGTTTTATGCAGGTATTATAGATATAATAACCTGTAGTTCTTTTTAAGATAATAACAAAGCATTCTCTACATTCTATGATGACATTGAAAAAAGTTGGCTTTAATAATCTAATATCATTTCATAATTATGGCCCGTTTAAATTTCGGATTTCAATATTTTCCTTTTGACAATAATATGGTTATACATTCTGATTGGTTTTAAGAGAATGGTATCAACTTTAAAAACGAAACAAAATTTGGTAGTTGTAAACCCCCTGGGATAGAAATACAGGTAGGATGAGGGAATAGAAAAGGCCCCATTGGGTAAGTTACATTTTAAAATAATGTTTAAAGTCGCGTGGAGGTAAGGAACAATAACCAAATAATTTAAAACCAGTGTGATATGATATTTTAAAATGGGAATAGTAATATCATATAATAATAATATAACAACAAGAAACTATAATTTTCCCTAATATTTAGTTCCATCGATAGATAACAGATCCATAGATAATTAAAAATATACCTACACTTAAATTAAATAAATACAATTGTAATCAGGGTAAAACAAGACTATTTGAAATTTTTACACGCAACTACAATTTTAAAATTTCAAATAGTCCAGTTACTTCTTGTGTATTATTATCTTAAAAAAAACTATAATAACATTGATTTGTATTAGTATATTTAAAATTTCATGATTTTTTTTTTTAACTGCATTTAATAAAAACCATATTCTAATTTAATAACAATCGATAGAAATATTATAAATTTGAAACAATTTGTATTTGTAGAGGAATTGCAATATTATTAGCATACTATATGCCTTGTGTTTTTAACTGATATAAAAATATATTAAAAAAAAAAAAAAAAAATTATTTTTATTATTGATTAATTTCATGCATACTAAAAAGATTTTAAAAAAACACAGAGCGTTGCGGTGATAACGAATTTATAATTATTTATACTTAACCGTATTTAATATGACTCGATACAAACAGTCGAATTTTTATTTTTTTTAAAGTTTAACGAATTTCAAAAAAAAAAAAAAATAATAATAATTTAAAGTTAAAATAATTATAATTCTAATAAAAATTAAAAATAAATATGACTATTTTAATATATAAAAGGTATACGATTTATTTATAGTATTTCGGTAATTAAGTTATATTATTATGAAAAGTCTGACATAGAAAGTACACGTTAATAATATTATTTATTCGGAAATTATGTATTTACTGTATTAAATAATAAATAGTATAAATTCTTTGTTGATTCCGTTGAATCTGTAGTATAATTCCTTTACGCAATTTTTTTTTTACCTCGCGTGCCAAGCACGTTAATAACGGTTAGTGTTGAGTTAGGTAAGTTAGAGGTTGGTGCTATGTGCACACGTCAAGAAAATATAAGAAAATTAGGTATTTTTATGTTTTTATTTTACTAATATCAAAAATGAGACCCATAATTAAATATACTTATTTTTTTTTTTTGAACGGATTAATAATGATTATATTACAAAATAAAACTTTATGCAGGTCACGCCAAGACTGAGCCAGAAAGGTAAAACACACATACACACAATATTTTTCTTTTCGTCTATGGTAAAAAGGGATACATAGTATTTTCCAATGTTGAAACTCCGATAAACTTCGAAGTTGAGTTGAATTGGAAAGGTTCTAAATTTAATATTTGATAATACTAGATTAAGTGTTTATTTTTAAACGTTTACATTAAAATAAATTTTTAGTGTTATATAAACATTTAATTTTGATAAAATTATAAATATTAAAAAGTTAATTTGTATTGAATTCTGAATAAACGTGGAATGACTAACATTTAAATAGTGTATCATAATAATGCTTACTAAGCCTAAAATTATAAGTATTAATAATAAGTTATTAAGTTTACCTTTTTCACACATTAAATTAGAATTTCATTGCAATGTGTTAATTTGAATATATACTTAATGCTTAAAAAATTATAATATAATATAATTATATTAATAATGTTAAAATCTAAATAACTATATTACGTTTCAAAATGAATTCTATATTTCAGAGGTGGCCACAACGAGGTACACTTTATATGGATACGACTCTAGGTTATTTGTTTTTAAATAATTGTCTCGAAGAAATTTCCTGCTAAATCTGATTATATTCACGAGTAGTTTAATCAATAAATGAATTGTATATTCTTAGAGAACAAAGACATTGGCTGTGGAATTACTAAAACTAACAAATGCATAAAATGCAGCTTTATAGCGTTCATAGTTTTTAAACATATTATGATTAAATGTAATATATATATATATATATATTTCTTGCCTAAAATTATTATGTTTTTAAGTACTTTATATGATACCTGCAATATTTAATGTTTTCGGAAGAAAAATGTATTTTATTCTAAATAATAATTATTGTCCTTAAGTGTTAAAGTGCCGTTGAATACTTACTTTCTGTTGAACATGTAAATCAAGTCAAAAAAACAGTCACGATTTTTATTAAATCTCTAAAAAACATTTCAAACGGTTTTTTTATTAAGTTTAAAAAAACAATAAGGAGTGAAGAAGTTCGCTACAAATACAACCAGACTCGTCTGAAGAGGCGTCACCGATGTCTTCTACTTATGTGCTGGAACTACTGGTCGAAAAGTATTTCCTACGTGCTATTTGGCAATAATATGTTGGGTTTTTGTCCAGACACTATTATCATTTGCATCGAATTATCATTCTGTTAACGTAAAGTAAGTATGATCTAAACGAAATGTAAAATTTAGATATACCGTGTTCGTAAAAATGTATAACCACATGTACAAATTTGGTAAGCAATTATTATCACTTTAGGAAGGTTGGACAAGTAAACCGAAAAACGAATTATTAAAACATATGTTTTTATACAGATACCGAGACGAGAATATGTTTTTAGTTAATTAAAAAGGAACCTTTCTCTTTATTTTATTTTTTCACGAAAGAATATAATATAACATAAAAATTAATTTGAAATACATACGACATTATATATTTAATGTATTATTATTTTCATAGATTTAGAATAGCAAATGTATCTGCTACTCTATCTACTTGTACTTAAGTTTTTTTTTTTTTTTTTATTTGAGATTTCTACTTTGCTTTACATCCCTACATAATATTGTAATGCTTATTTTTTCTTATACCTTTACTTCCAATCCATTACATTATAAAGATCTACCGCAATTGCATTTCCTTGTAAAATTTCGCCTGTGGTCAGTTTTTTTTTCTTCTTATCCTTTTGAAGTTTCCAATAACGATTTGGCTTTAATATGCAATACTAATATATTTCCTTCTTTAATTCCGCTAGACATAAAAAAGGATCTAGGTATAGTGATGCTTTTACCGTTTACAAATCGGAATAAGTATATGTGGGTAGGCACTCGTACGTAATATTTTCGAAAATTTCGCAACTTTTTGTCATGTGTACCCGTTCAGAAGGCTTTTAAGCGATTAAAAAGTAAGTATACGGAACTATTCGCTTTTAAACCTCTTGACGTTTTTTAACGAGATTTATCTTGGTCATTCCCGTACTGGTTTTTAAATGTTAATACCAGTTTCTAAAAAATAACATGTATATGTATCGGTGTATATATTTAATACTAATGGATTTTCAAAATATACAAAATGTATACAATACTTTTATGTATTTTTATAATTAAACTTATGTACTTAACTGTTTGAATTCAGTGAATATTGTACCTTTCAACGATCGGGTATTTCAAAATTATTCACAATATTCTATTAGTAGATTTCGTATATGGCACCAGTCGCTTCAGTAATGCATGTAAAATTTCTTAATATGTAAATAACATACAGCACCACAGATAAAAAATGTACAACTGACATATACCAAAACATATTAGTTAATAGTAACCAGTGACTATTTCCCCTTAATAATGAAAGTGGTTACAAAACAAAGAAAATTATTTCGTGTCGACGGATACACTAGTTACAAATCGGTCACAAAATTATTTGACCATCTTGGAAAATCATTTATAGTATAGTGTAGGAAAAGGAAAGTCATCAGCTATAGGATAAGTTTTAAATGAATATCTTCGTTTATACAGGTTACTATGGGTTTGTAACTATACCAAAATAGTTCATTATCTATTTGTGACTCTGGGGACTCGTAACAATTTTAAAGATACTTCAAATAGTATCGAGGACACTTTTTAAATGGCGGGTACGAACTAGATAAGAAGTTTTTTTTTTCGACTTTTTAACTTAGCAAAAATAATAAATAAATTATTTTGTTAACGTTTCAACTTTAGAAACTTAATTTTGTTTATTTGATTTATAAAAACATATATTTTAAGTGAAATAGTGGAATACAAATTTTTAAATTTTTTTTTTTCCATATACGGCAATTTATTTAAATTTAATCAAGTTTACCTCACAGTTTACGGCATAAATTATGTACATAATTATTACTGTTAGTGCTATTTATTTAATTACACAAAAATACGATAAAAGACGTCCTAGGATAATAAAGATGGGTGAAACCACTGCTATAGGTAGTTAAACTTATACATGTAAACAACGATAAACCATTGCTTACGAAAAAACAACTCTGAACGGAGTTCAGTTGATAGTGATGCTTTGTGAACAATATATTTACCATTTTATAGTCAAATAATTAAATAAGTATTACATATTTTTTTTAAAAATATTTGTTTAATGTTTTACTGATTTTCCCGGTTTTCCCATGCATTTTCTCGATTGTTCACATTTTCTAGGGAAACTCCTTAGAAAATCGAAAAACGATCACTCTAAAGTATCTCCCAAATCAAATTTTGTTTTAGAAATTTTGATATTAATATAAATTAGAGCGAAATTGCTGTTAAAAAAATTGTCCACATAAAAAAAAAAGGCTAGAATATTTTTAACTAATACCTACATTTTTTACATTTTCCTATTTTAGATTCTGAATATAGCGAAGAATTTATAAGTTTTAATAAGATGTTTATTTTCTTCATTTTAAACTGTATACGAAAATTCCATCAGAAATCTTGCTCAGATATATACGGGCGGTACAATTTTAGAAAGGGAATATTATCCAAATGGTACATTTAGGAGGTCATTTTTTGATGTTATATGCGGTTTTCTGGGAAAAACCAGGATAAATGTAAGGAAAACAGGAAATTAACGGAAATAGCACTTTTATAATTTTTCAAATAAATCCTTTTCCCGAATACTGAAATACATACATAAATTATATCTACATAGTAGTTTAGGGAGGTACTTTTTGATTTTTCAAGTGTTTTTAAAAATATCTGGGAAAAACTGGGATAAAATATCGGAAAAACAGATAATGTACGAAAAATATTAGGAAAATATTACATTTTTTTTTCTATGAATAACGTTTCTACTAATAATTTTGCTCCAATTTACAATAATTCTTTTTTTGAAAAGAAAATTTGACTGGGAAAGTACTTTAAAAATGTCGTTTTTTAATTTTCTCAGGGTTTTTCCCAGCAAATGTGAAAAACTAATAATTTTTTGAAAATTTTAATATGCTTAGAAAAGGTAAATTTAAATTGTCTGTCCAAATTTCGAGTTTCTACAAATATTTTTAATTGATTTTCATGAAATAACAATAAAAGCATTTTTTTTTTCCGTAAATTTCCGCCTTCATACGATTTATCCTGGTTTTGTCTAGATTTTATGATAACCGCTTGGAAAATCAAAAAATGACATCCTAAAAGTACCATCTGGATGACATTTCCATTCAAAAATGGGGCCACGCTTACATATCGGACCAAGATTTCTGGTAGAATTTTTGTATACATGATAAAAAAATACAAAAAATAAATAAAATTAACATCTTTGTAAAACTTCTTCGCTACACTCATAATCTAAAAGTTGGATGTTATTCAGTATTTTTTTTCATTAGATTTTTAATATCAAATTTTTACAAGTATATTAAATTTACGGCCTTTTAAAACATGTATAATCGAACTTCGCTTCATTTCGTTTTTCTTTTTACATGATACTTATAGATACGAATTTAAAAAGGCTATTTTCCTATTTTCCCAAATTCTCAAATAAAATAGTGGCACACCTCTCCCTAACTTTTTTTTATCTTTTTGATTAAAATCACGTTATTTAAGAACCTGAAGTTTCGGGCAGATTAAGTGACGAATTTAATTTTTGTGATGTTGTCTTTAATCTTTATACGATTGTATAAACCGTTTTTAGTTGAATTTATCGTATCCGGAACAAAATGTCCGTTTCGTTCGTCAGCGTAAAACGGGCCTAATCCGAAACTCAGTGTGACATTCGATAACACACAGTGCGGTTACAATGCCTACGAAGTACACTTACATAATATAATATTATATCGAGTGCAGTTGATTTATATTTAGTCACAGGAATCCAACTCAAATGAATAGAAGTAGCCACGCAGGTATACCTCAATATATATACAGGTAATGGTTTTTGGGTCGCTGCGGTTTCGGTTTACGTTTTAATTTCGGTAACCCCGCGGCTGAATTCCGCTCGCGTTTAGCGGTGAGAAGTAAATTTGACACCAGGCCGGGTCCCGGTCAAATAGCTTCCTGAGAAATTGATTATCTGATTCCAAATATTCTCATGATTGTTAACAATATTATTAGGCGAAAATATACCAATGTCATAACTCTTTTTACACATTTTCATTTACCTCTCGGGCAGGTTTTCTTTTAATTTATCGAATATACAACGTGAAAGTCTAATACGCGAACAACGGCTATTTTCATCACTATATTCTATTATTTTGTTAATGATTTATTAATATTGTTATCTTATAAAATTTTTACTAAGATTAAATGCATTTTTACATTTTAATATTGCATATAAATACATTAAATTTTCATAAGTTATGTTATACAATTTAAATAGAAATAACCAAACGATATCCGAATACCATATATGCGCTATATTACTCGGCTCAGATTCAGATAATATTTTAATACATAAAACGTTACATATTTTCATGTATGGAATGTTATTATTATTTTTTTTTTTTATCATGAACAGTCGATTATTTTAAGTCAATTTGATTTTGTTTTAGTTAAAATATAATCCAATCTTATAATGATTTTTTATTTTCAATATTTTCAAAATTGTACTTAATTTCGATAAACGAATAAACATAATAATTTATTGATATTTGATTTTTAAATGTCGGACTAATCGTATTTAATTACACAATAGTGTACGGATAATAGTACAATTGTTTGAATACATTGCAAATGTAAGAACATTACGTGATTTAGTATAATATTTGAAAAAAGTTTCAAACTTATACTTAAATTATTCATAGTTGATCGCTGGTTCCTGTTGATCATAATAATCAACTTGTATATAAAACCAACTGAGTCCAGAAACACTATTAATTCAATATTTGGATGACATCCCCTATGAATGGACATTTTTTTTTTGAAATCTTGTAATGTAACTACTACATATAATATATATATATATTATTCTAGAAAATAAATGTCTAGTATAAGAAAGGAATATTCTGAAGATACGAAGTATAAGAAAAAGCTATATGAACTGGAACAACCTTTTGAAAATCCGAACATCAAAATTCATCGAAGACATTGTAAATAAGAGATTGTAATGATAGAAAAGGTATTCCGGAAGAAACAAAACGCATAACTCCATATGATGCAGCGTGAAAAAAACCTGACGAGAAAAAACCTCTTAGAAGACCACGAGAAAAAAAATTGGAAGAACGTAGTCGAGAAACATGTGAAAGTAGGTGTATTAGACCGAAAACCATGATTTTATTAGAAATGTACGGCGATTTTCAAGCCACGAGGCGGATATTTTCGTACCTCGGAGAAGATAATAATATTATACATAATAAATTATAATTATCATTCGATTGTGTATAGAGACACTATAAATTATAACAACAACACCCTATATATTATTATAATAGAATATAGTATTTGTTTAAGAATTATTCGTCTTGTTGTTGCCCGACAACACAATAGACTGAATGATAATATTATATTCGAGAAATAGTATAGTATAGGTAGGTATTATATTTTGGACTTGGTCCAAACTCTCGGATTCGTGTATTCGCTGAGTGTTCCTAGTGGATAGCTTTTTCTCGGCCGGGTGTTCTATATTATAATAGTATAGTATACCTGCTGTTACATTCGTTTTTCGCCGATGTTCGTTCACTATACGAAAACTTTTTAACTGTTTGAATTTTTTTCACCTTGATATTATCGTGACTGGCATACATATTATAATGTATTAATGTTTAATAAACATTGCTGATATTAGATTATAGGTTCTCCGCTATTTTAATTGTTTTTTTTTTTTTTTTTTTTTAATTGATAATTTGTTTGAAAATTACAACGTTTTTATCACATAAATTAATGTTTAAAGATGATCCAGCCTATCACTGTGGCAATGTGAAATTAAAAAAAAGGACCATACTGAAATAAATTGCCGACTGAGTAAATTCAGCCAGGGAGTTTAAGGACTATATTAAATAACTCTTGGAGTACAAAATTGGTTTATGAATCTCGAAATTCAACTATGACAAGTCTATAACTATATTATAATTTTCTGAATAATTTACTATGATACTATGATCATAAAATTGATTTGTGTGTAATTTATATAAAATAAAAAAAAAAATAAAGACCGACTAAAAGTTAAACAGTTTTTGACGAAACAATTAAACAGTAACAATAAATTATAATATTTTCAGAGTTGAAAAGTCACTGATGAATCCCACGAAAACAGTCGTGAGATATTCCGTATAGTATACAATAATAATTATAAAAAGGTAAAAACGTATTAAAATAAATAATAATATTTTCATAACAAATAAATCAAATTATAATAAATAAAACATAAATTATAATAAATATAGAATTATATAGTATAGTTGTTAATTAATGTAAAATTATGTGAATGAAAATGTCAAAACAACGACCTTTGTTATAAAAACTTGCAGTGCTAATAAATTTAAAAAAAACAAAAAAAAAACGTAGGGAATACGTTGTAATATCGTTTCGAGTTTCAAATTATTACTGTTAAACTGTATAATAACACTACAGACAGCATTTTTAATTTAATACTAATATAGCAACAAATAATGAAAACCAGAAAAAAAAAACCCGTCGTTTTGTGTCAGTAAGCCCTAGTAGGACGAGGTTGCTGATTTCTTCACATTTCGTTTACACCAATCAGCAACGTATATCTAACAACGTTTCATGTTTGTGCTCAGGGAGGGGGGTTAGAGTGTTTAATCCTCCTACATAGATACTTGACAAATGTATGTATTATGTCACTAGCATAATATGAATATAATTAATGAATTTCTCGGTTATAAATTTTTCGTTTGTAACAATTGATTAGGTACCATTTATCTCCTTATCAGTTTGTATTTTTTATATGGTGTAGTAATTAAAATTAAAGATAAATTTTAACTTTTCAAGTTATCCTAATAGAAATGTAAGTTTTTTAACAAATATTTTGACATTATTTCATTTCATATCATTAAAAACGCTCGAGTAAAAAGTGCACAAAACAAATTTACCTTAGCTATTTACCAATAGCTAAACCATAAATCGATTCATTTATGCAACAGTTGAATGTGCGATTATTGTCACAAAAATATACTTTATGTTTAGTATATAACTAAATTGATTTATATTTTTATATACTAATTTTTTAAAATTGTATTTAGGATTTCAATATATGTTTTCCGGATCATATTTAGACGATTTATCTTGATTTTGACAAAAAACCAATAAAGCAGAATGGAATTAATGGCATGCAGTATATCAATCAATGGACAAAATCCTAAATGTGGGTTGGAGGCATTAAGGCTATGCAAAAAGGAAATGTTTTCAAATACTAATTTTCTAATTAAAATATTATGTACTTTACTAGTGTCCACAGCAACCCCAGAACGAACATCATCGTGTCAAAAAAGGTTGAAAACTTATCTAAGAAGAATGACAGAAGTAATTTTCCCAAACTTAAACTTAATATTTAAAATGATGCAAAATTAAATTACAATTTAATTCCAGACACAACTTAATGGACTGAAAATGTTGGCTGTTTACACTGATGTACCACATTTAGCTGAACAGGTTTTTAATAAACTTGCTATAAAATCTCGCAAACTTGATTTTTTCTATAATTTTAATTGAATAAATGGTTTTTTTGTAACAAAAATTATTCATTGTATGCTTATAATTTATACATTTTAATTCATAGTTTATATTGATTATATTATACTATAAAATTTGACCCCACTTAATTCAAAATTCTTAAGAATGCCTCTGCAACCATTCGTTACACTTTAAAGTTATTTTAATTTCGACATTTTTATAATTAGGTTCTATGGTCATTAATAGTTAGTTTTTTTTTTTTTTGATTTATTACATTGCATTTTAATAGGCATAACCACTAAAGATAATTCAGATTTTTTTCATGAGGTTTTTTTTTTTTTTTTTGTTTAAATGAAATTTTTATAATGACATAAAATATGAGTACATTTTCCAAAAATTTGTAAGTAAAAAAATGTAAAACTTCTATTTAATTTTTCTTAATCCCAGGTCCATTTTAGTTAAACCATTTTGGTATGTGTCGTTTAAACAAGGTAAGTTATAAACAAATCTTTTTTTTAACAATTTGGTACTATACGATTAATTATTTCGAGTTTAAATTATAAAATTATAAAATCAAGAATAGCACATTTATATCGGTGCCGACATTCAGAAACTAGACAAATAATACAGACTAAATATAAGAGTTGTATAATAATAATAATGTATCTCTGTCGTATTTTTTTTTTTTTTTGTAAAAATCCATTTTAAAAAATTATACTTTACGTAAATTTTTATCACTATTATTATTTTTCAAGTGTGAAAAACTTAGCATTTAAAAACAATATACACCTGCCTAAACCTACCTACTTGAAATTCAATGTATACCATCGTTTAAGTATATAATGAAAACTTAAAAAATAATCAAGAATTATTACCGTGCTTAACGAATTTTCTGAGCAACCGAGCGCGTTAAAAACTCTTGAAAGTTTAATATCGTTTGATTCGAAGCCTTCAAAGAAGACTATATATACGGAGTTTTGAAATTTAATTTAACTATATGCATATGCATGTATGTAATAGTGTCACAGGCATACAGCGCGTTCAGAGAGGTTGAAAGAAAGAGTAACAAAAAAAAAAAAAAATGGGTTTCGTCGAAAAAAATATTAAAAAATAAACTCTTCAATAACACGTGGGAAATGAAAAAAAAAGGCAAACCCTGAAACATCGAAATCAACACGGATATCAAGCGGGCAGGGAAAAAAAGTCGCGAAAGAAAAAAAACAGAATATAAAAAAAAATTTAATTATATTTGGCAGCAACAAAAAAAAAAAAAATAAAAATATTACTGTGAAAGTTGCCTTTTAGCAATATTTTCTTTATTTGATGATCCGTTACGTTTTTTTTTTTTTTTTTTGGTGTTTTTACTTTTTTTATAATACTTATATTATCACAAAATTTAATATTACTATTGTTGAAGACCGCTACGTAGTGAAATTGCATACTCTCAACGCCGTCTACTTTTTATATAATATAACGTATTATATTCATAAGAAATAAATGTAATATAATATTATTTATAGATACGCCTCTTGTATATTCGTAAAAAAAAAAAATAAGAAATTCATTTTACATCGACGATGGTGAAAATATGTCTTGCGTTAACGATAACCATCTGGACAATGATAAAGTTAATAAATATATTATATTATTATTATTATTATTATCATAGCGAACCTGCAGAAACAACGATGCCGGTGAGATTATGCCTAATGTTCTCGTTCTGCACGGCGTTCCAATTTTTAGACATATTTTTTTTTTTTCTGTTTGTTTGTCTCATATTTTTATACCCATTTTTACGTGACTATACTCGTTATACGCTCAAAAGCATCTTAAACAGAGATAAACACGGCGGGGGAGTTCTATTTTTACTTTTTTTTTCTCTTTTTATTATTATTATTATTTTTCGTATTTTTATTTTAATTGAGTTTTCTTCTCTTACTGGCCACAGCCGGTAGGTCTTCATCAAAAAAAAAAAAAAAAAAAAAAATGTTTTCAAACTACAAATACCGACCTATATTAATATATATATATATATATTATATAATATTCCTCAAAGGTATTGTCGCGTGCGTTTTTATCATTTTTTTTTTTTTTTTTTTAATGATTACATATTTAATATGCAGTCGCATTGATAATAGTATATTGCAAGATTATAAAAATAAAGGCCGTATTTTTACGAAAATAATAGTTATCATATTTATTCCGTGTTCTCTTGTGCAACACAAGGATATTGTGTGTCGATATAAGTATGGTAATTAATATGCAACCTCCTCGAGGTTATATAGTTTATATTCATTATGGTTTTATAATGAATCTGAGCGCAAAAACACTCGGTGAAAACAATATAAACAATGAGAAATGGTCGCTAATTAACAGCAGTAATGCTTGTTAAGCTCTTGCCCCTCACGCTGCTCCCACCCTTCGGAATGGTGAAAATATAACGTCGTCGTCAACTAAAACAGTGAGAGGAAAAAATAACAAAAATATCGTTTTGTTGTAGTGAATGGAAAAATGGAGTGGAATGAATTTGTGCAGAAGGTAGTTAAGGTTTATTTTTTAGAATTTATTCGGATTATTCCACAGGAAAATCACTGTCGTGAATATTTATCATTTTGAGATGTATGTGTTTATCCGTACTGTATAAGCGTATTTATAATACTAAACACTGTTAGTTTTATATTGTCATAAAATCATAACTCTTATTACACCTGAAAGCATGTGTAGTATTCTGTAATTATTATATTTTTTTGGACGTTTTTCTCGGTTTTCCTTAATTATTAGGAAGATTCAAGCAAATAAAAAAAAATAAATAGCCTATTCGACAAAATAGTTAGATATAATAATTTATTAGAAATTATTCGTAGTTGATAAAAATTGAAAGATTTCAGGTCAAAAAGTTGTTTACAAAATACAACACAGAAGGTACACCATAGTAAACTTAATATCATTCTATAGTAAAAACAAATTTAAAACGTATTTTGAGTACAAATATAAATATGATATTAAATGATATTCTAAATGCGTAACAAATATTTTAGATTACAGATACTAAATATTTATAAATATTTTTAAGAACCTTTTTTTTTACGTCAATATTATTCTATAAATAGTTTCGTTAATTTTTATCCAGAGCTTTGAACCGTAGAAATATTTAAAATACGTATTAAAATACTGTAAAATTTTACTGAAAAAAGTTAAATTTTATAAAATTGTGACAAATACATGCTTCTATTCACTTAGAACCTAAAAAGACCCATATAATAGTATTTTATACATTTTATTCTGGTTCTATACAAAAAAACAGTAGAAACCGGTTGTGAAGTGTGCATAAGTATTTCGATTTAAATTTACTACTGTATAAATATTACATTTTTTTTTTTCTGCATGTATGGTTATTGTATTATTGAAAATATTATTAGAAAAACCAGATTAAAACGAAACCGTCTTCTACATAAGAACGGGACAGAAACGACTGGTTCAAACGCGATTCGGACTAAGGGAATTGTCACAAAAAACATAAACAAAATACAGTTTTATAAGTCTAAGTAGTATAGGAAGTATATAACTGTAAATTATATTATTCTTATACGGCGTTACACGCAAGTAAGCATAAATAACTGAAAACCTTTAAGTCAAAATTCCAACCCTCCCACTGCTCACGAAAAAATAAAATAATTTTTATATAAGCCTTAACGGTACCTATACACACATACATGTATGTATAAATATTATGCCGCAGTTGGTTATTAATTCTTTGCAGAAAATAAAACCGCAAAAAAAATGGTCGGTGACGAGTAATGATAAAAAAAAAACCCCCGACATCACACGAGTAATGATTTATCGTGAAAGGGCGCGTGAAAACTTTCTGCGGCTTTACCTTTTTCGCGCCATGAGATAGATAGGTACACCTACACGTTCTCTACTATTTTAGGTACCTGTATGAGGTTTTTACGAACGCTTTTAAACAACGATCGTACGATATTATTATTATTATATAGCTGTGCCAAAAAAATAAAAAGTTGTGCTTGTGCGTTTTGGACGCGGGACTTATTAATAATATTATACGGGATAAAAACGTCCATAGCACTCGCGTTCTGGAGATTATTTTCCCCTTCATGTCAGATTCGTACCCGCCAGTTCACGATAAGATATTTTTATCACAAACTGTAATATTGAAATCGAATATAATAATAGTATTTCTAACACTTTTATATCAATAATTTTCATAATAATTCGTTTTCCATATTACCGTATTATAAATATTGAATTATTAATATATTTATCTTCACAAAAAAAAATATTTAAGGGGCCATACGTCTGTATGCGATCTACAGTTGAATCTAATAACGCACACAAAGGTCTGCAATGTTTGCACACTTATACAGAAACGGGTGGACTCCAAAATTTTGATTTCCGAAAATTCGACACATACAAATTTTATCACAAAGAATGATTGGTAAAATAATTAAAATTTGTTTTGTGCAGTTCTGGATAAGATAACGTAATAAAATTTGGGGTAATTCAACTTTATAGTGCCGGAGCTCTTCAACATACGAGTGTTTTAGTGTGTACAGATATAATAATTTAACATGGCGAAAAATTAAACTTAATTATTTGAATTTTGAATTTTTAAGCTTCTTAAATTTACTGAATTTTATTATCGTATCATTTGAAAAGATAAATATAATAAATAATTTATGAATTTTTACTCGTGTCTGTCTTCATACTTACTAGAATTTGTGCAGTAATATTTTCTACAGATGTTATAAATAATATCTGTTCTTTCCGATACACAAAAGACGCTTTTAGAAAGCTGTACTTGAATAATGGGGATAGGTGAAGCCACTGTTTTAGGTAATTTAATGTACATCTCAAAGCGACTTTTAACCGTTACTAATGAAAAACGATTCTGAGAGGACTTAAGTTGATAGTGATGATTTTCAATAATATATTTTATGATAAAATAATTTCATATGTTGAATACTTTTTTCTTAATCATATTTTTCTAAGGTTACATCAATTTTCCCTTTCTACTGGTTTTTCAATGTTTTCTATTTATTGAGATAACTCCAGATAAATTCAAAACTGACCTCCCTAAAGTACCTCTCCAATCAAATTTCATTTCAAAGCGTTATCATCGTAAATCGGAGCCAAATTGCTGGTAGAAAAGTTTTTCATAAGGAAATAAAAATACCATAATTTGTATTAACTATCTACTGCCTACATTTCGCAAATTTTCCAGTTTTGATTAAGTTTTTCCGATAATTCTAATATATTGAACAAATCAAAAAATCACCTCGTTAAAGTACACATTTCAGTAAAAGTGCTATCATTGTTTTAAATTGGAGCAAAATTTCTAGTTGAAAAGTTGTTCACAGATAAAAATGAAACGTCATTGTAAAACCATAATCTTCACTCCAATCAGAATCTAATATATTATGTTTTACAAATCTGTGCTCAAGGTTACTTAAATTTTAGAAAATCTTTTATAATACGTGTAGAATATTTATAATGCTAATCAACGAAAAATTACAATTTAATAATATTGTTTATCGTCATTGGATTTTTCCACTCGAACGTTTCATAAAAGTTTTATTTCGAAACCCGATGATGAAAACGATATTCTTATACTATTAAATCGTGATTCCGGTGCCAGTAAATAATATTATACTTTTGGATACGGAGTGGGTGTGCAGGTATATAAGTACGCATAGAGTGTTTTAGTTCTACCCTCCTTTCAACATCTCCATCTGTGCTATCAATTACGACTTCGAGGTATCGTATATCATTTATATAGCTTGCGCCCACACCAAATGACAGCACACGCGCGTATTTTGATGTGAAAATGATTTCTTGCCATTGATTCAATAATATTTCGATATAGTTTTTACTTTTATAATTCAATAAGTCTTTTTAAATGATGGCAAAACAGAATTTTTAGCGAAATGTAGATATTTATTTTATTTTTTTTTTTTTTGTATTAAGTTTAAATTTCGATGAAAATCGTAAATATCACGGCGTTTCAAAACATTTATAAGCAACACTTTGCTCAGAATCATATTTCAGTAGAAACAATTGATCATTGAGGACGAATACAAATTGAATAACCTTCCGAATACCACCCTTCCAATATCTAATTTTTCACATTGAGGAAGAAAATTTTTTCTGGTTAGTACATTTACGAAGTCATATTTTTTCAATAATTAGGAACCCCTGAATTAAACGCAATAAAAACGGGAAAGTTGTCGAAAATAATGATTGCATTCTTTTTGAATTCATTTTATATTTTCATTCATACAAAACAAATTTTAGAAAATTTGCTCAGAATTCTTATATAAGCCTTTTAAAAGTGTCGAAATATATTTGTTTTTTAAAAACACGTGTGATTCCTTATTTAACATGCATCTAGGACTATAATGTATTGAATTTATTATACATAAAAAAAAAATATGAATTTGTTACATGTATTGTAATAACGCTGATTGTAAATCTGATTAAAATATTAACCATATAGTTTTGAACGATGAACTAGAGAATTTTAGAAAATATACAAAAAAAAAAATTGTATTTTCAAAATATAATAATTAATAATATATCGAGTATTGTGATTTTACAATTTAAAATTAAATAAGTTAGGTAAGATCAGGTACATTACAATACTGTATTTTGTGAATGATTATATAAAATATTTAACCAGATAATCTATCTAGCGGTCATTACAGGCATAATTTTATTTTTTATTTTTTTTGGCAAAAAAAAAAGCAAGTATAAATGTACTGTTTAAGGTTTATGTTTTAAAGGTTTAAAAACAAAAAAAAATTATAATTAATAATATATTTAATATTTGGTTTAGGTAATGTGGTTAATTTTTTTTTTCGTTTCCTTAAAATTGTTGATAATTTTGTACAAAGTTCGTTATAATTTATTAATATAATACTGCAAAAAATTCGAAAATCTATAATATTGACTATAGTTTTTGACTACGTTTTTTATGCACATTTTAAGTTACAGTGAAAATGAAAATCGAAAAAATTAAAAAAACCTACTATTTTCAAATTTATGCGGATAAAACTTTTTTAGTTGCATATCAATGATGAAAAATTTGGAGCGAAAAACCATGGGTGATAAATTATGATTTATTGTGTTGTTAAAAATTAATGCAATATTCAATTTTATGTTTATCATAAATAAACATTGCTCGGGTTCATTCTGTATGAATTATTATTTTAATTATCGCTTTCCCAATTTCCCACCTAAACACTTGCATGCACTATACATGAATTATGTTCATCTTGATTTGTCAATGATGTAGACTGATCGGTGCTCTAATATATATTTAATTTTAAATTAATATTTTTTTATCAAATAACAGTAAAGTTGTTACGTTTCATTTATAATATACTTAAGTTATACATGTACCTGAACATTAACGATGTCTATTACAGATTTATTAAATAGGTAAACTGGGATTATTTTTCATATTTATCTGAATACTTATATCGCAAAATAATACATAATATAAAAATTCTTTAGGAAAGATTAAGAATCAGTTGAGGTGGAAACGCAATAAACTTTAGCTTTCATTTGAAATCTAATTTATTATTATTATTTTTTTAATGCGATAATTGCACATCGTCTCTGATTTACAGATATAATAACATCACAAGTATATCGATGTTAAACAAAAAAAGATCGACTGCGTCCCATTTCCTGAATTCTAAGAAAAACTATTAGTTTTATGCGTCAATGGTGTGTTATTATGTGTTTTTTATTTTATTTTGGATAACCCTTTTGGGAGCTGTAAAAACGTTCAAGAAGTTTCGATTTGTGTTAACTTTAGTTAGGGAGTAAAATATTGGACAATACCAGATTATTTTCTTTCAAATTACGATGCTCTAAAAACACAAGAAACTAGTAAGGGGGACAGCGAAAATCAAAAATTTAATCATACATAATTTCATAAAAAACGTTTTTTTTCAATACATTGATTAATCGATATTACCTTTCTGTGTACTACTTTCTTATTTTACCCTTGAATTTTTTAGAAGTTGCCAAATTAATTTAGTATTAAAAAAAAAACCGATAATAATTATTACTGAGGTTGTCACTAGAATTATGTGGTACATAAATGTTAGTGTCCTTCATTCAAACAATATTAACAGCATGAATAAAACTATTGTACTGATATTAAGCATACACATTATTATTTCTAAAATACTCTATGTATATATAACTATATCAATAATGATAACAAAATTGATTATATCAAATATTCAAACATGATTATCCTACTATAATTTTGAATGTACCATACACAATATTGACTGTGCAATGAGTATAGAATATAGATTTTATTATGTACTGAATGTAATATAAAATTAATACTATCGTAACTGATAATATTCATTAAATCCAAACCAATTATATTAAATATTACATTTTATAATTAACCTTATTTGAATCGAAATAACTAAAAGTTATGGGTATGTATACCATTTTGAGATTTATAGATGATTTTAAATCGTTGGTATAGAAAACAAAAAAACAAAAATGTCAAAGAGCACAATATAATCCAACTGGGATGACTTTTTAGAGACCGTATTTACTCCCCTCTTTACAAACGATAATATAAACGGTATCAAAGACTGTACGACGATTCGGGTTAAAGGATTTATACCTATCTCAAAAAATAGTTTTTATACACACGAGCACTTACCTTCGAAATAATATTTTTCCCTTGTCGTAGTTTCTTTTTCAATAATCTTCTTTCCTCCGTCTCATCGTGCAGTGGTAAGTACTTTTATAAAAAAATGTCCACCTGTTGGAAAAAATTAAACAATCTCTGATGTAATTTTTAAAATGGTTTTATTTAATTTTTTAATTTTTATATATTCTATATTAATAAAAGTAAAACATGTCTGTCTGCTTGTCATCTGTTTGTGCGCGTTTCACTACAGCCGAATTTATCGCATCCAGTGATCTAAACATTCACATACAGAAACGAATGAACGAATCAGTGTGCATTCCAGACCAGATTTTCTAAATTTAATCTATTAAGTATGGCTCACAACATTGTCAAAAGAAGGGGCACGCCCAATGAACGTATTTTTAAAATAATAAATTTATCTTTTTAATGAATTTTATGTATTTTTAGATTTTGAGCATTGCGTGGAATGTAATGGTTATACTATGACGTATTTTTTTTCGCCTGTTAACAAATTGTTTTATTAAAAAGCTCGCTTCGCTTGATAACTGACAAAAGAGCTTTTTTAAAAAAAATATTTTCAAGTTGGTAAAATGAGAGGTGCATTTTATTTCTTATAGTCATCTTTATACTTGGAAGTTATACATATCCAGAATTTCATTTACGCAAAACAAATAAAAAAAAACTCAAATTGTATACAGGATTCATCCTAAAGTGTTTTTATGACACTATAAAAATTATGTATGAGAGGTGCAAATACAATGTACAAAATATTTGAAATTTTCTGTTCTGCCCCTCCCCTTTTTCACATTGAGTAATCTTGAATACTCCACTGGTGAGATATATAACTTGTGGTATTTTTAAAATAAAACATTGTATTAATTGTTGATTAATGGATTACTTTGTACCACACGGAATAAGAACCAAAAAAAAAAAAACATTTATTTTAAGAAATGATAGGGAATCATTATTGGACATGTTTTTATTTTGTTTTCGTTCAATATTATGTTCGTTTCGAAAAATTATTATAGCTGGCCGTAAAAATATAAAAATATCAAAGTTATCGATATATTACTATCATATATTACAGTATACATAAGTAAACTATAAAACAGAAGAACAATGTTATAATATAATCTAACCTAGAATGAGGTCCTCCAATTTCGTACGATCATTAATCTCGATTAACGTTGGTCCCCTACAAACGTTTTCCCACCCGAACAGTTTTCGGGTATTTTAACCTTCTCTTCGTTGAAAGCAGGGTCTCCTTCGCCGTGTTGTCTCGACGCCGCCGCCTCGGCTTTGCGATGCCACCAAAAGGTCGGCTCATTAATTCAAAGTTGTCTTGTGCTCGTCCGAACGTTAAACAAGCGACCAATTTACGGCGGCGGCGAAGCTAAATTGCGAGAATATAAAATCGGTTTATTGTTATCTTTGGTGTATAAGGTCTTCTTGAGGTTAGCACTAACGAGATATGGCGAGGAATGAGTGAGACAGAGAAAGAGAGAGAGAGAGAGAGAGAGAAATTGTCTAATGAACTTGGAGGAAATCAAAATACACCGACAGTATCTACCTTAAATACTACAAGTGTCTTGTAAATACTAGCCCAAGTTTACCTACTGAAATAATGGTTGGTACTCAAAAAAACATTTTTTTTTTTAAGTTTTCGTATTCATGCATATTATTGTCACGATAAAATATCGTAAATTATAATATAAATACTCTTTAACAGGAATTGTATTTTATATTTCATGTATTATATATTATTTGTAATTTTACAATATACATTTTTTAACAATGATAAAACGGGAAATATAAATAATAAGAAAAAATTGTAATAATTGTAGTCTTAGAAAATTATTTCTATGATTAATTATTCGTTTATTGGGTCAGATTCATATAATTTAGCCAGAATGATTTTATAAGATACATGTTTTTTTTCACTATAAATTTAACATCATTTTAATTTTATGAAAACTTTAACATTTTTCATGAACTTATACATGCAACAACAATTATAATAATTTAATAAAATATCGATGTCGTTTAAAAAAAATAATTTCCTGTAACTGCTCTGATAAAAATTACGATTTAATCATAATACCACTGCCACCAGTACCGGCGTTTATTAAAGAGTAAGTCCGAATATGGGATAATGTTCCAAGATAAATTGGCATTTTTCCAAAGTTCGTTGATTAGGGTAAAAGGACGCGTATAGGGTTTTCAAGCAATAATCTCTGTGGTTGTTAGCGAGCAGTTTGTTATAATAATATTAACTGTGCACTTTGGAATTTATTTTTTCAAAACATAAGCTGAAAATTTCATATTATTAAAACAGAATAAAATATAGCTAAACGAATTTTCAAAGAAAAAAATCATCAAAAATACCCGGAAAATTATATTACTACTATTATGATTTTGCTTAAGGAAATATAATAATAAAAATATTTCAAATTATAAAAAAATGTGTTATAATGGTCAATTACATTGTAATTTCTACTGTTAAAATCTCGTCTAAAAAAAAAAACCATTTTACCAATTACGAGTTACATTACATTTTATTTATTACGGTATGTACCTAAAGCTCATATGGAATTTTAGTTTAACTATATATTATACTATAATATAATATAATATACAACTTCATATCTTATAAAAAATTTTAGTGACATTTCAAAAGTTTTCTAATTATAAATTACTAATATACCAAACAACATTTTTTTAACCGATTTCTAGTGCCAATGCACTTTTTATGATTAAAATACGTCGTTTTTTAAGTCGTTGTTCAATCATTGTCTAAATTATATTTATTAATAAAGTTTAATTAAATTTTATTTTGCAACGTACCTTTCATTCTTAAACACGCAATAATTCATTTTACGACAAACGCTTAAATAATATGCCACTAATACGAAACGCTAGTTTACTCTAGAGTTTAAAATGACAATTAATCATACGAAATTGCAAAATATTTAAAACTGTAATTAAATGTTAATTGTTAATTTGTATTTAATTTTTAAACTTATACATGATATTATGATTTTATCATGATCCTTTCGTTTATCTAAATTGCAAATTTTTAATAAAATACAAATTTATATTTTATTGACAATATTTTTAGAATGTTACACATAATTCGACCACCATAAATATACATCATATCAACATAGTTATTCATAACTTTAATTTACTCGTGTCCAATTTCTGAGTACTTTTATTGAGCCAAAACAGTTTTATTCTCATAAAACTAATTAAAAATTAAAATAAAAAAAATCGAACTTTTCTAATATTTATAAATAGCTCAAATATTTCAAAAATACATATTACTTTTAGGAATTAAAAATAAAAGAATTTTTTTAAAATGAAATGTCTCTACGATTACTTTTAACTGAATTCAAAATAAAAAGAACAATAATAGAAAAAAAAACGGAAATTTTTAATGCATACATTCTACGGGGATTCCTGATTAAAAGAAAATTCCATGAGAAATAAATAGCTAATCTTAACAAATTTCCTAGTATAGAATGGTTATTTAGGTTCAGACCAAAAAAAAAAAAGGAAGCACATGTTAAAACCGTTAAATTTTTCACACTACGATCAGATTTTAAAATTAAACTGGAGAAGTAGAGAATATACCTCAATTGGTGAGGATTAGCATTTAAAAATGTTTACGAAATGTTTAACCGACCTTCAATTATGGTTTTTCATATGGAAATTAAAAGTTCATTTCAATTCGGAATAAGAGTAAAATTTTAAAAATATTATAAATATATAAGATTATTTATGAATACTTAAAAACCGAAATCCCCAAAATTAAATTCATCAAAATTTTTCGTTGTAGGTTCGCTTAAAATTATCATAAAGAATCTGATTTTCACGGTAAGAAACAATGTACTTAATATAAAAATACAATTTTGGTTCCCTAACTATTTAACTAAACTCAAAACAAAAAAAAATTTCAAACCAAATCGTGAAATATATATATAACCTATATTAATATATTGTCTACATTATTTAACTATAACACTAATATGTATATATTTATTTGTATTAAATTCGTGACTGATACATATTTTTGTTTAATACGTAGTTATGTTCGAGAAATGTTGTTTGCTAGTAATGCTGCAGTTATTGCGTGCGTGGCTAACAAAAAAAAAAATTGTAGGTATTTATTTAATAATATAACCTACCTGTGTCATTGCAATAACAACAAAAAAAAAAAAAGTTTCTATAATATGGTCAATTCTATAAAAATGTTCAATTATTGTTATTATTGTTATTGTTATTATTTTTCTGTTAAAACTTCAATACACTTATATATTAGGTTTATACGCGTAAAAATAATATGTAAATATTATGTATTTGTAATATTATATAGACCCTTAATTTATCCAAAAATGCCGTGACCATTTGATCGTAATTGGTACCCACTATATTATATAATATAGGTACGGTCAAAGGTACCCGGTTTTTGGGTGTTTCGCTCGTATAATAATTATACGTGTAGGTATTGACTTTCACGATGTAATCTAAAATTAAATTGCTTGACCTAAACGATTAATTATATCCTGATGCAGTGCGTCTACCTACGTATACACGTATTTGATACGACGGTGAAATAAAAAAATATCACGCGCAATTCCAAAAAAATAAAATAAAACAAATTACAATAATCGAATTGATCGATAAAAATAGTAGATGCATAAGTACCTGCCTAGTTTTGATCGTTATTTTTTAACTACCCAACTGAAAAATTTTAATTTTCATTTTAAATTATGTAATATTTTAATGTATTTTGGTCACGACATAAAATACGGACTTTATCGTAATGAGGAAAACGAGATTATTTTTTTAATTTTCTTATTTTTAAACGCAGATAGGTAAATCGGTAGGTAATTATTACGTTATATTAATACATAAAATAAACTGTCGTGAAGTTTTAATACTAGGTATCATTCTCTTATACTTTATTCTCGTAATAATTAATTGTCTCGTGTTCATGCGCGTATTATCGGTAAATAGCTATTTAAATATTTTATAATATTAATTTTTAAGAGTTACGTGCACTACTTATGTAAGTATAATATGTAACGCAATGAACTAGTTAATTTTTATTATTCATACGAGTTTCAAAATTGAAACAAACTTTTTCTTACATGTATTTAACACGTTTCGTATATTATTATACTTCCGAAATGTCCGTTGTGTACATAAATAGATGGATCGAGATGAACAATACCATATTATTATACTTTTATCATAATTCATTTTTTTTTATGTTTTAAACTATATATTAAGTTTTATAACAACTTTAGTTGGAATAAAATTTAAAAATCTGGTAAACAATATTATGTTTGCGGTTCGTCTGTACTATTACTGTAATATTAACTTGATAAAACATGATAAAACATAAAAAACACACGCAGGGAGGAATTTTTGAAATAAGCATACTTTGGGAATCGGTTGATTGACTATGGATAACAGAGAAGAATGCAGATTCAGATTTGCAGCAACAAGACACGGCCTTTAACGAGAAAAAGCCGAAAAAAAACGAAGACATTATAATATTTTGAACTTCATAACAATTCATATTCAAATTAAAACATAATATCTCGTCTGTATTTTGTGTAGTGTTATAGTTACGAAATTATAATAATTCTAATGGTTGCATTTTTTTCGTATGAAACACAATCCAAAGTAGTTTTTATTTCGGAATGTGATCGTTGTCATTACGAATTAAAATATGAAAAATGGCATATGAAAACAGTTCTTTAATTGTATGCGTATAAAAGAATAATATGTCTGATTGTATATTATGCGGTTAAAAAAATGGCAAATTTTAAAATAATACAATACACCTATAAATTATAGCATTAGGCGCGTGATCGAATAAGATAATCAAAAATATATAATAAAATGCGAATGCATTTTATTGAAATCTTGATCGAAAATTATATTTCCGCTGTTTGACCACGAATACTGAATAAAATAACAATAAATTTAAAATCAATTTTATCAACATTTTACATCGATGTGCACTATATATAATCAATAGAATACCCATAATAAAATCACTTCTATTATATTAACAATAATAATTAAATTTTCATAAAAATAATCAAAAGTTCCCAAGTTTAGGAAATAAAAAAAACCATGAAATGCCAAACATTTTTTTTTATTTTCAAGAGTTTGTCTTAGGCATAGATGAACTTTAAATATTAATAGTTACTTATAATATTTTATTGTGATTTTTAAAATTGTTTTAAAATCTTAGAGTTGTAATGATTTATACTACAATAATAATTATTTCTAGTATTCTAGTATTCGTAGATAAAAAAACAAATTTCAGTGAGAATTAATTTTTCTTAAATTTAAACACATTTTATCCAGACCCACTAAAAATTTTAAGCTATCGCATTTCACTATAACACTACTTCATTTTCATCTATTTCTATACCAAAACGTTTAGTTTACCCCCTATATAAATATATTAAATATTAAACTATGTACGTAGTGGGATCAAAAAGTTCCTGGAATACTTGAATTGCGCGCCAACGCAGTGTCCATGAGCAGTAAGATTGATACCACTGGATTCTGTGACGATTTTTGTAATAAACCTAAAAGAAAAGCTTTTTAGCTTTAAAAAGGGGGGAGGGGGGAGGAGTTGGAAAGATTTTTCCTTCTATTTTTTTTTTGACAGAATCTTGTTTGGTAGAGGAATGCAACGTTTCACAGGAATTTTGCCAACAAATTGCAACTGAAAAACTGCAGATGTGAAGAGTGAAACTTTTTCTCGAGAATGTGGACGAAGGTCCAAGTTCAGGTTAATCAGGAACTTTTTGGTACAGTTAATCACTAAAAAACATTTTGAATATTTAACATAATAATAATCACTACGTGTATAATATTATGTTATCATATACATGAAAGAATAATCTTCTCTAACCAACATCCTCCTCCCTTCCTCCTCAAAAGCTCTGCTTTTGGATATATCACAAAATCGCCAAATTCAAAAAAAATATTTTAAGAAAACATCGGTCACATCGAAAGAAAGAAAGTTATAGAGAATCTACAAATACAGATGTTCTCCGAAGAATTCAGAATCCAGTGATATCGATCCTACTGCTCTTGGACACTCCGTTGGAGCGCAGTTCAAGTATTCCAGGAACTTTTTGATCCTACTATGTATACCTGATTGCATTATAGACTTATAATAATGATAGAAAGCCAATAATTATAGTATATCTGGATGACTAACTAAAGCTGTGTAGTAAAAAGCTAAAAAGTTATTTTATGAAAAAAAAATGTATCTTTGTTGTATGTATTCATTATTTGACGAAATATACCTATTTTTATCTTATTATATAACAAGACAAACATGCAACCGATGGAGGAATAACGAGCATTATATGATAACTTAATTAAAAACAAAATATTCGATTCATTATACCTGTATAGAAAAAAGGCTAATTTTAAAAAAGCGACTATTCATTTCCAACCTAACTAGTATTCCTGGAAATATGTAACTTGAACTCTATTTTTACAAATCGGTTTAACTGGCTAACTTTATAGCTAGCTCATGAAATAATAACATGTTAAGGCCGTTGATGATACGATCATCAGGTATATATAGTCACATAAAATATATATATCACATTATGATAAAATATTTACGGAATAAATAAATATTTCACTGGTTAATCAATACAATTTTGCCTCTCAGTTATTTTCAGCTGCCGCGCTTCAGATTTACTTGTAGAGTCAACCGTCTACTTATAGTTATATAGTTTGATTCACCTACTATGTCTATTATTATCTGTGTTTCTATAACGTCACATCGTTACGCTTTAAATAGCCAAAATATTATTATATTTACAACAATACTTCAAATGCCAGACTATGTAGAGTGTTTACTCGGATGTTTTGATGTATCGATAATATGTAAAGGTACGCCGATTAAACCAATGCGTGATTTGGATGATTGCCACATTTTTCTTCGTAAAAAATGTTTTTCCATTGAAATTAGTTTACATTAACATTTTAACCATAAGCATTACCTACGCTGTAAATGCATATAGGTAACTCGTCTTTGTAGTGGTAAGAAAAAAAAATTAAACTGCTTAAATCGGAACCACTCCTAGCTCTTGCTAATTGGAGAGCCGGAATGAAATGAAAAGAAAAAGAAGAAAATATAAGGGGCAATAGAGGAAACACATGTTCTGAACGATGCAGTCAGTTTAGAGCTTTTATTTGTTCGTCTAACGTTTCCGGAAACTAATTAAGTTTTCTTATCGCGCCAAAAATCTAAAACTTTCTACCATTCGAAACCAATCGCATGCGATAAACGTTATACATGACAATTCGAAATCCCGGTATACCTAAAATGATTAGTATGAGCAATTAATACTTAAAATTATTACGTTAACGGCAAATTTCAATTTACAAAATTTAAAACAAAAAATTTAAAAAAAATTTCAATAAACAATCATAATAATAAGACGTTTTTCAATTAGGTTTGCCATAAAAATCAGCCAATGTAATTTTTTTTTTTTTAACGCAAAATATTGTAAAACAATAATTCTATGATTATAGATATTATTTTATGTAATATATGTAATATTAGGAAAAATTGATTGTCTATAATAGAAAAAATATATTTTTTAGTCTATCATTAAAGTTAATACATAAGAATTTTACTTAAATGAATACAAAAAGCCAAAAAAAAAAAACCAACGTTCTACCTGAATTCAAATTATCGTCAAAACGCTAATTTAAATATTTTATTGTTGAGTTGATCTTTTCTTTTTCTAAATAAGTTTAACAGAAGTTTTTGAGGTGCCTAAATTATTTAACGCTTATATTTAAATAATATATATTTCGACTGTGTAAAATTAAAAACAGTTCTTTGCGATCCGTAATGTAATTATGTTCTTTATATAGTTAGCTGGCTTTTTATAATACTATATGAAATTTAAAAAAGTGTATAATAGCTCGAATTCAATTTTAAAATAACTATAATTGCTAAAATACAACGTACTTATATTATTTTATTTGTTAATTTTAATAACATGTGACATAAAAATGAAATTGTTAATTCTAAAATCATAAAACCAACTTCACGAGAATGCAATAATATTAGCTAGGACAAACGAACCTATACATGTTTGATATTCGGTGCGTGTTCGCACTTATCTGTAAAAATTCAATTGTTTTTAAATCGATTCAGGATAATATTTACTCAAACATAGATCAGAAATTTAAATAAAACAACCATTATATAGTTCGGCTAACTTCTTCTTACGATTCGTAAAACCAAAATATCAATTATCATGCAAAGACAATTTCTTTTTATGTGAATCAATATTTTGTCTGATATTCCTCGAAAATAAAAAACATTTTACAGCATTGATTTTGCGATATTAAATATTTTTTTCTCATCTTACATTTAAAATACTTTTAAACATTCTTTCTAGGCTAAAAGAGTTCAACACTAGGGAATAAGTGGTTTTATTTTGTAGACGAATTGATGTGGTTGTAAAATATTGGTTTTAAAAATGAAATTAACCATAATATGTTAAATGTGTGTTTAGGGAAGAGGATACTATTTTCAGCTTTACACATCTCTAACTTAATTTCTTTTCCAACTTTTCATCTACAACAGGGTCTTACAAGAATCGGCTTTATTTATGTTTTATCTTTTGTGTATTATATCTACAGTTTTTGATTGGAAAAATTGCAAGACGGCGCGTTGTATACGCAATATAACTGCATTAAAATGCATTTGCGATGTTTGCTGCACGCGGCACACTTCAGCACTTGTAATGGAATAATAATAATTAATAATATAAATAACACAAAAAAAAAAAGAACTACTGTTGGTGGGAATATGGAACAACGAAAGATAGATATTATGATGTTATATTATCGTCATATACGTTTAACGTACAAAATGATGCAATTTTTTAAAAACGAGAAAGATTTTAATTTATTTTCCGTTTACAAATACTTATAATAGATATTTACAATTTTAATAATAAATCTATCAACATATGTCAAACCGAATACCTATCCTCTAATACTTTTCATTTTCCAGAATCCCTGCCTGCAACATTGTTATACCAGAATCGGCATTTTTTGTGCGTTTTATTTTTTATGTTATGGTTTTTAATATTGTAAGACGGCGCATCGTGTATGCAATACAATTGTATTCAGGATACGTTCGCCGCACGTGGTATGTACACCAAATCGTTTTACGATAACACCAAAAACAAAAGACGGACATATTTCGCACGACGGGCTAGCCGCTGTTACGTGTCAGAATTTGGGAAGGTAATATATAGACAGGAATTTAATGTATATATGTACGTAACAATTAATCTTTGTTTATGAAAAACGATTCTGAGCAGAGTTCGGTTATACGTGTTTAAAAGGTCGCAATTCGTCAAAATTTGATATTGAAATTCTTGTAAAAAAAATAAAAAATATATTGCATTCGACTCATTTTTTTCTTGTTAACCACTATAAGTAAAAAATAAAATGAACCTCCTTTTAAATTGTTAAGCATTTCTGTTTGTCTAAACTTTTTATCCACAGTGTAGGTACCTACCGAATAAAATTTACTTGAAAATCCCCGTAAAACAAAAATATCTATAAAAAGCTCAAATATGGCTACAATTTAATATTACACCACGTCTAGGAAAGGCTGTCCAAACTTCAAGTCACTACAATTATCTTTAACGGAATCAAATCTAAAGAAAAAAAAATCGAAAACAGTATATTTCGTAAATTTTCTCGTTTTTCCGTGTTTCCCCCCCTCCTCAGTTTATCGGATAAACTCCCGGGAAAATCGAAAAACGGCCTCCTGAATGTGCGCGGCCCCGGTCGGATTTCCTTTCGGAAAAAGCGCCGCGGTACCCGAAAATCGGACAGCGAAATCGCCGTACCAGAAAAGTTTGTCGAACGGATAAATCGCTCTAGCTCCGCTCGGAACCTAAACGGTAGGAAAATAAAAAATTATAAAAAAAAAAAAAAACAACCGTACGTCAAAAGCGGGACGTCAAGGGCGCGACGATAACGGTACGTACGGGATCGAGCGCCCGCGGAACGTAATGCGCGATCGAGAACGCTCGGTCGCGACGACGATAATATCGTAATAATAGTAATAACAACAATAATAACAATACTGATAACAATAATACACGCGTAAAACGACACTCGTCGCGGGGCCGCGGCAGCGGTCGGAAGTCGGACCGGGCGGCGGCGCCGCGGCATCCCGGAAACGCGATCGACCGACCCCGACCGGCGCTAAACCCGTCTCGCGAACGCCCGCCGCGCGAGTGTGACGTTCGCGTCCGCGCGTTTTTACGCACACGGCGGCGAGGGGCACGAGAATTCCGACGGTACGAAATCCGCATGCACCCGCGGCGTCTAGTGCGTTTCCCGGCGTTCGGAATATTCCGCCCGTTCCCGTAACGCGTAGGCAATTATCGCCTGTCCGTCCGTCGTCCCTGCCGACGGGAAATTCACAGCAATTATCCCGGGATCCCGGACACGTTCGCAGCGGCGACGGCGGCCAGGTGTTTTATCCGTTTCGCCGTCGCGTCGCGTTATTTAACACGACCGTGCACGAGACGTCGCTCGCGGATACGCGTGCACCATACCGTACGCGCTACACGGTCACTTACCGGCTTGCCCGTACTCGAGGCCAACAGCCATATTGCAATGCATATCGGGCGATGTTTACAAGTCGATATTATCATTCTCAGCGTCAATCGATGACGTCATAATAATTTTGCCAATATTGACAACACCGGATTGTAAACATTGCCCAACCTATTTGGCTTCAAAGACCCATACACAATAAAATGTCAGAGTCCGGTATCTTAAACATTTGGTATGCATCTGTGACATTGCTTTTCATACGACGACGATTTTGAATTTATTGGGCGCCATACATTGGGTGACATATATCAAATTATAGATAAAATTTGTTTATGGCCCTATCAAAAATAACACATAACTTTCATTTTAGATTCTGAGTGGGTTGAAGAAGTTTATAGTTTTACAATTGTTTTATCTGTGGACGACTTTTCTACCAGGGTTCTCACTCCGATGTATATGCCGTAGCAACTTTTCTGAAAGAAAATTTTGTTGAAAGGTTCTGTAAGGAGGTCATTTTTGACTTTACCAAGAGCTATTCCAGCAAATATAAAATACCCGAAAAAAAAAGTATAAAAACGGAAAAACGGAAAGATCGGTCCAATAATAAATAAATATTATTAAATAAAATATATAATGCCTATTTAATTATATTACGATAATATGGCATATATATTGTTTACTAAAAATCATTATCAACTCAACGCAATGATAAAACATTGTAATAATAAAAATAATGCAACATAATAATACACACAAAATAAAAGTATTATAATATTACTAGGGCACGGATGTTGTTGCATTTGCAACATTTTTACTACCTTTTCAATTTATTGCTAAGTAAGTTTTAAATACGTTTCATGTAAGTGCGAATTCAAATCAAGAAGTTTTAAGTGCAATGTTTTGCAATTTTTGCAATTTCGTTGAATTTACACAATTACATAGCTAATTTAGCTATAGTCACTTGACAATCGTATAGATAAGATTATACTATAATATTGCCAGCTATAAAATCTAATAATAGTATCATATTTTTATTATAATAATTCCAAGTTGGTAGGTATTCAATTCAATACAAGAATTTCAATTTGTGAAAAGTGACTGTTTGACTGTTTTAATCTCCGTGAATTTTGAGTGATTATTATTATTTTGTAAATATACCGAAAATTAAGAAAATTATTTCCATTTTTTTTTTTTAACCTGTTAGTTTTTACTGCAATTTTTAATATTTTCAGTGCAATTTCAATCTTTTTTAGTGAAATACTGCAGCCAATTTCAATAGTTTTTTACTACTACAATATCCGTGCTCTAGCGACGATTAAAAAAAAAATACTAACGAAACAATTAACCGCAGAAACCGTATTGTCATATAAGACATACTTCGCGGGACGTAGATAAAATATCTGCTTTGCAGGAATGCAGCAGCTTACGTTGAAACTATAGTTGAAACTAACCGTTCTTTATACTCTATGCGACGACGATGCCAAAGTTACGCGTTATCGAAATGTATATTAATTTAATAAAACATACTCGTACGGTACAATGAACTACGCGGAAATAATCGCATCATCGGTCAAATTTCGGAATCGCTGACGACGTCCGTTTATTATAATATTATTATTTGAAAGTTTGTTTCACAATAACACACTCGAACTCAACCTTTTTTATAATCGTGCGTATAACGATATTGTATTGAAATACTATACTCGAATGTTCGTTGAATATCGAAAATATAACGTTCCGTTAAACCTCGCATCGTGCTGGGAAATTTCAGAAATGCGTTTGCGCGTAACGAGAGACAAAATAACTAATATCATAATGCAATTGGCGGACAAACACGTTTTTTAAAAGCATCGTTATCTGCGGCCTTTGATCGATAAATCGTTTAAAACTAAATTGCAGTCGTTAAAAAAAAAAAAAAAAAAACCATTTGAAAGTGAATTGAGTACACAGAGATTTGTGAAAAACACTGACGGAATGTAACGTTTCGCCTAGATACCCTATCGACCAAATTCCCCCGGGTCGTCTGTGTTTGGCCACCTGGATTCCCAGTTCCGGATCCTCGTAGTGACTCGATTGACCACAATTGATTCCTAATCGCCACGAAAAACTAGGCCGTTTAAATCCCTTTGTCGGCCAGAATTCCTGCGGTCGAGTTTAAATATCAGTGAAAATAAACGTTACTGTTGAAATTTTCGATTTCTGTTAATGCGTTGCGTTGACAAGATATTCCACTTTTAAGTTTGGGTTGGAGGAGAGGAGCGAAGTACCATTTGTGTGGCGGTAGGGCGTGCAGCGTGTTAATAATGTACTTCTATACCCTTCTTCAAACCAAACTTAAAGTGGAATATCTCGTCAAAGGGAGGCCGTAAATACCAGAAATAAAACAACCGGAATGTTGAAACTACGGACTATTACTATGCCGAATTACAAAATTGAAAGAAAGAAAAATTAAAATAGAAAGTAAAATACGTTTAAAATTCCCGGACCGTCAAATCAATAGAGTTTAAACACACTGAAAGTAATCTGTTTGAAACTTAAAACTAATGAACAAAATAAAAAAAAAATGAAAGTTCAGTTCGGAAACTCACATTTTGGACTATGAATAACTAGAAAACAATATGCATGGAATTGAAACGAATCTACATGCTGAGCATTTTGCGATCAGATTTATTTAATTCCGGTAAATTTACGTTGTTTTTTATTTTTCTCTCTCGTAATTACGTTCCGTAAACATAAATTTCAATTCGTCGCGATCCCATGCGTATTATTTTCTTGTTATATGTTATTCCGGAATATTGATTCCTGAAATTTTACTGTCCGGCTGTTTTTATTTCCGGTATTTTATTGGCGTCCCACGTCAACGGCTCGACGGAAACCAAAATTCTCGACACTAAAATTAATATTCTCTGATAGGCCGTCTACTTATGGAATTTTTCTCGGAATAGGTTTCCATCCGAAAACCAAAAGCGGGTAGTGGGTCTTACCGCCGAAATTATGGGCGAGAAAAAAATTATCATAACTCTATGTAACTGCAGAGTCGCTCGTTTTTCACGTGTTCCGGAAAAGGATTTCCGAAAAATTTTTTTAACAATTCCCGAGATAACGAGCGGGCCCATTCGAGCGGAACACCCGGTACACGCGGGCTACTTGTGCGAACATTGTTGATGGCGTGTTTGTCGGCAAGCGCACCGGTCGCCGGCACGCAGCACTACACTGACGCGGGGGTTTCACGGGAATGTGCAGGCCGAACGACCGGGGGACGCGTTTCCGAGATGTATAATATACACATACGCGTGTAGCTGAATCCTTGCCGGAAACCGTTAATTTACGATTATGCAACAATTAATTATTGCGCGATTGTTATTAACACCGCGACGGCGGGGAGGGGGGAGGGGAGGCAGCGCGAAACGCTATAACATTATTCAACTGTATTGATATCGGGAGAATGTCGGTAAAAACCGAAACGGAGCGAGTCCGCCCAACGTGGGCACGTGGACACGTGGGCACGTGGCCTCTCTCGAGCACGCCGGACGGCGACCGAAGTTCGCCGAAACCCCAGTCGGCCGCCGAAAATTCCCAGACACTTCCGTCCGCCCGACCGGAAATGCGCGTCTGAAACGAATACAAAATCGCCACCGACGTCCGAACCGCGTATGCAGCGTGCATAACGCCAGCTCAAAATGACATTCGTCGTACAGAGCGATTCTTTTCTGACGGACAACGATTCACGGTGGATTCGATTTCGATTGTTTTCATCTCGAGATGAAACCGTTTGTTATCAATACGCGTTATTGTTGTTAAAACGCTCTCGTACAGTAGACGACTGTAATAACTTGCCAAATTCAAATTTGCGTTTTTGTATCGAGTATTTTAGATTCCGTGAGTAGAACGACATGTGTTTTGGTTATAATATGACGTGTGCAATTTCAAATTTTGTCCGTCTATAAAGCACTTTTCTACAATTGAGTGACGCGATGAAGCTTATTGTACGGCTTTCTACCAGAAAACTCGATCCGATTGACAATGATAGCACTTTTAGTAAAAGGATATATGATTGAGAAGGTACAATAGGAAGGTAATTTTTTTGATTTTCTTAGGAGTTTTCCCAAAAAATGGGAAAAACCGAAGGGAAAATGGGAAAATAGGTACAAAATTACACAAATATTATCGATGAAAATATATAATGCATATGTAATTATTTTACCATAATATGACATTTATATAGTTGACAAACCAGCATTGTCAACCGAACTCCACTCAAAATCGTTTTTTCTTTAACATTGTTTTATCGTTGCGCTTATAAAAATATACCTAAAAATATCTTTAACAGTGGCTGCACCCGTCCCCGTTATCCTAGGACAGATTTTTGATTTTGATTTAATACCAGAAATGTTGTTTTAGATTTCAAGATTTTTTTAATAATATAGTTAAAATGTTTAAAACATTTTCACAATTTGTGGGGTATTATTTGGTTTTATGTGAATAAAATTGCTTTGGCTAAACGGAAATACTCGAAAATTGAATACTATATTCATGATACGAGACGTAGGTAATTAGTGAAAATTATGACGTTTGTCAACATAATATATTATAACCAAACTCCGCTCAGGATCAGATTATTCAATTGGCAGTTGCATTAAAATAATTCCATTATCACAGTACAGTACGGAAATAAATCGAATAACCCCTTTACCTCCAACTTCGGTTCATTTTCGCATTTGCATTCGTATTTTCTCGTTCGACGCACGAGCCGAGTTGCCAACGTTGTTGGCTGTAGGAATTTTATGTCAACGGACACTTAAATTTTATCCGTTCCATAAACACGTTTCACGGAACGTCATCGACCGACGCTATAGTCAAAATTTATAACACCCACGAACGGGTTTTATGATTTAATCGGCGGTGCCCCGCGAAAGACAACTGAAATTTAACGAGTTATTAACGTGCATTAGACGTAATATACGTTTTATTTGTGTAAACGACGTCTATGATCAAAATAATAACACTATTAACGCACAAAACCCATCAATAACGTTAACGATTGCTTTATAATAATATTCTTGTTCCGCGCGCCATTATTACGCACAAAACCGAAACGAACGAGCTCAAAACGAAATATATTTTCGAAGAGTTTTCATTTACATTATTTTTTAAACAAATATTTCCCCCGATCCCCCACCCCCTTGCTACCCCGATAACGCGTTTCGTCGATATTTTCACGAAATAAAAACAAAATAATAATAATATATATATATATATATATATATTATTATTAACGCGTTACATATTTGTGTTATATTATGTTTATACATATAATAATAATAATAATAATAATATTCGCGGAGAAAATCTCGCACCGGTCGTAAAAGTGTGAATATTAAAATATTGTTTATTAAAAACTGCCGCGGAATTCTCGAATTTTCACGGTTAACTAAATAACGCCGGCCTTTTTTTAATATTACGAAACGGCGCTGCGAACTTACTGCGCGACTTCGTCGATGACGACAAAACCGAGTGTATGTAAAAACGAGTTTTAAAAGTATTCAAAATGTTAAGGAGGTAAAATTATTTTTAACCTTTATGCTCGTTTTACCTTTGTAAAGTATTTTGTTAAAACTCGTTTTAATTACCATACTTAAAAGAATAATACGGATTTTTTTTTTAGTTTCTAATTTGTTCGCGATGTCTTAATATTATTTACTATTCTTTCTGGACCGTTATAACGAAAATAATTTCGCGGTATTGTTCGAATTAAATTTACCGTGGAAAAACAAAACGCGACAAAAATCGGATCCGCGCGGTAGATTTTTAAATTAATATTTTAATTCGAAAATTGTAAAATGATCGAAAATCAACGGATTCGAATAGATGTCTGAGAAACATTTTTACATTAATCCTACGCGATTTTAAATCGTAAACGAACTCACCGGTAAACAATCGAATTTATTTATGAGACAACGGTTATTATAATACGAATTGTTTCAACCTTTTGTTTGAAAACCTAGAAAATATCGAATCGCCACGTAAACTACTCGTGGAAAATCAATATACTTCTCTCGTTCTGTTTTGATCGGAAAGAGATTTTCAAAAATTTTATGAAGGGAGAAAAAAACATTTTAAAATGTTACACGTCATAGCGAAACCGACGTGTTTCTCGCACGAACTCGTTGAAATTTATTGAAATTATAATTTAACTGCATGTAAAGACGTAAAGCGATTAAATTTACGTTAGGTAAGATAATCTATTTTGTTTTTTTTATCTTGGCAAAAATACGCCATACCTAATTATTAATCTTTAACTTGGACAATTAAATCGGTATGCGTCTTTTTTTATCTTCATCGAAATAATTATTCTATTGCAATTATGTCTTATCTTAAAATGCGTATCGTTAAACAACACGACCGGGTCTCTTCGGGAATCATAATATTATTATTGTAGTTTCAAAACTAACGCGGATTTCTAATAAAAAAAATCGTCGCTCGGGGTTAAATTAATAACTTCCGTACTATTATGAACAAAAAAAAAAAAGGGGGGGGGGGTGATTAAGATACGAATCGTCCGTAATATATATACGCGGAGCGCCGATATGGTACCGGGGTAAAATTGATTCTGTCTGGGACCCCAAAACACATCTCGGGTCGAGTGCGTTCTCTTTAGCGAACATAGCTACAAATAATAATGTATCGGATAGCTGATAAGAGACGACGTAGGTATCTCCGTAAAAGTTTTAGAGAACTTTTTTTTTTTCTAAAGAGTTTCGCCTAGACGGTTATATATTTCACGACGGTTCGTATCGTCTGCACAATTTGTCGAGAAACAAATTTGAATCTACAACAGTTCCACCAGTAGCGTACGCAGGACTTAAGTTCGGTTAGGATTTTCACTATAGATTTATTTCAGACCTGTAGGGAGGGGGTTCGCTTCATACCCCCTACTCTATAGCTAAAGTAGTAAATGATACTAACATTCAAATACAAAATAATTGTCCTGAATTCCCATTTTTATATTTGTCTTACATGTACCTTTCTTAGCCCATGATCATTGCAGATGATTTTTTAATTGTACAAAAGTTTAAAAAAAACATTTTGTGAAGAGGAAGAAATTTCGGGGGGTGGGATTATATTAACGTGATTTTAGATTTTTTTTTGTTCGTTTAGATTTTTGAAACCGTACGAGTTTTCGTTAAAAAGATTTTATACCGAGCTACGGGACATTATTATTGCGTGCTTCGATGCAACGAACCGAAAAATGAGCGCAATTAGAAGTTGATTGCTTTAGACGATGGCCAGAAATTCTATTCGTATTTTATAGTAATAATAACAATAGACAATAACGGTACCTCCCGAGGAAATAATGACTGCGGAACATACCGCAAAATTCTTTTATTTATTTTTTCATTTTATGTTTTCGCATTCGTTTTAAAAGTTCATAAAACACTCTAAACGGAATCATAACAATACCATATAACGTTATTACAGTCTAAAACGGTTACGTATTTTAGTTTATGTACGTATGCTAAAAAGTTGAAATATACATTTATAAAACATAATAATACGTTTTTAGCATGTTTCAAAACTTTTTAAACAATATAATTAAGTGCTGTGTATTATCGTCAAAAATTCCATTTTTTCGAGATGGCATATTAAACGTTTTTCCGTTCAGATTTTTTTTTTTTTTTTAATTGTTTGTATTGTCATTATATACTTTGGCACCAGTACCATTATGATAAAACTCTTTTTTGTTATTTGTGAAAAAACCAGCTGCGAGAAGTAAATGATTGTTATATTTTATAAGCTAATAATATTGTGTAACATAATATTTTATAATAATTTTGTCGGAGTCATTACAACGATAGATTAGGTCTATTTAAAAACGAAATTGTATTTTTTTGTAACGGAACCTTCAAAAAACAATATTACATAATCGTTTAAATAATATAATATGTCGAATCGTTTATTTAAAAAACTATGACAATTAATTAACCCTCGAAGCCTTGACGATTTCGATTCGAAACTGAATAAATTATCTTAACTGCGCCGATAAAATATATATTTAAATGGTTAAAAGTGATAGATTAATAACAAAAAAGCAAGTCAATCCGGATAATTATTATGTTAATTACTATAAACTTTCGAAACTAACGATCATTGTTTGGACGATCGAGAGCGATTATCTATACGAAGAATTCACGTTAATTTGATTTTGGTGTTTTTTAGCTATTATATAACATAATTTATTTTATGTTGATATTGATTAATACTTCGAAATACTTCACTAGTATGGGAAAAATCCGGATTTCCGGAATCTGAAATCGAAAATGTATTTAAAATTCTAGTTTTGAATTTTGAAAATTTGACTATGGATTCTTGTAAGCATTTTTCACACAATTAAAAATCTTATCATTATCAGAAATAAATTTAGTATAAATAAAAATTCGAAAAAACAAATAAGTATAAAATCTAAAATTGGAATTTTTCAGAATTGAATGTGCGAATTTCGTATTTTTGGACTTGTATCACGTCAATATAAAATGATACAAGTTTTAAAAACAACCGTGTTTCGAAACGATACGGTAAATGTGAACGTGGAGGAGTAAATAGGGCAAAAAAAAAAAAAAAAAAATGCTAAACAAATTGATAGGTAAGTAGTCTCGACGAAAACGACGAAACGTCGTTGTAATAATAAATATAATACATAATATTTCAAGAATAGTGAATGCCAATGAAATGTGAAATGTGGAAAAACGAAAAAAATACAAACGCATACACGCGAGATAATTTCGTACGAATTGACGAGCTCGAGAACGCATCTAAATTAAAAAAAAGTATATTTATGTAGAAAAAACACCAACAATCGAACGTCGAATAGATTCTTGAATCTCGGACGAGACTTTATAGCTAAAACACCGATGGCCGAGTGAAGATTTTATTTATTTTTTTTTTTTTTAAATTAGGACACGCTAATTTTTTGCAGTTCTTTTGTTCTTTTTTTTCCTATAGTGAAAATAAACAAAACGGGTGGGGAGGGGATTTAAATAGGTTTTTTTTTTTTTTTGTCATAAATAACCGTAGAGAATTCTCATGAAATACTTACAATTTCGGAGTTGGGATTTTATTAGATACTCTACACAGAGTTTTCGTATGCCGGAAATTGTTTTTATTTATCTAAAATTAAATTAAAATCCGTATAAATTTATATGCAACGTAGTTTATCGATTATAATTTCGATATTGTAATATTTACAAAAGCAGAATTTATTCCAAATAGTATAAAAGTTAAGTTTTAAGTTACTTTGTTCCGCATATTTCAAGCATTTTCGTTTTGTATTACATTTTTACTAAGTATTTATTATTATTTTCAAGTTTTGGTGCTTACACGCATAGTATAATGATTTATGTCGTGTTTTTCATGAACCTCGTTTAAATAACAGTAGTAAAAATTGTCGTTTATGCGAATCAAAAAGAAATAAATACCTACATTATCGTGCCATAGAATACTATACTTATTTCGTTAGTTTTATACTCCTGTACAGGGTGATTGAATTAACGTCAATAAAGCACGATTTCAAAGTATGTTAGATACACGTTTTTCTATTATTGTATGTATAGAACTTTTTTTCACTCTTACTATATAGGGCAAACCAATATCTTTTTGCGAATGATAACCTATAATAAAATTGACGGCGCGTTTATACTCTTTAAAATCACAAGATTTAGAGTGGTTCTATGTTTTGTTCGTAAAAACCAGTAGTACACGTATACCTGTGATAAATAATTCGATATCATATTCGACTCTATGGTAAAGCACGTGAAATAACTTACTATTATAACCTATTGAACCGTAACCGTGAGTTATTTCTTCTGTTTCCGAGTTCCGAGACGCTACATTACTTTTTTTTTTCACTCTTTTTTTCGGGAGTGAAACGGCTACCGACTTTTGATTTTAAAATGGAAACCTGTACCGAATGCCTAGTCAAAATAATTGCTGGTGTTGAAATGTTTGTTTTCTCCCGCGCGCCACTACTCTCCTCCGACCAAAAAACTCAAAAGTGGCATATCTCGTCGACGTCTTAACAGAAATCGTGAAAATGTATTTTAACCAATGTGTTCCATCTATTCACGGGCCATTTGACGAGTGACCCGGTACTTTTCCGGGATATTGCAATGGCTGTACATGTCTGCGGAACACCTCGTAATGTAACCGTTAAAAATACCGCGTTTTCCCGTGATTGTGAACTTTCCGACTGCGACTACTCGCCGAGCACGGTCGGCACAGTAGACAGCAACGATTCATAGACCGTTGCTGTCGTCGGCGACCGCGCGCGCGTTCGGGCCGTTAATCGCCGGAACGAAATCGCGTGGACAGTGTAAAACGGCCGGATCGCGGGTGATGGGGGGGGGGGGGGGCGACGGCGACTGAACCGAATCGAATTCGTCCGGCGGAACATCGTCGACGAACGGTCGACGTGCGGCGCGGGGTTCGGCGCGATGGTCGGTGGGCGGGCGAGAGGTGCGAGACAAACGACGAGATCACGGTTTTGATATTCCGAGGGGGTGGGTGGAGGGGAGGACCGAGTGTTTTCGGCCCGGTGGAAAAACCGTACCGGCTCCGTTCCGCCCGTCGCGCTGTTATTTTACGCTTTCTCGCGCGCGCCGCCTAAAAATACGCCGCAGGCTTAACATCGTCGCCGTCGTGTAATAACGGACGGACGGACGGACGGACGATCGTCGTACACGCGGTTTCACAATACGTCGTGAACGCGCTTGTATTCCCGCTCGTTTTTCGTCGAAATTCCGTTCCCCCCCCCCCGCCCCCGAAACCTGATCAAGAACGATGATAACCGAAATTAACCGTATGTCATTTGCGTATTATGTATTGCGTGAAAATCGAATTTTTAAACAACCCGGACGGGCAGTTCTCAACCCCGTAATATCCGCGTAACACGTTTTGACATTTTTCGCACGTATCACTCCATACGTTTATTGGACTTTTTTTTTTTTTCTACTTATCAACAAATAAAACATGCACGTTATTTTACACGTATGGCACGATATAGTCTATAAACTGTATAACCAACACAACCATTTACCATAATACACAAAAAGTAAAATTGCAACGAATATGCGCGGTTATTGTTTTTATTAATATTTATGGATTAATTAACCGCGTTGTGTCTAATAACATTTTTTTTTCACTTGTCGACGAATTTCTTCGCGTACCACCTACGAGCTTTTCGAGTACCACTAGTTGTACGCTTACCACATGTTGAGAACTGTCAAGGACCTTTGTCGACAAATTTTCCCATACCTAAAAATACGATATCGGACGTTGGGAAGTAATGGTGCGAAATAGAACTAATAATTATTAACCACTATTTCAGGTCTTAGCTCGGGGTCATTTACGCCCCTAAAAACGGCCAGTGGCGCCCGAGCTTTTAAAACAGGTGAGGTTTAACGTGTCTTTTCACATACCCCATCCCAACGCCCCTAATTCACGTACTTATAACATAGGCATACAATGCTCGTACGAAAAATACTTACTGCTCAATACGCCACTCGGCACCCGTCTCAAATCGAGTTAGTCGGGCGGTTAGTTAGGTAAAACGTGTGGGTGCCACCGGTCGTCTATGCTCTAAAACGGATGCCCCGGGCAGGATATTAATATTTACGTGGGTACTAAAAGATAATTTCTGAAATTTTAAGTGGGAAAATACGAGACGAATCACGGAAAACGGCCTCCGATTGGGTTTTTAAGGAGGGATTTAACGGTTCTTTTTTTTTTTTTTTTTTGATAGTTTTGCGCGTTTTTTTTTTTCTATAAGACGTAATTATACATACGTTCACGCGTGTGGACACTGCGGCTGCGGCGGTGACATGACGAGGAGCGTATTCGCGGGTTTATTTATTTTTTTTTCCGGTCGCCTCGTCGCTCGTCGTTTTCCGCGTGTCGGACACCCGCGCACTTTTCAATGCTGTAATGACGGTAATGCTATTGGTGCGCACGCGATTCAATACGATACATTCGAATAAAATCTGAGCTCGCGACGGTCGACTCTGAAACTCCGCTCGGGGCTCGATAATCGAAAATTTATTTCGGAAGACAAAAAGAAAAAAGAAAAAAAAAAAAAGATTAATAACGGCGTTGTTATTACGACGTAACGCACGGGCCGGCGAACACTGGGTGCGCGTCGCGATCAAAACGGCGACCACGGCGGTAGACACGGCGCGACTGCCGCGGCCGGTAGACGTTTTTCCGCGCGTACCCGACGCAAAGGACGCGGACACCGCCGTCGTCGGCGCGGCGCATGCCGTTAGTCGTCACCGTCGCCGCCGCCGCCGCCGCCGCCTTCGCCGGGACGCCGCGCCGGCGGCGGGACCGGTCGAAGACGAGAACGCCGAAATTGCGCCCCGTTTTCCCCGGCCGCCCCGGCGATAATTACTTATTTATTGCCGTTGCGTATGGCCGCGGCGCGGAGACGGACCCCCGTGCGAACAGCAACGGCAACGGCGACAATAATGACAATATCTCCGGCGAAATATCGCGCGAAAACGACGTCGACCGGCGGCGGTCGGCGGGCGGGAGAGAAAAAAAACTATACGTAGTAATATATTGCGAAATTATCAACGCACTGGGTGACCGTTTCGCCGTTCGGCCGGTCTTTTCGCGCGCTGCCGTCGACGGCCGACACGCGTTTATCGCGTTTCGGGAACGTCCCGCGCGGCCGACGCCGACTTTGGGTTTGGAAAACCCGACGCGTACGCGTTTCCGGCGTAGGTCGGACGATTTGTCTCGAACGTTTCCGCGATCGAAATTCCAACGGAAAGTGTCCCGAGTCGTTCTACTAAGGATGCAATTACGATGACAATTTTAGTCTGTATGATTGTTAACGGCTGCGAGTTCGGTAATCACAATTATTATAGGTACGCGATATAAAATACGTGTTGATAGTTACGAGTCGGATGAATATTTTAATATCACAAAACACACTCGCGCTGACTATTGTCCGTAGTGTCCGTTAGTGATCGAGTGATGACGATTAGGAAGGCGTTCGTTTGATTGCGATGCGTAAACACTTTCAGAAAATTCGTTGAAAAACCGAAATTGGCGTCGCCGCGCCACGGAATTCGACTCATTAAAATATGGTGTACACAATCGACACATCAATCTAAATACCGTCTAAACGACGCTCGAATATTCAGTAAAAAAAAAAAAAAATCACAATTTTAATATTTGCTGTGCATAATTCCATTACAATACTCGAGCGAGCGTGCATAAAATATCACTCTGTATATTGTAATATTGGATTTTCCGACAGTCGTCGGTGGCGGTATTTTTAATAACGCGCAGCCCGCGTTCTCGACACGGTAACCAGTAACAAGTTTCGCAGGGGCCGGGAAATTAACGAAAAAAACGTCCAAAATTCAAATGCTCTCACACGGCCGTTTGAGATAATATGCATAGCAGATACTGCTGGTGGGTGCAGGGAAGTATTGAAAATAGTTTTGGTGAATCGTTGTATTACTCGATTATTAAACTTTTAGATTCTGAGCGGAGAGAGGAATGTATTGGTTTTGCAACGGTGCATATTTTTTTTATGTTATTTCCCCGTGAACAACTTTTATACCAGAAATATTGACCCGATTTCATGGTGTAGCATTTATTCTGGGAAATTAGGCGGGCCATTTTTTGATTTTCTCAGTGGTTATCCTAATAAAACGAAATAACGGGAAAATATACGAAATGTACTGTTTTCTCTAACATATTTAACCAAACTCCGTTCTGAGGTTTATTATAGAGTATCGTACTCTGTGGTCAATAAATACAATTGGGTGCGATGTAGTTTTTTTTTTTTTTTTTAAATTGTAACGTCGAATTTCGGCCCATTTTTATTAAAGCCATTCAAAACATGTATTACCGAAATTCACTCCGAATAATTTTTCGTGAACAACGGTTTATCGTTGCTCATAGTTATCAATTAAATAACTGTATGTATCCTTCCTTCCCAACTTTCCACCCATAACATACCCGTCTTAAGTATTAGCCCTTGTTTTGTTGTTTTTTTTTTTTAAAAATATTTTCTGTAAAACCGTAGGCACGCGCGTATTGTACAAGATTTCTCTACGGGTGTGTGTTGGATCAATTCGAAGCATTCGAAAGTTACGAATAAAACAGCGAGTAGTACGTTATAAAATACCCGGTAGTAATATCAAATAATGTTATCAGTAAATTGTAACGTAATTAACTCGAGTGCCGGAGACCTCGTTATAACCGGCTTGGTTTTTCCGAGAAGAATGAATTCTCGAGACCGTTTTTAGACGCGGTAAAATATCAACAGGTAATGACGAATCCCGTAAGTTCGCGTAAGACACGTGATAATATGCGTAGTTCGATATGATATCAGAAGCAGATGTGTGTAGGCAACTCAATTAATTTAATTATCAGACGGACGGGCGTAAATCAATTGTGTAACCGCTGTGGGTTCCCGTAATTGTTGTTACAACGAAATAATTCGATAAACAGAAACCCCGAATTACAATATACTAATACAGTTCAATTTCATAGGTCACTGCGACGCGAATAACGTTGCCCCCGGGCCGCACACTCGCTTCTCGAAACCTTATTTTGGCAACGCCGGAGAGACTTGTTTTACAGGAATTCTATTTTAAGACGTCCAATTAGAAATCCGCACGATAATGTACGAGTGCTGCTTCGCAAATTTATGCGAAAACGCTGACGTCGATAACCCTTTGAGGGCCTCTTCGCATAATTTCGGTTGTCTCGCTGCGTAACCATCACATACCCATCGTGCGCCAATGTGTCGACACTCGTCGGTGGAATTTTCTGCAAACGGAATGGGTCCTGTCGCGGCATTTGTCGGGTGTGTTTTATAACGAAACGGTATTTACTATGCGATGGCCCGAGTGATTTTTTTCACCGTTTTCATTTTCATCGTGAAAAAACGCACGTTTTAATATTTATCTAAAGCGAACGTCGCGCCATAAAAATTGAATCCATCTCACATTATAGTACACGATGATATACGTCGAACAGAATGATATAATTGAAATTTGTTTGAAACTCTTTGTTCTCTGGTTACCGGGAGTTTTAACACTGCGCGTGACGTCATGCATTCGTTCGCCGCGTCAAAAGACGCGGCAATATTTCTCCGTTCTTAAAATAAAGGTCTGGGTCAAGTGGAAGTTTGGGACTATGCTTGCCGATCTCAAATTGCTGGGATAAGGATGAATAATAAGAAGACAAATAAAAATAAGTATATATTTTTTTAATGACCTAATCAAATGTATTAAATATAAATTTAAATACAAAAATTTTCTTTTCAATTATTGAAAAAAATAACGGGGTTTTTAGTGGTGGGGTGGTTATGGTCCTTTAATTTAACTATTGTTTACTTATTAGTAAATGAAACTATTAATCTCGTTTTTAAAAAGAATATTGTCTTTATAAAATATATGATTTTAATAGATACTTTTTTCTTAAACTAAACTAAAGAATTGCAATCGTTGAAGTGTGAAATATATTTGTTGTTTATAATACAAGTGGGGAGAAAAAAAGTTATATGTAGAAACCTCTTAAGGGACCTCGTTACTGTAAATCCATCTCGAGCCCTGTCACTGTCGGTATCTGGACGCTCATCAAAGACGTTTCACCATTTAGCTTTGCGTCCTGTAAATTATAATTCCATCTTTGCAGCTTCTAAAAGTACATCCTAATTTGCCTTACTCCCGTATCTCGTACATCCAGTTCACTCAAGGTTAAAAAAAAAAAAGGAAAAAATAAACCAGGATCCATATAACCAACTTCAAAACATACAAATCTCGTCTAAACTCTAACCATGGTAGTTATTTAGGAAGTTTATATCCTAAGTATAAATCTAAAACCTAAAACCAGTAGTGGTTGAAAAACCACCTGAGGTAAAATTAAATGGCATGGTGAAAGGTAAAAGCCGCGTCGGATAGGTCAAATTTTAAAAAGTTGGTACGGCATAAAATTTGTGTATTCCGTCAGTCTTGCTCTTCAGTCTCTGGCAAAGAATACAAGATGCATGTCAGTTGGTTTAGTAAAATAAATGGTCAGGTTATTTATACTTTTTAAAATATATATTTTTAATGATATTTAAAATAATTATATTTCTTGATAATGATTAAAATTAAGAGGAATTTTGTTAAATTGAATTAATGATAAAATTCACTAATTAACAGGTGAATTATTTAACGTTTGGAGTATTTTATCATACAAAGTACCGCTAAACAGAAAACGTCCGTCTTATACAATGCACGATGTAGAAGATTTGAATGATTTTTCACCGTTAAAAATTTTAAATCGTCTTAAAAATTCGATTTCTGATCGGTTGCAAACGGTTGCAGTTTATTTGAAGAGATGAACGTTAAAATCAAATCGAAATACTGCAGCTTGTGAATATCTACAGTGGAATGAAATCCGGAGACTATTGGGAACAGTTTTCAACGTTTAAAAACAGTTTAAAGAATTTTTATTATTATAATAGTTATATGTGTACCGTTAAAAATATTGACTGTAAACTAAACGATGATGGCACGCGGAAGTAGGGAAACAACCCGTGTTTATATAGAAACAATAATAATATTTTCCTGATCGCGCGGTCGTATATTATAACAATCCGAAAGTCCTAAAATAATATTTTGGCGGTGTAGCGTATAACTATAATTTTATTTTTCGGTATCTATGTAGATGTAGGTGTACGAAATAACAATAACAGACGAGATAAATCAATCAGACAAAAACCTCTCCGAGTGACTTTGTTGATGATGTCAGTAAATCGAATTTTTCTTCGAGCCCAGCCGATCAATTATTATCGAAAATCCATCTATTCATTACCTATACCGTCTCTCCTTTGTCGAGTTGTCCAACGTTCACACGCGTACCTCCAAAATAACACGCAACCACTTTCTATAATTACTTTGATATTATCTGAACTTAAGCTTCCGCGATCGTTTTCTTTTCAAAATGTTGAACAGGTTAGGTCAAATTTTATTTATTTTTGTCGTATTGCA